TAAGAAATTTACCTTATATAAGCAATTAGTTAAAAACTAGCTTAATAAGAAGATCAAAGAGATATTTACCGATAACGGTACTGAATACATGAATAATAACTTCTATATATTATTAGGAAGATACGGTATTATACACCGAACTACGCCTATCTATATAAAAGAGCTAAATAGCCTAATTAAGCGCATAAACCTAACACTTATAAATAAGGTCAGATATTTATTAATCCAATCAGGATTAAAAGATGATATATAGGGAGAAGCCTTATTAGCTGCTACCTATCTATATAATATAACCCTATATAGTGCTCTAGGGTTCAAATTACCCTATAAGATATATTATAAGCGCTTACCTACTATCAGGCATATAAAGACCTAGGGATCTATTACCTACTATCATACAAACAAAAACCTGCCTAGCAAGCTATCGCCAAGAAAATCTATAGCTATTATTATTAGCTATAGTAAACAGAAGCACTATAAGCTATATAACCTGAAGTAGAAGAAGATAGTTTAGTCAAGAGACCCTACTATCTTAGAAGGTAGATTCCTAAAGAATCAATCTAATCTAGCTAATCAAGAGCTAGGAATTAAAGCAATCGAAAATCGATTTGCTAAGAAAAGATCTGCTAAACAAGCAGAAAACCCTATCAAAAAGAAGATTACTAGTAAATCTACTAGTAAATCTACTAGCCTATCTACTAGCAAATCAGCTAGTAAAGAAACTAGCAAATCAGCTAGTAAACCTACTAAGCAAACTACTAGTAAGGAAGCTGCTATAGTAGCGGATCCGTCTTATAAGATAGAGATCCAAATCCTATCTACTAGCGAAGATATATATACTATATTAGATACGCTACTAAGAGATTTTATAAAAACTATTATTAACGATCAGCCTACCGATTATATATTATCGGTAGTAACTAATCAAGAACCCTCTACCTTTGATCAAGCTATACAATCAGCTAAAAGGAATAAGTAGTATAGGGCCTATCAGGACGAAAATCAAAGCCTAATAAATCAGGCAACCTATAAAATCGTTGATATACCCCCTAGTATAACACCTATTAGGGGCAGATAGGTATTCAAAAAGAAGCCTATAAGGAATACCTTAGGCATCTAGGCTAATTATATTATAAATACGAACAAAACGATTCGCTATAAGGCTAGATAGGTTATACAAGGATTTAATCAACGATTAGGTGTTGATTTCCTAGAAACCTTCTCTACTACTACTAGAACAGAAACCTGGTATATACTATTAATTATCGCGATAAACAAAAAATGGTATATTAGGTAATACGACGTTAAAAACGTATTCGTATACGCCGATATCGATAGTGATATATATACTATCTTGCTAACTAGCCTATATAGGCCAAAAGACTATCAAAATAAGTGCTGCTATCTAAAGAAGGCCCTATATAGCCTAAAGCAAGCACTAAGGCTTTGGTCTGAATTCTTTACAAAGGCTATCGCGAACCTCGGATTCGATAGAGTTGCTATCGACGAGGGTATATATATAAATAGCAGAACCTAGGCTATTATTATCATATATATTAATGATATAATTATTATACACAAAGATCTAGCTTATATAAATAAGCTAGCTACTACAGCTAGGTAGTATATCCAATTAGAAGAGATAGGCGAATTAGCTACCTTCCTAGGCAATAATATCAGCCTAAATTATCAAGATTAATCGATAACTATCGATTAAAATGATTATATATCAAAGATCTTATCAAAATTTGCTACTACTAGTAAACGGCTAAAGAAAACGCCGGGTAAAGCAGGGATCTACCTAAGAAAAAATCAATCAAAAGCTTCAGAGCAAACTATTAATCTCTATCAAAAAGAGATTAGCTCATTACTTTATACCAGCCTAAAGACTAGGCCTGATATAGCCTATCCAGTTGCCTATTACTCAAGATATATAAGCAATCCTGACCAATCACATATCTCTGAATTAAAGAAGATATAGCAATATCTACAATATCGGCCAAATCTAGGCCTACACTACGATTATATAGGGAAAGACCTATATATAAAAGGCTACTCTAATACTGATTAGTTAGGCGATATCGATAGTAGAAAATCCACTACTAGCTATATATTTAGCCTATCTAGAGATCTAGCTACTAATAATATAGTGAGCTAGAATTCGATACTACAAAAATCAGTAGCCCTATCTACCTACGAGGCAGAATATATAGCTATGAAAGAAGCTATACGGGAAGCTATCTATCTAGCTAACCTGTTTAACTATCTAAACGATAGATTAGGCCTAGGCTATACGCCTAGCAAGCCTACTATATTAGTAGATAATAAGGCAGCTATTAAGCTAGCCGAAAACCCTGAATTTCATAAAAGGACGAAGCATATTGATATACAATATCACTATATCAGAGATCAGGTCAAACAAGAAAGGGTCGATATTTAATACGTCCCTACTAAACTACAATTAGCAGATTTCCTGACAAAAAACGTTAGAAGAGAAATATTTAAAGACCTAAAGAATCTAGCTAATCTCTATGAGATCTAGCTATATATATATCCAATTTAATATATAATATCATAGATACCTTCGGGTATGGTTTTCACCTAAATAGGTTTTTCCATACTCTATACGCGAATACGGAAGGAACCACTTAACCCTGTGAGATTGAGATTTAGGAAGATATATATCTAGCTATTTGATAGCAGTATATATATATATCGATCCTATCTACTCTATACTAATCTCTATACTCTACTACCATTTGCACTATAGTATAAAGATTACGGGGGGTGTGAGATATAGGGCAAGATGCCTAAACCGTCATACAGCATATCAAGCCAGATTCATAAGGCCTATACAAAATGGCTGAATATGCTATTATATCATCATTATCCAATCGGATAATCAGGCATGAACAGACGTATCATAGTATACGATCTACATCATCACTACAGTCAATGACATCGTACAATCAAGCAACCACCGATCAATCAGCTACTGCATGAGATCACTATGCATCTAGATCTATCTGCATGAGATCATCATGCATCATCTAGAACGATCACATGCAAGAGACAAGTTGATTATAAATATACCCTGCTTTCTCTACCAAGATAATAATTATGTTCAATACAGACAAGCAAGATTCAATACAATCAACCAAGCTTCAGTCCTACCTTACTCTTCTCTCATCTTATCTTTATGATTCTAAGCCGAATTGAACTTATCCTTCCTATTCAATCAAGAGGAAGAAAGATCAATCGATCTTATTTAATCATCTTTAATTTATCTTCCTCTTTACCCAACCTGCGCAGCATCGCTTGCTCACAGTCTTACTTAATGTCATTGACCGCAGTAATGATGGTATAGCATAAAGCTTATAGAGATTCAGCCATCTTGTATAGGCCTTATGAATCTGGCTTGATATGCTGCATGACGGTTTAGGCATCTTGCCCTATATCTCACATAGAATTATAAAGATAAGATGAGAGAAAAGTAAGGTAGGTGTGAGATATAGGGCAGGATGTTATCAAGCCAGACCGCCATGCAGCATATCAAGCCAGATTCATAAGGCCTATACAAGATGGCTGAATCTCTATAAGCTTTATGCTATACCATCATCACTACGGTCAATGACATCGCTATACCATCATCACTACGGTCAATGATATCGTAGAAGACGTATACTATTGTATACGATCTACATCATCACTACGATCAATGACATCGTACAATCAAGCAACCACCGATCAAACAGCTACTGCATGAGATCACTATCTGTCTGCATGAGATCATCATGCATCTAGATCTAGGATCTAGAACGATCACATGCAAAAGAGGTTTGATAAAGATTGATTATAAATAAGCCCTGTTTTCTCTACAAAAATCATGTTCAAGACATACAAGCAAGATTCAATACAATCAACCAAGCTTCAGTCCTACTTTACTTTTCTCTCATCTTTATGATTCTAAGCCGAATTGAACTTATCCTTCCTATTCAATCAAGAGGAAGAAAGATCAATCGATCTTATTTAATCATCTTTAATTTATCTTCCTCTTTACCCAACCTGCGCAGCATCGCTTGCTCACAGTAGGACTGAAGCTTGGCTGATTGTATTGAATCTTCTTCTTGCTTATGAACATTGAATATGATGATCAGATCTTGCTAGAGAAAATAGGGCATATTTATAATCAATATTTTATGCAAACTTATTAAACTTATTTCTTGCATATGATCGATCTAGATAGATCTAGATGCATTCTAGATGCATAGTGATCTCATGTAGTAGCCGTTTGATTGGTGGTTGCTTGATTGTACGATGTAATTTATCGTGGTGATGATGTAGATCGTATGACTATGATGCGTCTGTTTATGCCTGATTATCCGATCGGGTAATGATGATATAATAGCATAAAACTTATAGAGATTCAGAACATCGTTCTGGCTATAGAGTAATTCAAATATATATATGCATAACCCGCACTTTGCACACTTGACCTATACTTCCGGCCGTTCTAATTAGCTGCCCGGCTCCGATAGATCCACCTATTTTACCCTTTCAAATTTGCTAATTCTTCACCTTAGCCTTATCAGCTTCGGTATTCTACCTCTTCTACCGTTCGCCTTAGGCTATAAATTATAGTAGTAGTGATTAGTATCTATCACCCCAGTCTCCAAACTTCTCACCTATATCACCCACACTTACCCTAAGATCAAATCCGATGCCATTTTAGAGCTCAGGGCGCATTAAGAACTTTCCGCGTACTATACGTGGCTTAAGTACGGCTGAGCGGATGTGAAGCCCTGTTCTCCACACCCTATGGTCGTATGTACTAGAAAATCAACCCAAAACACAATATATGCTCTAAGACTTTCTAAAGCTAATGCAGAGAACGCTAGAGACCCCTTAGCTGAACTCACGTATGGTGTTATGTATTGGTTTATATCTAGCTTCAAGAATAAACTACTATCTAGTCGCAGAGCCTTCCCGCAATTGCGGCAATGTTATGGTTGGCTGTGGAGCCCACGGCTTTTTTGTCCGCCTTGTCTGACCTCCACCACTTGAGCTTCTCGACTCCAATTCAAACGGCCTTTGAAAACAACACGTTTTGCAGCTTGGATTCTAGTGGCCTTTGCATGGACCTACCTGTAATCCGACCAGGAGAAAGCCCTGTGCTACAGCCTCTTTGGCAATTCGCGCACGCCCAAGCTATCGCGCTGATCGTTGTTGCTACCTCCAACTGCAACGTCAACAACGTCGCAAACGTGCACAGCGCTGCAGGAGTCAACAACTCAGTGGTGCCGAGCCTCCCGCCTAGCTCGCTTTTGTCCTACTACGCTTCACCGAGTCAAGCACCAATACTCGCGCAATAATGCTTTCCCTCCCTTTTATGACCCCGCAAGACGCAAGTCTCACCTCCATTGCCCACCACCTCCCCAGACTCCGGCTAACAGAACTCACCAGTCCCATGAGCTCTGGTTCGGCTCTTCCCATTTATATCGCTCCTCCTCTCCACAACAATCCGGCCCCGACACCTCAACCCACCACCCAAACCGCCGCAGCAATGCCCCAAACCCAACCAGCCACCGCGCCTTCCTCCCCTCGCGCGCCCCAAACAACACCCTCGCCTCGTTACAATCCGAGGAGCGCGCTTTACGCGCGCGCAAGAACAACATCGCCTCCTTCGGTTACTCCTGGATCCGGCCCGCCGGATGTGTCAGGACCATGCTAGGCATGAAAGAGGAGGAGGCCGAGCGTGAGGAGGCGCTTGCAGCGCTGGCTGCGGAACAGGAGGCTGCTGCTGCGGGGGGTCTTGATCCGGATGATGGGGGCATGACCATGGGTGAGGAGGGCGAGGAGGAAGAAGGTATGGAGCGTGATTTGGACGATGATATTCTGGAGGCGGAGGAGGGGCTTGTGGAAGAGGGCGAGGAAGGACTTGAGGAGGATGGATTGGGTGATGAGGAGGGGTATATGGAGCGGGACTTGGATGATGATATTCCCGAGGGATATCCGGATGATGACTACGGGGATACGTCGGGGTTGTACGAGGAGGAGGTTGATGAGGACTTTGATAACCAGCCTGATCTGGACGCGGATATCCCTGAGGCTATGGGGAGTGAAGATCTCAGTCGGGACTTGGATGATGATATCCCCGATGCGGCGGAGGATGGGTCTGAGCAGGAAGGTGAATGGCAGCATACTGATACTGAGGATGAGCTTGATGTCGACGAGGAGGAGGAAGACCACGACCACGGGAGTATCAGACGCCCGCGCATGGAGAATTTCCGCACTAGCACACCGAATAGTCGGGGACTGCCGCCTCCGCCGTTTATGCAACGTGATGTCCACGGTGAGACTGAGGCTCAGCGGCGGTTTATTAATCGTTGGAGTGGTGGGGGTGATGCCTTTGACTCGAGCAGTATGATGTTTGAAGAGGATGATCTGCGCGCTTCGATTACGAGTCAGAGTAGTCGGCGCAGTGGACTTGGTCGACATTATCCTCGTCGTGTGGGTGGTCCACGCGATAGCCTCAATTGATGAGGCTTTGTTCTTATTATGCGTGATATGGCTTGCTTCAGTTTTAGCGTTGCATTGGGCTGTGGAGATTTTTGGGTGTCAGATTAAACCCAGCATGAGTTATTGAATTGGGATTCAAATAATATGCATGATGTACACAGCTATTGGTATCCAGTTCTCCACGTCAGTCTTCTAATGGAGCCTCTGTATCAGCTAATGAGAGATTATCTTGAACATTTCAGCATTCAACGGGAACACTCGGTCATTCGCATTTCCTGGGGCTAATAAACTCGGTCTAGAGTGTTCCAAGTAATGTTCAAGGGCTATCATGCACTCGGAATTATACAACGTCAGCTCTATTGAAGTGAGGGATTTGGACGAGAAGTAATTCAACACAAGACTGTTTTAACAGGCAAATGAAAATCGATACGCTAAAGAAGAATCAAGAGACGACAGGGCAAATCAAAAAGACTAAAGTAAAACATGAAACCTAAGCCAACGCAGCTCAAGACCCCTTGCCCTCCTGCTCGACTGCCCCAATCTTTCCACCAGCACCAGGACCTCCAATCCACATATAACTCCCCCAAGCAGTCCCGCTATCATAATGCGGCTCCATGTTATACCTCGCTTCATCCGACACAAACGAATGCTGAGTCCCATAATATCCATGCGGAACACCATCCGCGTCAAGATACGTGATATTCTTCATAAAAGCTGAATGGGACCATCTAGTCCAGGGCCATTCTCCACTGCCCATGTCTGTTGTAGTCAAGGCAATATCAGTCTGGTACACTTCCCCGTACCAATTGACCTGGTTACTACCCTGAGCAAGTGTCTGAGACGGGTCGGCTTCGCCGGTGCTGAATAGAGAAGCCGGATAGTATCCGATCCAGCGGTCGGCAACATACACCCACCAATTACCCTGGTAGAGTTGAATTCGGATGGGCATTTCTGTTTGAAGGCCTCCATCGACGCATAGCGGACCGCCGACAGCTCCTGGGAAGATGGTGTGGTCGTACTGCACCCAGCCTTTGACTTCGGTGTTCCAACCCCCTTTATAGTCTGCAATTTCAGTATAGCCGTTGGTGTTGTAAAAGGTGAATAAGTGAGGCTCGGCCACTTGAGTGGGGAAGTTGATCCATCCAACCTCGATGGTTTGGTGACAGAGTTTGGAGGGATTGCCCGATGTAGGGACATCGGTTCTGATGACTGCAGTCTGGAGCAACGAGAAGTCTCCTGGGTTTTGCACAGCTGCTTTGTAGCAACTGATACCTCCTTGGGTGCCGATGTTTTTCACTTTCTGGCTTGTACTTGAGTACCAATGTGGCCATGGGCTTTGCTTTTCTTTTCCAGCTGGTGGGGGAGGTGGCTTGGTCAGGCATTGTTCCAAGGTTTGTTTATCACTTAAGAGCTTTAAATCTTGTCGTAGAATGGGCATTGTTCCACCAGGGCCTTTTTCGGCCCCTTCTTGCTCCAGCAGGAAGAGGGGACGGATTGTTTGCCATGATTCGGAGTCGAGTTGGGCTTCGCGAGATTGATGGAAAGGTGATGCAGGGAGAGGTGGTGCGGAAGCTACCTCTCCTTGGGACTCGACGGGAATCCAATCAATGATCTGACCATCAGGCTGGGTAGTTGTCTTGACAATATTGAGACAAGCAGTCTTTTTTATAAAGTATTGTGCTGTTTCTGCCCTGCTTCGACTCTGACTGCCGGCTTCTGAGCCGGCCTTAATACCGGATTGTGAGCTCGTCAAAGTCAATGTTGGCGCAAAAGAAGAAAGTGAATACAATTAAGATAGCTTCAGTGAGCTTGGCTTAAGATACAATTGTCATAATAATGCTATTGAAATTGCATCGGAGTTTAGCAACCTTTCTTAGATCCTGAGTACATCCTCTACACATGTCATCACGTGCCGAAGGAAGTCATCGGAATATAAGGACGACCTTCTGACCCCAAAGTTGAGGGTTTGACAAGCATCGAGCTTTGGAAGTCTCAAATTTAACACCATCCCTAAAGCGGCTGAAGTGGAAATGTGACAGCTGAGCTTCTGATAGTATACAGCTTATAGCGGTCCAGGCCCATTAGCGACGTTCCATTATTCGCCGGTCTTGATGTCCGTGTATGCTCCGACCTCAGCTTATACATGTACATGCCACGGTATGTTTCAGAAAGCCCTTATGGTCGATTAAGGGGGCATTTGCCATATACAGCAAGTGTTTCCATGTGAAGAGCTCACAGGGATCAATCCAAGAATCAATCATGGCCTGCATTGAATTCCTGTAACAAGGCTGACAATCTTAGCCTTCAGAATAAATTCTAAAAGTTTGACCACAACTAGAGTGGAAACTTTACGTATGGATTTCTTTGCACAGCTGATGTTTCACCCATGAGGTACAATGGAATGTCCATAGGTCACGCTGCAGCATCGAAGATATCTTCATATGCTTGTATCAAGTCCTCAACTTTAAGAATCGTACAATATAGTATCAACTGCTAACCATGAGCAAATGACCGTACATTGGACTGAATTGAAGCTATTACTATTTTTAAATAAGTTACCTAATGTATCTTGGATTTTTTCTCAAGGTGCGGGTTATAAGCTCTACTAAAATATTCACTTGTAACTGAGCCTCTATGCTTGGGGATTCCCACCACCTGATGGCGACCATGATTATTGGGTCCAATAAATGGAGTAGTACGGATAGTACTGGCGGATTTTGCAGTTCTAGCCATGATACTGTTCCGATATTGGCATCCAAGATAGCTTGTTATGGCCTCAACCTGGTATACGTCAAAAATTGTGGACACAGCTCGCTCATTCAAGGGACGTAGGATGAATTTACGGCCTGTGGACGATTTGGCCACTATCATCCCCCCCCTTCAACAGCGTAATGGAGAGCTCAAATAACAGGAATAAAGTCCTAGCCTGCACGCTGTTGCCCAGTCTGTCCAAGCAACCCAGTTCATGTGTGCTCCAGGCTACTGGTGCTTCTCTTTACACGAATTCAATCAAATCAAAGGCAATTTGGAGAAAGTTGATTCCAAGATTTAGGGTACTATGATATTCAAATGAAAAGCGAGGCTACAAATATTCGGGGCTTTGAATATCCAAGAGGGTCAGGATGGCCATAGATTAGAATTCTCTAGCCGTTTGAGAGGTCTATGAAGTTCAGATTCAGCCTTACCCTGTACCGAGTTGGTAGATTCCTCGAACAGCTAGATGATGTTGATCTTCAGATTGTGATGGTTGAACAACATTCATGGGAATTATGACCTTGAGTATGCAGACATGACAAAATGTGAAGTAGCTGTGGTATAGTAGGCGCCTGGATGACGCTAAACCGATTTCGGCAGACTAGGGATATAGCCAAATCGTATTATCGGGACCTAGAGTCGAGGATCACTAGATATCTGGTAAATTTGACCAAGGATTTCATCTCCGACCGGTATATCCCGCTGATATGTGGATTCCGAGTTCTATTCGGCGTTTAGCCATGTCCAGTCGTGTTGCGTAGAAGGTGGTGGGGTATGTTTCGGCAGAACCCGAGTCTATCGCAGATCTCTACTTCACGGCAGTCCATCAAACATCGCTTTCTCGTAGAATAATGGAAAGAAGGAGAGTCCTTTGTCTATCATCAAATTGGGTACCTCGTACTCCGTAGACACCAGTAAATTGTATGTGCAAACAAAGTATCGCAGCAACTGGCGAGTGACCTGGTCCACGTGAGGCTGGCCCGTGACTCACCGCCTCGTGTGATGGTATCTTTACGGTAACGTCAGTGGGGGTTGCCTTTTGTCATCGTCTCCCCCCTCTCTTCCTGTCTTCTGCACTTCCTTCACTCATCCATCTACCATCGATCTTCCTCCCCAGAAACCTCGAACTCTCATCAACAGACTGCTACTTTCCAACCCTCCTCTCAGCTCCTGAACCTCTCACCTATTTCCAACCGCCCTTCCGTTCGTATCCTCGTCTCGCTCCACACCCAGACCCGCTTTACTTATCAGCTTATCAGGCTCCCATCATGCGTTCCAAGTTCAAGGACGAGCACCCCTTCGAGAAGCGCAAGGCGGAGGCTGAGCGTATTCGCCAGAAGTACGCCGACCGGATCCCAGTAAGTATCAACCTGTTGTGATGATGGTTTCGAGCTGCTCGTGGACTGGTGTCGTCGAGCTTCTTCCCCCAGAGCCTCATCACCGCCTTATCGTCCCCCTCACCGCTCCTTCCGGTAGCTAACGGGTTCCGTCTATCACAGGTCATCTGCGAGAAGGTCGAGAAGTCGGATATCGCTACCATCGACAAGAAGAAGTACCTGGTTCCAGCCGATCTCACCGTGGGCCAGTTCGTCTACGTCATCCGCAAGCGCATCAAGCTCTCCCCCGAGAAGGCGATCTTCATCTTCGTCGATGAGGTCCTACCACCCACTGCGGCTCTCATGAGCAGCATCTACGAAGAACACAAGGATGAGGACGGTTTCTTGTACATCACGTATGGCTCCCCTTCACCCTTCAGATCAGCTGCCATCTTGAGCAGTAGAGACTCGTCAACCCACGAGAACACTGAGCTAACGACTCGACTTCTAGATACTCTGGCGAGAATACCTTTGGCGACCTTTAAAGGCCACGCACGTCTCTTTTGCTCACCTTACAACTCGACTCTGTTTCGCCCGTCTTGACTTCGTGATGGGTGCACAGATTTCCAATGATTCAAGTTGTTTTGGCGGACGAGACTAATTCTTGCAAGCCGTCCTTTGTTGTTTTTTTCGGTCATGCGGCGTTCTCTCGGTGTTTCCCACATTTTCTGCTACATCTTTGCTAGGCTGGGTTTGCCTGCTGGCTTTTTTCTCTCTATGAAAGTAAATGGAAATCGAGGGCTAGTCTTAAAGCTCGCAATTTATGTCTTTTCGAGTAGATTTTGCGCTTCTTGAGCCTTGGCACGGCTTATGCGGCTCTCTAGTCTTCATGAAATCTGGGTACTGTTTAAACCCAGTGCAACTATATTAGCACTAGTACCATGGCATTTGTTTTGCTCTTGCCCAGAATGGACTAAATTGTCCCCACTTGTTCCGCCACCAGCAATGAACGGCCGTAAGCAAGGACTACTCGGCCCTCCATGGCAGAGTTATATGTCCTCGACACTTTCTCTTTTTGATTCTTTCAAATCTTTGTCTTAATTAATCTCTGAAGCTCCCTTTTACTACTGATCTACAATCATGGATCTCTCCAAGCTCACCAAAAAGACCCTCGCAGGCTCCCGGGGCTTCACGTACACATACTACGTTGCTCCTGCTCGCAATTCCAAGCCATCAAACCTCCTCTTGCACGGCTGGCCCGACTCAGCACAGCTCTGGTCCGGCTTCATTAATGACTATCTTCTTCCAAACGGCTACGGCATAGTAGCCCCAGACCTCCTAGGCTTCGGCGAAACTTCCAAGCCCACCGACCCGAAATGCTACTCATGGCGGGACCTGACAGCAGATCTCATCGAGATCCTGGATGCAGAGCAATTGCCTCTCGTAATCGCTGCCGGTCACGACTGGGGTAGCGTTTTGAGCGCGCGCCTGTATAATTTCTACTCGACTCGCGTCTTGGGTCTGATCACGATTAGTATTGCCTACTTGCCACCGATTGGAAAATTCAGCCTAGACGGCATGAATGCAATGACGCGCCAACAATGCGGCTACGGACTCTTGGAATACTGGCACTTTTTCGCCGCGGATGACGGCATTAAGATCATGAGTGAGAATCTGGAATCGGTGTATTGCATGGCGTTTGGCGACCCAAGCACCTGGCTCGAGACAATGGTCGTGCCGGACGGGGCTCGTAAGTTCGTCAGTGAGAAGCGAATGCAGCCTGTGCTACCTTATGCGACGGCAGAGCATAAAAAGGACTTTTTTGATCGACTGGGTAAGGATGGGGGATTTGCGGCTCCGAATTGTTATTACAAGGCTTTTACTGGTGGTGTGCAGGATGAGGCGAATAGCTTAGTTCCTGATGAGAACAAGGTTCTTAAAGTGCCGGTGCTGTTTTGGGGTGGGGAGGGGGATGCTGTGGGTAGACCTGATAGATTGCAGCCTATCATTGATGCAGGATTTGTCCCGGATGTAAAGAGTATTACTCGGGAAGGAGGGCATTGGGCATTGCTTGAGAAGCCGGCTGTGTTTGGTGAGGATATTTTGACTTGGCTACAAGAGAGATTTGATTAGGCGGGTGGTTGTGATGTGTCGATGGGATTGTCTATGTGAGGCTGTCTATGTGAGGCAGTTGACAAGGGATTTGAAGTATAAAGACATTATGAGTGCTAGGTTTCCCAGGAGCAAGCGGAGGAATATCAAAGAGCTCCAGGTATCAGTAAATAGAATGAGGATGTGGCTTGGCAATTAGCATTATAGAGAGAAATACATGCTTTCTAGTTTAGCGAGAAGGAACAGCTTTCCGTAAGTAAACTATATGGACCTCATGATAGTCGGATTAGATTCACCGAAGCCCAGAAATTTGTGCTTCGGAAATCATCTCCTGTGGTCTTGGTGACGATGCTTCTCCAGTTTCGACACCAGTCTCACGCTTTGGAAGATCATAGCTCGGATCACCCATTCGTTTCTTCCGACCAACAAACAACCACCGAAGCCCGCGTGCATTGGCCTTGACAAGATCAGACGGGTTCATCGCATCAACCAGTGCTTTGGCTCCCAATTTTCCACCACGATAGTACTGCGCACTATTGGCGACTGCAGGGCCCGTTGCAATCACGTATGGGCGCCAGGGGAATCCCCAGAAATGCAGGATAGCAAAGAAGCACATTTCGATGGAAATGAGCACATATGGCAAAGCGTTGTTCCAATCTTGAAGCACCACTTTGGCGGATGATTTGACAACGCCGGACGAAGTTAAAAAGTCAATGATTGTCTATAGATGATATCAGTTGCTAGAGCTTTAGGCTTGTCTGTCAGTGGTACTTACCGATTGCCAGAAGGAAAGGAAGATGACCAGCTTGATGCAAAGAATCTTGATGAAGGGCTGATGCTGGGCGATGTCATTCTTCGTCTGAATATAGAATTGGATCAAGCAGTACATGGCAATAGTGACCGCCACCGATTCGATGATTAGAACCTATTTCATTGCCGTTAGGGTTCTATGTATTGCTAGCGAGTCTAGAATTGGAGGCACCTTACCCAAACGTGGGCAAATGCTATATTATCAGAGTCTTCACAGTAGAGGTTCTTAGACTCAGCCGCAACAGCAAGAATGGTCAGAATTAGTCGTAAGAAGCAGTATTGGAATACACCAATCCAGATAACCTTGAAAATAGTTAGTTTGTACCCTCGATCATCCATTATAATAGCATAGCAAAGATCACATACGTTAAACCAAGTTAGTCCACTTCTTGGCTTTCTCCAAGGCCCCTTTTGACCACCAGTGCATTTTTGCATCCATGGAATGGGCCATACCCAATTGACAGGCTCTATATGACGGAAAAACTCCTTTTGATCATGGAGTTCGGGTGCAATATAGGAGCAGAGCAAAGTGAAGAAAGAAGCAATGGCAAATGGCTCATAGCAGTAGCCAATGAGCTCAAAGTACACAGACCACTTGTAGAAGTAAATGCACAGGAACGATGTGAGTGTGTAAATGGGTATCATAAACAAAATGCGGATGACACTTCTAAATTGGTAGACCAATTGAAATCCACCGCTGCTTTTGAATCGAATCAAAATACTCACTATCGCTGTTCGGCTGGCCTGCTGTAGTGTCGAGCGTGGCCGAGGATAATAATTCCTGCCAGGAAAGATGATATGACGAGACAAACCGCCGAAATAATAACACACAAAGTGTGAAAGGTGATCCCGCCATCCCAGAGGTCAACCTCCTGGACTGAAGAAGGTTAGCTCGGGAACGAGCAAATCTTCAAGTTCCTTACTCACTCGTCTCATGTTCCAGCGTCGAATTGCATGATGGCCAGGTCATGGTGGTGAGCCGGTCGGATTCTGGTTCGTGATCAACAGAAACCGCTTGGTCCTCTGAAATCTGAGATTTAAAAAAAGCCCCGGAGCTGGTGATGTATGGAAATATCGGATGTTATGCAAAATTTGTTCTCCTTTTTTTTTGTTGAATAGGTCATATAGCGGCCACATGGGCCACGGCGATCCCAATCACGATCATTAAAATGCTTGTTTAGTGCGTGGGTGTGGGTCGCCGCGTAAGCTTTCTCTGGTGGGCCAAAATATTGCATTTGTCTGCTTTTTGTTATTGTAACCGGTGCCGTATATGTAGTACATCTGCATAAGCTATGCTACCAGAGAGAATAGATCAAGCCATACAGTAGAAGGTAAGTTGTGTTGTTTTTAGCTTTTCGTAAGCGTGACTTATAAGGTCATTAGTATGGCAGCTAACTAGCGGTCGACAGGCCACATTACGCCGCAACACTTGGTACAGTATTGTCTCGCTAGTATTGGGTGTCCTGGTCTTCCGTTCCTTCGTCCGTGGTATCGCTATTCGTCCCAGTATGGTAAAGGCATGACTGAGAGCCCTCCCTTGTTGGTCAATTGCATATACACCATGTTCTGAACTGAATAATTGCTGGAAGAGACGCATGACTGCCCCTCGGTCTTGTAGGTGCACATACTGGCCGGTGGAGAATAGAGCAGGGGTTCTTTCAGATGATCCGCTCGGTAATATCAACTCGACTAGTGGATAATGGGAAAGGAGAGAGAAGTTACTATGTTTATATCCTAGGCTTCGCTCCTAGGAATACTAGAAGTAGGCAGTAAGCAGTACATTTAGCGTCGGAGGACCTTATGGAAGTTATGCGTAAATATCTGGCTTCTGAATGACCTCTCTTCTACGTTCGACATCTCCGCTATACTATCGTGATTGCTAGAATAATACGATCATTCGCGTCTATCTAGGCTAATGACAAACCTGACATGTTTGATCATCTGTGGCCACACGTTGTACTATCAACTCCGCAGTGATGACTTCAAGAGCAATAATATATCGTTACTTCAATGTGCGGGGCTCTTGAGCTTGCATGGAATCAGTAATTACAGTTTATGGATACTTGTTATTACACCCGCAGTTCCTCCTGACTATAAATCGAAGGATCAACATGAAAAGAATAGCAATCGGGTCTCTCCATATTCTAGAAACCCAGACATGATATGTGATAAGTATTCCTGCAATGAAAAAAAGAGTTTGCATCGTCAGAAAGGGACAAGAAAGAAGAGAGACGATGAAAAGAGCGAAACAGCAGAGCGAGGACCACTTGAAAACAATTGTTCCACCTACAGCTCACAAGTCGAAATGACTAATTGCTATTCCCAGGTAGAATACTCTTAGCCCCAGGGATATTCCCTATCGTCATATTCTGAACAGACTCGGCACCTTGAGCCAGACCCAATCCTGCGTTGCTGGCACTCTCTTTGCCCTTATCGAGTAGACCTCCAGCAGGACCCATGTAAGAACCAGATTCGTCCTTGCCAGTTCTCTCAGCCCTGTTAACTCCTTCCTTCGAGGCAAACTGTCCCACTGGTTTCAAGAGTCCCCTGTCACTGATTTGATTTCCAACAAGGTTGACTGTGTCGTCTTGAAGTTTGTCCACTTGGTCTATGCCCGTGACCTTTGTATTGGAGAGGGCATCTGTGCAGATAGAGTTAGCTTCTGAGCAATATACGGGACTGTACACAATCAGTTACCTTTCGTCGCATAAGCGGCTTTGTTGTCGCCTTTTCCAAACCACTTCAGGTATTGATCTTCGATCCAGGGCATCCATTTTTCGTATTGATCATAGTAGGTGCTCTTGGCCCACTGGGAATATGTTTGTTTATGCTCATTTTGAGACTTTCCATCTCCCGAAAGGGGATTTGAGATATCTGAAGAACTCATGACGAGCAACTTGATAAATATAAATGAAACAAGAATAGAATATTCTCGAGGCCTGTTTGATATATTGGACAAGTTGATTGCGTTGACATCTAATATATTGACCTGCTGCGGCTTATGACGTCGGTGGCTCGGTGACAAGGTAGTGAACAAGGTGGTTTAAATAGACAACCACCATGACATAGTAACGGTAGGCTGAGTACAGATGTTAATATGGAATCTTCAACCATCGTAGACAATTGGTAGGTGCTTTGCTGGCAATGTCCTTGGTCAAGGCGATGAATTATGCAGAATTGTAAGCTGTGTTTTTGCCTAAGGCATGAAGCCAGTACATACCGGTTAACGGTCGCGAGGAAGGAACACACGCTTTATGTTATTACTCCAAATCAATGAATACATGATAGAATGGTCGTAGTATCGGATAGTGGGAACAGGCTGGGAAGAAATAAACTCGGTGCTACTAGCAGGATATGGTTGCTGCGTCCATAGGTAAGATTTCTGAGATGTTGTCCACTCAGAGCATATTTCTAGACTATTTCTAGACAACCATCACCATTTCAGCTACTCGTAATTATATCGTGAATAGAAAACTTCTAAAATGGGGTTATAAGGCTGCAGCAGTGCATACTGTATGGGCCAAGAAAGTATAGTTTCGGACCCGAACAGCTCCTCCGACTCCGGATCCCAATCGGGACTAGCGGCCCACCCGAATCGCTCCGATAAAATTTACAGGCACATGTTTCCTCGTTCCTGGGGGATCTCTTGGTCTTTGGTCTTTGGTCTTTGGTCTCTCCGTTAAAGTCTCTCAACCCTCACCAAGCAAAAATGTCTCCTGCTGTCGCCCATGCCGGTGCTGCCGCCTCCAAGGATGTCAAGAAGGAGTCCGCGACTGCTCGTCTCCTCGGTTCTGGTAAGACCAAAATCTGACTCCTAAAAAAAGCGCTTGACACGCGAGAGCCAATTGCTAACGATATGACTTTCTAGGCTCTGCTGGTATCGCCGAGTTGATGGTCTTCCACCCCGTACGGCTCAATTGATCTCGGAACTCTGTCATATCACATCACTAATCTGGATTTGCCCCCTTTATAGGTCGACACCACGGCGAAGCGGTTGATGAGCAACCAGACCCGGGTAAGTATGCACCGGAATGCGAAGGCGAGCGCGCGGACACTTTCTAATTACGAATGGGTTAGATTTCCTCCGCGGCAGAGTTCAACAAGGTCGTTTTCAAGGAGTACGCCGATGCCACCGTCGGCCGCAAGTTCACCTCCCTGTTCCCCGGTCTGGGATACGCCGCTGGTTACAAGGTTAGTGGTGGTATTGAGTCGATGGTGAGAAACTCTACAATTCGCTAACTCTTCTTCCAAATAGGTCCTCCAGCGTATCTACAAGTACGGTGGTCAGCCCTTCGCCCGTGACTACCTCGCCCAGCACCACGGTGCCGCCTTCGACAATGCTTTCGGAAAGGGAACTGGCAAGGCCATCATGCACGCAACTGCTGGCAGGTGAGATATACACTCAGACGGACTAGACGAATATATGGAATTGAGGCTGACTATATGCGCTAGTTTGATCGGCATTGGAGAGATCGTCCTCCTTCCTCTGGACGTCCTGAAGATTAAGCGCCAAACCAACCCCGAGGCCTTCCGTGGCCGTGGTCTGTTCAAGATCATTCAGGATGAGGGCATGGGTTTGTACCGTGGTGCCGGATGGACTGCTGCCCGTAACGCCCCCGGTTCCTTCGCTGTAAGTCATCGTACCCCGTTGTCACGTCCAATGCTTGAACGACACATACTAATGCCCACTTTCCTACTTTAGCTCTTCGGTGGCTCTGCTTTCGCCAAGGAATACATCTACTCCCTCACGGACTACAATAAGGCTAGCTGGTCGCAGAACTTTGTCGCCTCGGTATGCGGTGCTAGCGCCTCGCTGATTGTCTCCGCCCCCTTGGATGTGATCAAGACCCGTATCCAAAACCGCAACTTCGAGCACCCCGAGTCCGGCTTCCGGATCGTCTCCAACATGATGAAGAACGAGGGCTTCCCCGCCTTCTTCAAGGGCTTGACCCCCAAGCTCCTGATGACCGGTCCCAAGCTGGTCTTCAGCTTCTGGCTCGCCCAGACCCTGATCCCTGCCTTTGGCCAGGTTGTATAGAAGGGAAACCTAAAATAAAAGGCCAAGATAACTTGACGAGTTCTTTATAGCCGCGGCGTTCTTCGACACTCTCCTCTTTGTACCCCGAACCTCTTTTTCATCCCTTTTTCTTTTCTCGGCGTCTCTGTCTCTGGTGCGGGCTTTTTTTGTCATAGCCCAGCCTTTCACTGGACCGCTTGTGTATTTTTTTTTCCCTCATAGATATGGTTTATTTGCGACGGGGTCTAGTTTGCAGTCAAGAAGAAATATAAATCCGTCTCTGCTGGGCAATCCAAGCTTCATAATACGAACATAGAGAACTAAATTTTAATCTCGTGTATTCGAGGAATGGTGTAGACGATGACAGAACTCACCAAGCACTGCATCACGTGACTACATATCTCCGTCTTCACTCCGGACCACCCCCTCGAAGCTCGAGACCAGTTCCTCCATAACCAGAACAAAAGCTGACAATATGACCGTCTACCTCATCTCAAAGTATGCACCCATGTCCACGGCATCTGAAGACTTGAGGCCTCGCAGGATCCTGCAAAGATCGCCAACGCAACTTCAATCTTCAACGCCACAGCATACTCTCCCCGGCCTTCTCTCCCAGCACTTGACAGACCATGACTAACTTCTTCTTTACAATAATCAGACTCGGCGACCCAATATTTGCCGTGACTATGGGCATCGCAGCCTCCTCTCTCGCATCCGCCGCGAACAAATCGAGAAGAACCCGGAGAAAGCCTCGGAAATTGGATACGGCACTGTTGTACAACTGGGTCAACGGCGGTTGCAGCGGTGGTGGAATGGGGATTTTAAGGATCTTTGAATGGGATAAATGCACTCGAATATTTATGGGGAGGGAAAAGAAGAAGAAAATAGCCCTCGCTGGGTGCCATTGACTGGGCAGACTGGACTACACTGCACATATTTCCCATCGTGGTCTGGATTAGGTATTGGGAAATCTGGGGTTTTGGTGTTTTCACTTTTGTTGGATTATGGGGCCAATGAGTAATTGATTGATTGATACCTATATACATTGAATTGGAGCTTTTGATAATATCATTTTTTGTGTTGTTGCCTTTACGAACGCCCCATTCTATAGATCTTGGAAAAGGCATATTGAAACAGTTAAGGTGTCTCCGCTGTGTTTCCATCTGGTCTTGCTGTGATAGCCGCAAAGATGTCTCTGTAATGATTTCTGATACTAGAATTAAGACAACTACCACTCACGATTAAGTCACACCTTTCCGTTAGGTATATACACCTACCCTTCCATCTCAGCCATATGTGTCCTGTCTCAACTACCGGGCCCATTCTACATTCCCCAAGCTCGTTTGTAAGAATTGAGACCAACTACTTTAAAATGACACAAGTACATTCGCGCGAGAGTTTACGCTCTTCTACATAGAAGCCAACATGATTCGATTCCAAAAGATTTCAAGACTAAACACGACCAGACAACACCTGCAAAAGCTCCCTATACGCATCCACAATGCCCCTTCTCTCATCTTCCCAAAACCCCAACTTACCCCCACTCCCACTCCCATTCGCAAGCCCAATATCTTCCCCCTTCGCTGCTCTCTCCAACACCCCCCTCCCAGGAAACGCCAACTCAACATTCCTCTCAATAACCTCCATCCTCACACCCCTAAAAACCTCCCTCAACTGTCTATTACACTTTCCACCCCCATGACCCCCGTAACTAACAACGAATGCCGGCTTCCCACTCCACTCGTGATAAAGGTAGTCAATGGCGTTCTTGATAACGGCCGGATATCCCCAGTTGTACTGCGGAACGACGAAGATGAAGGCATGGTAGCGGGTGATTTCGGCGCTCCAGGCGCGCGTGTGATCGTGGTCGTATTGGGATGGGTCTTTGATTTGGGAGGGGATGCTTGATTCGTTGAATAAGGGGAGGTTCCATTCTGCGAGGTCGATTATGTCTGGGGTTGGAATGGTGGTGTCTTGGTGCTTTGTGGATTGGATTGTGTCTAGGACGAATTGGGTGATTTGGGGACAGACTCGTGGTGTTCTGGTGCTGCAAATGATTATGCCGATTTTGGCTGGGTATTCTTCCTGGCCGGTCATGTCCATTCTTCGTTCTGTGTGTGGGTTTGATGGATGGATGAAGATGGATAAGACTCTCTGGCGCTTTGATGTATGGCAAATAGTTGGAGATAAAATGATTGAGGTTCAATGGGTATCTGGGAAAAGGGAGAATACTGGATATACTTGCTCAGCTTTATACTACTGATCTGCCCAAAATTTTGAAGGATGAGTGTTTCGATTTCCCAGGATTGACCTATTTAGGAACTCTCCTCCGCGGGCCCGCGGACGAGACATCACAATGCAGTTTGCTGCTGGTGCGGTTCTCTACCATAAGCACGGTTTTGGGATCGATTACAGCCTGGAACACGAGATCAATGCAATTATATTTTGACACTGTTACCTATTATTGTCGTGTAGTTAGTTGGTGATGGATGGCCCCGACAGGCTGACAGTCGACTATGCCCTCAGCCTTCCCCGCCATCCATGGATTAGATACATATATACACCTTCAACATTACGCATGCAATGAGCCAGACCTAGCCGATAAAATGGTGCTATAATTGCGAATATACTTTCAAAAATGAAGGCGTAACTAAAACTTAATCAGGCGATAAGAAGACAGTATGAAAACCATTCAAGCTGATGTCCAGCGTACCAGGTTGTGCTTGTAGTTTCTTCCAACATTCCGCCCAAATCTTGTCAGCCGAGCAGAAACATTACAATTTTTTTTACTAAAGTCTACACCGAGAAATCTACAAGAGGAAGTAATTGAAATAAAAAAAAAATTTTGTTTGTTATCGCCAGGAATTTTCACCCCAGCCGACATAACCTTGTATCTATGCAATCAGGAAAAAAAAAAGGAAAAACGCGATATCCCATAAGGTCGTAAAACAAGGCATGAAAGAAGGAAAGCTCCTAGCCAGGTCCCAAGCCAAAACACGATCGATGTGTCAACCAGGTGTCAGGGGGATCCAAAAGCCAAGCGCCATTGATATTAGAAAGCATGCTCAGAGCGAGACATTTAGTCAAGCTCCTCGTGATCCTGCTTCTCCTCCTCGACATCATCGGGGCGGCGGGGAGCCTCGGCGCCACCAGGGGCAGCACCGCCGTAGGCAGCGGAGATGATGGGGTTGGCAACACCCTCAAGCTCCTTCTGCTGGGACTCGTACTCTTCCTTCTCGGCGGTCTGGTTGTTGTCGAGCCAAGAGATGACCTCGTTGATCTTGTCCTCAACCTTCTTCTTGTCATCCTCGGAGATCTGGAGCTTGCCCTCGGACAGAGTGTTCTTGAGGGAGTAAGCGTAGGACTCGAGACCGTTCTTGGCCTGGATACGGCCAGCCTCGGCCTCATCCTCGGCCTTGTACTTCTCGGCCTCAGCGAGCATGCGCTCGATCTCCTCCTTGGACAGACGGCCCTTGTCGTTGGTGATGGTGATCTTGTTGGTCTTGCCAGTGCCCTTCTCGACGGCAGAGACGTTCATGATACCATTGGCATCGAGATCGAAGATGACCTCAATCTGGGGGACACCACGGGGGGCGGGGGGAATGCCAGTGAGCTCGAACTTGCCGAGCAGGTTGTTGTCCTTGGTGCGGGCACGCTCACCCTCGAAGACCTGGATCAGGACACCGGGCTGGTTGTCGGAGTAGGTGGAGAAGGTCTCGGACTTCTTGGTGGGGATAGTGGTGTTGCGCTTGATGAGAGGGGTCATGACACCACCAGCGGTCTCGATACCGAGAGACAGAGGGGCAACGTCGAGAAGCAGGATCTCGTTGGTGGACTTGGAGGAAGTGTCACCAGACAGGATAGCGGCCTGGACGGCAGCACCGTAGGCAACAGCCTCATCGGGGTTGATGGACTTGTTGGCGTCCTTGTTGAAGAAGTCGGAAACGAGCTTCTGGATCTTGGGGATACGGGTGGAACCACCGACGAGGACGATCTCGTGGACGGAAGCCTTGTCGATCTTGGCGTCACGGAGGACACGCTCAACGGGCTCCATGGTGGAACGGAAGAGGTCCTGGCAGAGCTCCTCAAAACGGGCACGGGTGATGGAGGTGTAGAAGTCAATGCCCTCGAACAGGGAGTCGATCTCGATGGAGGTCTGGGCAGCGGAGGAGAGGGTACGCTTGGCACGCTCGCAGGCAGTGCGGAGACGGCGGAGAGCACGAGCGTTGCTGGTGAGGTCCTTCTTGTGCTTGCGCTTGAACTCGTTGACGAAGTGGTTGACAAGACGGTTATCGAAGTCCTCACCACCCAGGTGAGTGTCACCAGCAGTGGACTTAACCTCGAAGATACCCTCCTCGATGGTGAGGAGAGACACATCGAAGGTACCACCACCCAGATCGAAGATCAGGACGTTGCGCTCGCCCTCAACCTTCTTGTCGAGACCGTAGGCAATAGCGGCAGCAGTAGGCTCGTTGATGATACGGAGGACATTAAGACCGGCAATGAGACCGGCGTCCTTGGTAGCCTGACGCTGAGAGTCGTTGAAGTAGGCAGGAACAGTGATGACGGCGTTGTTGACGGTGCCACCGAGGTAAGCCTCAGCGGTCTCACGCATCTTGACGAGGATCATGGCAGAGACCTCCTCGGGGGTGAACTGCTTGGCCTCGCCCTTGAACTCAACCTCGATGACGGGCTTGGTGGCCTTCTCGATGACCTTGAAGGGCCAGTGCTTCATATCAGCCTGGACCTCAGCATCCTCGAAACGACGACCAATCAGACGCTTGGCATCGAAGACGGTGTTGTGGGGGTTCATGGCGACCTGGTTCTTGGCGGCATCACCGATGAGACGCTCGGTGTCGGTGAAGGCAACGAACGAGGGGGTAGTGCGGTTACCCTGGTCGTTGGCGATGATCTCAATGCGGTCATCACGGAACACACCCACACAGGAGTAGGTGGTACCCAAATCGATACCGACAGCGGGGGCCATTGTGACGGTTGTGTGTGTATGGAAGAGAGGGATAGGGGTCGGAAGAAAAGGAAACTCGTGAGGTAGTGTACAGGAGGAAGTTTGTGGAGGGGAGGAGAGAAAATTAAAAGGGAAGGTGAGGTCTGAGAAGGGAAAAAAGAAAAAGAGGCAGAGAGTGTGGGCAGCGAAATCCTCCTATATAGTGAGCGGTGTATTGTTCAGAAGCTTCTAGCAGGGGAGCTTCCATGGGCATCCATCGGGTTCCATGACCTTCGATGCCCCAGCAACACCCAGTTCTACGCCTTTCTGGAGGCCAGCCGGGCCTTCCAGACGGGTCTAGTGGAGCCCATGCATTGCCACAAGCTACATGATGGCGTGAGACTGCTCAAGAAAGAGCTCAATTGGTCCTTTGTCAGTTTAGATCGTTTTCATTGTTGATGCATTGATCGAAAAATTTTGGCGGGGCAAGGAATGATGTAATCGATGGTGGGATGACTTGTGGCCGTCTCGCTGGTGACGGTGTGTATTGCTCTTGTATGTGACACTGTTCAGTCACCGCCACAGGCTGGAGAAAGGGGACACTCGGGAGTGTATTGGTATGGTATGGTCACCTCTTTGAGGGCGTCATCATGAATTCATGGACTCCACAGCGCACGACGAAACCAACACTCACGTGAGAGCCAGCACGTGCATTATGAAGCCTCAAACTCAAGGCATCAAATGGTCCCAATCAGATATGGGTGGCTACGTGCAGATGCCGAGAGCACAAAGCACCTTAGCAGAACCTGGGAACTCCAACAAGGAGTCTGCTGACAGGATCAGTACGCAATTTAGGTGATTCTCACCCTCTGTCAACCAGCTTCTCACCCTATCTCTTATGCACTTACCTTACTTCCCTAGGTCGCGCGATACGAAAGCGGCGTTCTTATATTATATTTCAAAATTTTAGAGGATATAGTTTACGTTAACTCTCTTTTTGGTACATACGACCATAGGGTGTGGAGAACAGGGCTTCCCGTCCGCTCAGCCGTACTTAAGCCACACGCCGGCCAGTTAGTAGGATGGTGGGTGACCACATGCGAATCCTGGCTGTTGTATGTTTTTGTTTTTGGTCTTGTTGCAGTCAGGCAGTCAGGCCATAAGACCAGCCACGTGAGGACCTTAATTTCTTAATTTCATAGGTTTGTCACTCTACCGAGTGTTTTTCCTCTGCCAGGTGGGGGCTTTCCTTTCTGAGATGCCGCCGCTTTTACGATAGCGCTCAGAGTCAGACTCAAGAGACCTGATCAAAGTATTCACGTGACCACTCAGAGGGCGCTCAGTGAGTGTGACCAGTCAGCGCACTGATTAGTTAGTTACTGAGAGACCTATCAGAGGCATTTATTAAGCACCTCTGGTGATTCTACCTCGATATGTCCTACATTAGCTAATATTAGAAGGAAGTATCAGTAGTTATGTATGTAAAATTGTTTAAGTTCCATAGTGGGGCCATGGGGAAGGGTAAGCCGAGCCTCACTATTATGTGATTTTCGGATATTAGATAGCATGTACGGAGTAGACTCCCAGGGGTGGGCTCAGAAAGGTCAGGACGGGTGAGGTGACCTGTAACCTGGTCCGGTCATGCGGGAACTACGTTACGTTAAGTGGATCAGACCGACTTAGTAAGCTGATCAGAGCGAGGCGTGCGCAGATCTACTCAGTCAGCTAAAGCAGCGAGAGTCTGAGCACTAAAACGGAAAGGGAAAGCCAAGACGTGGCAGAGGAAATCCGGTCGGTAGGTAACTTTTGTGTACACTCCAAGCCACAAAAGCCATTCGGATATCCTTGCCGGAGGATTGTAGATCGACCCTAAATTAATTTAACAATCGACCCTAACTTCATTCAACAAAGGATCCAATTCCTGCATCCTGGAGAACAATCACCAAAGGACAACCGGTGATGATCTTCTTTTTTGGCCTGGACACTGGGTTCAGTACAGATGTAGTCAGCCATATACCCACCACGGTAGACAAATCACCACACTGGTCTGTTTTGTGTCACCCATAGCTGCTGGTGACACATAGAAATCCAAGCTATGATCAAAGACCCAATCATCATGCCAGTCAGATCACCGCAACATCAGATCTTACCGCGGCTTCATTATCTGAATTCATCTTTCAGGCAAAACGACCGCGGCACTAGCCGTCCCTGGGCGCTCCTGGCTGATAACGCCATCCGCGCTAGGCTTGACTAGCCGAGTCTATTCCTCTCCAAGCTCCTCAAGCTTTCTTTCTTGGCATGTTGGCCCTACTGGGCACGCTCTCAATGTAACACTCCGCACATTGGTCTTGATCGGATCTCTTTGTGTGCCCACAAAACCAGCCTCTCGATTGGCCAAAACCCTAATAATCGGTGCGTCCGTCGGACAATCTTCGCTGTTTCCGAATGGCGAAAAGACACTGGGGTCGCACGCCATGAAGCTGGTGAGAAATTGTAAAGATTGTATAAAAGAAAATGTCTCTCCCTCGCCCTTGCCTCGCCTGGTTTATCTTCTACCCCTACCTCCCCGCCACTTGCTGGAATCCCACTCCACAGAGAGAGAAGGTCTCTTGTCCAGCGGGTATACAAGATGGCGTTCCTGGGTGTGTTCAAGAGAAGGCGCCAGGCCGGACAGGAGGAGGAACCCACGGTGACGGTCGCCGAAGATCACCTCGAAATGCCTGCCCCATCAAAGGATAAGCTGGACGGCACCGTTGTAGATGAGGAGACGATCAAGGCGCAGGGCGAGACTGCGGCCATCGAGCAAGAGAGTCACGATAACCCCGAAATCGCCGCACTGCCTTTGCAAGTACGCCAACTGATCAACTTGACGGATGACCCAACGTTACCGACTATCACCTTCCGCTACTTTGTCCTGGCGGCTCTGTTTGTCATTCCCGGTGCCTTTTTGTCTCAGATGAGCTACTTTCGAACCACCAAGGCTCCATACTCCGTCTTCTTTGTCCAGATCGCCTGTCACTATGCCGGTCATTTCTTGGCTAAAACCCTGCCCGCCTGGAATATTCGTGTACCTGGAACTACCTGGGGATTCAGCTTGAACCCTGGACCCTGGAGCATCAAGGAACATGTGCTGGTCACCGTGACGGCGGCGTCTGGAGCGACCTACAACCTAGGATATGCTCCAATCGTACTCGCGGAGCTTTGGTATGGAGAGCGAATCCACCCTGCCGTGGCTATCTTCTTCATGCTTGCGATTGTGTGGATTGGATACGCATTTGCTGCCCTGGCGCGAAATATTCTCCTACCCGATCCCGAGTACATCTGGCCCCAGGCCTTGATGCAGACCACACTCTTTGAAACATTCCGGAAGACAGACGCCTCCTCCCGTCTCGCACGGCGCCAAATGAAGGTCTTTTTCTTCGCTTTGTTGGGAATGACGCTGTGGCAGTTCCTTCCAGAGTATGTCTTCCCATTTACCTCGTCGCTGGCCTTCCTGTGCTGGGTTGCGCCGCGGAACCCGGTGGCCAACTTTATTGGGTCTGGACTGGGAGGCATGGGATTCCTCAATCTCTCCTTGGATTGGTCAAATATCAACTGGAACGGATCTTCCATCATGCTGACCCCGTGGTGGACCCAGGTTCTCCTGTTCCTGGCTTTTGCTTTCAACTGTTGGGTCCTCATTCCTGCGGCGAAATGGGGAAATCTCGGCGCTTTCAAGCATGGAATTATGTCCAATAGCTTGATGTTGGCTAATGGTACCAGTTATCCGACGTTAGAGGTGCTTACCCCCGATTATCACCTCAATCAGACCGCGTACGAGCATTACGGGCCCATGTACATGGGGCTGCAGAATGTGTGGGCGACTTTCTTCGACTATGCCAAGCTTCCAGCTGCGATTACTTGGATCGCAACATTTGGCTTCTCGCAAGTCAGCGGCAACCTGAAGAAGATCTGGGAAACTCGCAAGGCGGCTAAGGCTGCCAAGGCTGCTGGGAACCAGAGCGAGGGCCAGGGGATTCACTACGCATATCACGATCGCCTGAATGTTATTCAGAGACAATACAAGGAGATTCCACTGTGGTGGTACGTTGTGCTGTTCCTGGCCGGATTCATCATCCTGATCACTTGCATTGCCTGCGGGTATCTCTTCATTCCTATTTGGACCTTGTTCGTGGCTCTTTCTAGTGCGGCCATCTTCGTCATCCCCTTCGCATGGCTCTATGCGATCTCCAACTACCAGCTAGAGACTGGCTCGTTCAACGAGCTGATGTACGGATACATGGTGCACACCAAGGCGGGCTCCGGCCACCAACATCCATGTGGGCCTTCCACATACGGAGCCATCGCCGGAGATGCCTGGTATCGAGCGCAATATATGCTGCAAGACCAGAAGATCGGACATTATATGCATATCCCGCCGCGAGAAATATTTTTCTCCCAGATCTTTGGTGTCTGCATGGGTGTTCCTATCAACTATGCCGTTATCCGATGGATCATGAATACCAAGGGTGACTACATCACCGGCAAGAAGACCGATCCTCTCAACCAGTGGACCGGCCAGAGTCTTCGGAATTCAAACACGTTGGGTATTCAGTACGCTATTCTAGGACCCAAGCGCCTGTTCGCTGAAGCCGAGATGGCGCCCCTGCCTTGGTCGTTCCTCGTGGGCGCAGTCATCCCGCCCATCCTCTACGTCTTCCACCGATTCTTCCCGCGCCTGCGGATTGACCTCTGGAATATCAGTATTTTCTTCGGAGGCCTGGCGATGTTCTATGGAAATGTCAGCACTGGCTATACCTCGGCGATCATCGGCGGATACATTGTGATGTACTGGGCGTACCGCAAGCACTTTGAGGTGTGGAAACGCTATAACTATCTGCTTGCAGCGGCTTTCGATGCTGGATTCAACTTGAACATGCTGCTCATCTTTTTCTTTTTCGGCGCTGGCAAGCAAATTTCGATGCCGAACTGGTGGGGGAATAATAGCGAGTCGGTTGAGCGGTGCTTTGCTCTGGAGAGCTGGTGATTGACGCCCTGCTGTGAGAATAATGTCGGTAGTCGTTGATAATAGTTAAAAATGAGATATGATGAATCTCCTCTATACTGTCCAAAATCCTTATAAATTCAGAATCCATCCACTAGCTGTGTACTTGGTTCATTGCAATCATCCGTCGAGTCCAGCCATGAACCTGTGTACCGGTTGATGCCTGAGGCCCCAAGGCCCTCGCCCCACAGCGGCGAATCACATCACGGGATCTCGAGGCGTCCCTTGCTGTTGCGGGTTGTTTTGGTTGGAGAGCTACACCTTGCAGACCGTCTCTTTTAAATCCTCCCCTTTCCACTCTCCTTCCCTCTCTCCTCCATCGCTCTCTACCACAATCACAAATCTTCCACCATGGGTGACCACGCTACCATCAACGACACCTCCGCTACCGAGGCTACCTTTGCCGACAAGGGCAAGGGCAAGGCCAAGGACCCCGAGCTGAGCATGGAGGAGGACAGCGACTCCGAGTCTGAGAACGGTGATGAGATGGTAAGTACCTTGCGCATTACCCATCGCCTTGAGATTGTTGCCTTTGCTGCCATCATGACCACCTTACTGACCTGTTGCAATAGAATGACAATGGTACACAACCCCTCCTCTCCCCCCACTTGCATCCTACCACCGTCACTGCCTATTTTACCGTGTCGTCACAACCCAATGGTTGAAACGCGCCTTGGCTCTGGCCGTCGCGACACCTCAACACCCTCCACCAACTCTCCCCTCCTCCCAAATCTATTCATCACTAATATCCAACCCACAGACGACGAGGACGTTGAAGACAACCTGGAACCCATCTCCGAATCCAACATCATCTCCGGTGGCCGCCGCACCCGTGGCAAGACCATTGACTGGGAAGAAGTCCGCAACAAGAACTCCGACGAGATGGAGGAGGACGAAGATGATGACGAGGACTACCATGGCGGCGGCGATGACGACCAGATGCGCGACTAAGCGCGCGCTGGGCGCCATGACGACTGCGACAAAGCTCAAGCTCTGATGATAAATGACTTGCTTTGGAGGATCGGCGCTTTTTGACTGGATGGGTGGCTCTCTCGGTCGTGTCTTCGGGGCATGTGTTCTCTTCCCTGTTCTCTGTTGATTTGCTCGAGGCATCCCTTTCTCGACGGGGATCGGATGGTCTTTCTCGATGCAGGTTTTGAGAATTGGGCTCGTGCACTGCTTGTACAGCGATGGCAATGACTCAATGAAGCTTGCTTGGTTTTAAAACTTATTTCCTGGCTCAGATTAATGGATCTATTTCTGAGTATTGACTGTTCATAGTAGGGTGATGTCGATAGAGATAGTTGTAGATCTATCTGTAGAACTTGGTCGGCGCGGACAATTCGTGATGAACGTGCATGACTGACGATACCCAGACCAAGGTACAGTCGAACAATCCAAATAGACCACAACAATGATCATCACTCGAAATCAAACACTGAATTCCAATCCCACTTGGCATACAAAGAGTAAACAGGTACGCCCCATCACGTGCAGCCGGCTCGGTCTCGGCCACCATACGCTTTGGCCACCTGTGTTTTTGTGCTCCGCAAGCATCCAAAGAAAGCACCAACTACGCCCAAAGACGGGCGATTCTCTCATTCTCGGCGTCGCGCAATGTCCCTATTCCACTGTTGACACAGAAACCAACCTACCAACTGATCTGACGACCCAACACAACCCTGCGGTTCTCTGAACCACCCGCAACGATCCACCATGGCTTCACGGTATACTCCCATCCCATCTCCCCTTTCTTAGCAGTCTATCTCGGTCGGCCAGCCACACACAGACTTGCGCACTCGAAATAGCGACTTTGACTAATATGACATGTTATCGCGAATAGATTTCCACGCCAACGAGATCCCCGCTCTTCCTCATCGCTATTCGACTCGTACGGTGGTGGCGACTCACGTCCGGCGAGCAGATCTCCTGTCCCGTCAGGTGGATATGGATACGGGGGGTATGCTGGCCCAGCGGCCAATGCTTATCCCAACGGGAATGGTAGCGCGAGTTTCCGCAGTGCGACACCTGATAAGAAGTACGTCACTCGGCAGACTGGAGAAGCGTTCATACGCACCTGTGCTTGTCGGTTTGCGGATATAATCTAACGCTCGTTGTAGGGGCCACTACTCCGACGCCGTACTCTCCTCGCTTGAATCCCAAAATGACGCCGAAGTGGAAGGCATCACTGCCAAAGTGAAGATGTTGAAAGATGTAAGCAGTTCCCGCATCCCACTCCATGCCCATAATAAGGGCAGACAAGCCCCGTTGTAACAGCCAGATACTAATATCCCCCGGTTCTAGATGACGATAGCCATCGGCGACGAGATCCGCGACACCACGTACCTAAATACCCTCGAAAACTCCTTCGAGAGCACCCGGGTAAAGCTCCGCGGGAATATGAATCGCATGCTGCGCATGGCGGAGCGTACTGGTGTCGGGTGGAAGGTCTGGCTGGGCTTTTTCGCCGCTGTTTTCTTCCTTTTCTTCTATGTGTGGGTATTCTAGGGGATGATATACTTTGGCAACCAAGGTTGAACTGCCTTTGTTTTTACGCTTTGGCTGGGCAGGCTTGATGCAATATTTAATCTGTCGATGGAGAACCTCGTGGGCCCAGGCGGCGAACGCATATATACAAGTTTGTTATTATCTGCATGATTTCATTGGACTGTGGCGTTTGGGGGAGCTTTCTTTGTGTTTGTTTCTTCCTACCCTTTGTGGCTGGGACTTGGACAAGCCTTTTCCTGTTGGTCTTCTTGTTTTATTACCCTTGCAATCCTCGTCCTTCGGCTGGTTTGGTGCCTCTGTGCGCTGCATTTTGAACCTGGACTGGTCATAAAATCGGATTGCCAGTTCTCAAGGATGTATCCGTACATACTAAAGCATTTTGTACATAGAGCGACTGCTCTGGAATTACTTTGGTCGAATGGAGTCACGTCATTTCTTGTCCTAATCCCTCCTCCGCCTCTAATACCTTGAATTAATATCATCGCTGAAAGGTGCAAGTGTGGTATTCCTCTTCTTCCAGCCCGCTAGCGCATCTTCTACACCTGATTCAGCTTGGCTTGCTCCCCAGAGTTCCTAGATTATGGACAGCGTTGAGGGTCGACGGGTGGTTTTCCCCAAGCGCTTCCTTGTATCCAGCTAGCGCCCGCTTATACATCTTCTCCGCTTGCTCCAGCTTGCCTTGCTTCCAATAGAGAACCCCGAAGTTGGTGACAGTATCGAGAGTCGACGAGTGATTTGATCCGAGCACTTTCTCTTTCCCAGATAGCGCCTGCTGGTACATCTGCTCCGCCAGGTCTAGCTTGCCCTGTTCACTGTATAAAGTCCCGATATTCATGATCGAGGCGAGGGTGGACGTATGGTCCACTCCAAGCGCTTTCTCTTTCCCAGCTAGAGCCCGCTGGTGCATCTGCTCCGACTGTTCTAGTTTGCCTTGTTGTCGATATAGAACCCCAAGACTATCGGCAACCGTAAGGCTCGACGGATGATCTGTTCCAAGCGCTTTCTCGTACCTAGCTAGCACTTGCTTGTAGATCGGCTCTGCTTGCTCCAGCTTACCTTGCTTCCAATATAGAACCCCGAGATTGTAGACAGTGTCAAGGGTCGACATGTGGTTTTCTCCAAGCACGAGCTCCTTAGATAGCGCCCGCTGGTACATATGCTCGGCCTGATCTAGCTTGCACTGGTTCTGATATAGACTACTGAGACTATTCATAGTCTGAAGGATCGACCTGTCGTCCTCTACCAGAACTTTCTCGTACCCAGCTAGCGCTCGCTGGTACATCTGCTCCGCCTGGTCTAGCTTTGCTTGCTTCCGATATAGAATCCCGAGATTGTTGATGGTGCGAAGGGTTGACGGATGGTTCATTCCAAGTGCTTTCTCTCTCCCAGCTAGTACACGCTGGTACAACTGCTCGGCCTGATCCAGCTTGCCTTGGTTCCGATATAGAATCCCTATGTTGTGTACAGTATCGAGGGTCGACAGGTTATCCGCTCCGAGCGCTTTTTCTTTCCCAGTCAGGGCTCGCTGATACATCTGCTCTGCAGCAAGAAAATGAAGCTGGCGTTGAAGTAGATTTCCAATTTGTGAAGCTTGATCGAGTCGACAGGGCGTAATTTTGTATGTACCGTCGATCTTACACAAGTGCTGTTGCACAAGTCGCGTAGCATGTGCAGCTAAAGGAGCATAGGAGAGCTTTGCAAAATCTTCCGAGTCATCATTTTTGATAGACGCGGAAATGCAATCAAAAGCATACCAATAATGCTCTACGTCGATATTTTTATTGAGTGCTGCCAATGTCCAGTCGTGCACGCAGTTATGCATACTCCATGACCCAAACGTTTGATCAACGTCTAGGAAATAGTAATCGGTCAGGATTCTCATGACTTTTTCAAAATCAAAGTCGTCTATGAGGACTTTACGAAGCCACTCGGGGGAATTATCGACAATTCCAACATGAAAATGCTCGTACCAAAGTCTATGGTTGTCGAAGTAGGCGAGGATTTTAAGCATTTTCGCCGCGTCCGGATTTTCCTTTTCTATACGAAAATATGACAGATCCCACGTTGTGTAGAGGGTGCGCTCTTGATATTCCTGAAGCTCTAGTGATCGGTCCGGGTCAAGGTTCCAGCGTTTCTCGTATTCTCGAAGGTAGCGTTCGAAAGTAAAGATACTGCGCTGGAGATACGTCCCGGCGGTAGCTAAGGCAAGAGGAAGACCTGCAAGTCGCTCTGCAAGGCGCTTTGCATGAGGATCTAATGATAGTGGTTAGAATATTTTCGAAAGATTTGTTTATAGTTATACCATACCTAAGTGGACATTCTCTCGTTTTGATCGGGTCTGCAGGATTGCGAGGCTATCTTCAATATTCTGAAAAGGCTTTATATGGAGAGAGGTCCCAGTGACGAGATCCGGCCGTCGAGTAGTGACAATAATGTCTCCATGAGAGGCCGGAGGGTAATAGCGGTCAATTTTAAACTGAGTAGGGTCGTCGTAGTTGTCAAAGATCAATAGCCACCCAGTATTCTTCGGCGTACATAGCCATTGGTGGATACGTCTCTCGATCTCTTTGTCCTCCAACACACTAGGTTGATCAACGTCAAAGATCAGGCCAGCCACCATTCGGAAACTGTCTTGTAATGCGGTCTCAGATACTGCATTAAGCCATAGAACCGAGTCATAGGATCCACGGCCAGACTCAGAATAGGCGATCGCAAGCTGGGTCTTGCCAATACCACCAATGCCCCCGAGGACTAGGCGCCGTTGCTTTTGTGCCCTGTTGTCGGGGTGTAGAACTTTTGCAATCTCATCAAGCTCGTAGCCACGACCGATGAACAGTTCGGAGGGAATGTAAGGTGCTTGACCGCGTAATATGCCAACAAGTCCGCGATAGCTGAAGTTGGCCTGCGGTTTTATAACTACAAAGGACAGTCAGTTAAGCATTTCACTGGCTTAGATATAAATCTTTTGTCATAGTAAGAGGATTCGAATCGTTTCCAAAGCATAAATAGCTTACATGATGGAGACAGGAAATAGCAGAGAGCGAGTTTACGCTAAGATATACCACTTAGCTTCAGTGCTCTGTCCACCAACACGGAAGGTTATGCGATTTAAACCATGCGATCAAATCAGGAAGCATGACGGATCAGGAAAACCACGCATGACGCTGAGCATATGCTCGATTCTCCACGCTGAATGGAAGCAGGAAAGGAAACTGTCTCTGTCGTGCAAGTGATAAAAAGCGACATTGCTAATCCTTACCGAAGCTTTGACGTTCAGCAATATACTGCGTTCCATTACCACTGTTGACATGATAAGCCCCATAGCCCTTGTGGACGTAGTTATGCTGTGTTCCTCCATTATTCGTGAAAGTCATGCCCAGGTTGTCTTCGTGAGGTGTCGAAGAATCGACTGAACTGATTTCTTTTATGATGTTTTCAAGTTCGAGGTTTTGCTGCTGATTCGCAGACTGGACCGCATTATGGTTGACAATGAGTTGGACGTCTTCGGTAATTGATCTCATAAGCTCTTCGACCTTGTTTCCTTTGCCAAGTCTTTGCAGGACTTTCAGATATCGCTTCTCTCGTGTATCGGTTTCACCGGGAACGACTTTCTCGAAGATAACTCTCAAGTTGAGAGCTTTTGTATCACACGCATCAAGGCTCTTCTCTAAGGCCTCGAAGGCTTCTTCAGATATTGAGTCTTTTCTTGATTCTAGATGGCTTTTGCATGCCTCCAAAGTATCGAGGAGGATTGGGAGTCGGCGTCGAACAACTTCGAATGCGGCTGATAACTTCATGTCTTTCCGAGCACTGTCATAAATCTTAATCGAGGCATCAAGGATGGAAATGATCGCGGATATACCGCCGATCACCTCCAAACCTGACATCCTAACAGGATCGATGAAGATAGATTATGGTTTAACCAAGAGAACAGAATGGTGCACACTCGGCTATTTATTAGAGCCAAGGAGGGGTAGGAGGCGCAGCCCCTAGGCGCCAGCGGGGAACCACATGCGCCCCCAAATATCTGTAGAATGTGATAGCGCTACTTTAGTTTGCTTCTCACGACCCTAAAAGCACCAATTATCTCCTCGGGCGGTGATACGTTGCATGGTTAGGAGCAGATAGTTCCTCTCCAAGCCGCTTTTGCTGCTGCTTCCCGTCAGCACCTTGAACTAGCCGCCCGAGACAACTACGCAGTTCCGCCCGTTTCTAAGACCCAGATTCAGAAGAGTAGATCCAATCAACTTCTTCCTCTCTCTCTTCAGGTTTTTAATTTTGCTATGTCACCTTGCTTAACTCTCTTCGCCCTTGCCTACTATGGAGTAATTCAGAGTTCTGCTGGATAAACCGTGCTTAGTAATATGCCCTTGTCCTAACTAACGCTGTTATCGTCCGCCGCAGTACAGTATTATCAAGGTGTGTCGTGTCATAGTGGCGACATGATCAGAAAAAGACTTCGAGACAGCAAATTGTTACACTGGTACTTTGTTGGCACCGGGGCAGCCCTTCCCGCATGATATGTTTGGAAACGTAAGTATATACTAGGTTTCTGAATACAGTTGTTTCACTGCAATATTTTGTAGTATTGCCCGCGCCGTGCCTTTATTACTTACGGCTGTACTATTATACAAGCTGCATGACTTGGTATTCCTCTATTAATGCGGATGACTCAAGAAGTTACCACGCTAAGGCATTAGGGGTGGGACTAGAAGAGATTCTGTGTGTCACTTAGTCAAGTCGATCTCGAGAAGGACGATACAAGAAAGGGCCTTGAAGACGGCCGGTTGTCTCGTGGTTGTTGAACGGTGTTTAAAGTCGATTTGTGTTGGTCGTATTTCTAAGTTCTGAGTATCAAAAAGCTTATTATCGATCGATGGAAGCCCGGAATGCGGCTCAATCAAAGACTTACTTTCTTCCATACTGGTGGAGATGAAAAGAAAACACAAAACTTGTACGAGGAAGAAAGTGATATTTGGTATTCTTTCCCCTTGAATCAATCACCAACCTACTCCAAATTGACTTCCTCGGGGAACTATATCTCTGTTGCTAGACATGAGGTCACCCAGCACTTCCCCACAATTTTTCAACTTTGGGGTCCCGGACCATGACTAATAAATGGCAAATTTGGGCTCTGAACAATATAGCTATAACCTAATTAGCATCGGATTTGTCAGATTGGTTAGGGGATTGGTCCGGGATTTTCGATCAGAAAGTAGCAAATTTCGTGGCCTGGCATCCCGTGGTTTACACGGAGTATATCCCTATTGTTTATGAGATTCCGGCGGCTCTCCTCGGCTTGCCAGGTTCATTTTCCGCAACAGAACACTTTGGAAGCTTCACGCGATCACCCTTGTTTTCACCATTCGCTAAGCCAAAGTATCAAGTAAAACCCTTGATCTTTTCACAGCCTATCCGTCGATTCTGTGGGTTCTTATGATCAGAAGAAAAAATTTTCTCCTCGTCGACGAGCACTTGATACATAATCTACACCTTTGAACGCGCCAATCAAAGGGCTATTTTCTGGTTCAGCTTGGCCTGGCAACCCACCAATCACGAAGCTCAGACCACGGCTGCTCTCGTCGGGTGCCAGTTCGACTTTTTGTGTGGATTGAAGCTTCCGTTTAGGGAAGACTTGGAGTATTAATGTGGGTCAATACCAGAATATCAAGATATTCAGTTGCTATGCACAGCTACCGTACTAATAGAGATCTTAGCACACTGCTAGGGTCCTAGAGTTGCTATGACACGTCTGCCATTCCTTCATAGGGATCCTGGACGGCACGGAAGTGGAGCCTGGCCAAGAGCCAGGCCCAGTTGAAAGGAGAGTGGACAATTCCCAGAGCTCTTCGAGAAGGCCCGAAAATGGGTAATAAAGGTTCTTCCTTCATAAGACCATGCCTTAGAAATCCGATGTCGACCTCATCCCTTGCTTCTTGTAAAATGCCTCTGGGCCGAGTGCTCGGGTTAGCTTACCCTTTGTCTCTCCTTTCTTCTTGCCCCGATCCAGGGGGAGATTCACTCAACAAAGCATTCGTACCGGAGAATACCTTGCACGATTGAACCATGGTTGACCTTTTTTGTTTTTTGGAATTATTTGATGTTAAAGAGGGAAATCGTGTATCCCGTAGGAGCTATCCGTATCCTACCCCCGTTTCCCCCATCCTAAGATGTCTATTTGTTTGTGGTTTGTATTTAGGGCTCGAATCCCCACCAGTCAGCGCATCTACAAATCCCGCCCGTTCATTGGCGGCATCTCAAACCGAAGCAAAAGGGTCGCACTGGTAATTAATCGTGACTATGCTCTACCACCCTCGTAGTCGAGTAATTTTTTGCTATAGCCTGATGTTCAGACTGCGTCCATGACCGGCAAAAGACCAGGAAAACAATCATCCAAATCACCGGGGGGAGGGTGCGTCTGCGCAGAATGAAGTATCGACGGCGCTACCAGAGCCACATAGTGCCCCTGCAACGCCTAAGCGGCCGTCTATTCAGGACAGAACGTCGACGTGGGGAGCAACAAGAACGACCAACTCCGCGCCCGCTCTAGCATCCTCGCAGAGTGTGCAAAATATGTCCAAGGCCAAAGTGGCTATTCCGCGCCAGCCACCAAATAATCATGCACCGCGCTACAATCGACGGGTCCCGCGGGCTTGTGAGTCGTGTAGACAGCGGAAAACGAAATGCAGCGGCGATACCCCCATATGTCGACAATGTCGGGAGTTAAGAGTCAATTGTCATTACCCCGTGGGTTGGAGGGAACGGATGAAAAAGTGGGCGAATCGAACCAATTTCCGCCGTCCTTGTCTGGCAAAACACACAATAAAAGAACTGCAATCGATTAACTAATGGCCGTGATTTACTACCACAACAGGGATGTGGACAAGCTCAATGCTGAGATTCAAGATTATGAAAACTTCGTCAGTGCCTTACGCAGTACCACCGAGCCTCGCACGGCCGAATGGATCAAAAGCTTGCTGGACAAGGTGTGTCTGCTTCTATTCAAGGTCCTTGACATCTCGGCTGTTGGCTGCTAACTTTTTTGGTTGTTTGTCTCGAAAGCATGGGTTAAAAGGAGACCATTACTTAGACAGTACTCAATCTCATCTGTCGACTCCACAGAATGAGATGGATGCCGATGAGCGGTCACCTCTCTCATCTATTGGCTCGCTAGAGGCGATTGATCGAGTAGAGGAGGATCTAAATCGGACCGAGCATACTCGAGCTACGGGTTTCATGGGGAAAAGTTCGGAAATCTCTTGGATGCAACGGGTCCAGAGAGAGGCCGAGCAACGGGCTCGAGGGTATGCTGGAATTATGGAATCTAATCAGGAGAAAAACGAAGAAGGACGAGACGGATTCTCACTTCATGCACTAAACTACCATTTGGACGACCTCGACATCTCCGTCTCCGAACCAGTGGAACGATACGACATGCCCCCTCGACATCTAGCTGATCGGCTTTTCGACGATTATCTAGACACGGTACACCCTTTCTTTCCAATTATCAGCAAACCGCTTTTCCGCGCTCAATACCAGACCTTCTTCGACAGTTTCGCTAGATCCAATGCTCCTCGACCGGGTGATAAGTGGCTTGCCATTTTGAATACTATATTTGCAATTGCGGCCAAGCATGCCCACCTCATCAATGCACCGTGGCGAGGGGTTTGCGACGACCATTTGATGTATATGACCCGGGCTCGACTACTCAGTCTCAATTCCGAGGTCTTGTTCAGCCATCCGGACCTTCAGCAAGTTCAGGTTGAGAGCTTGATTGCATTTTACCTCCTTGCATCAGATCAAATTAATAGGTCTGTTTTTAACCTCATCCTCTGGTTATATTTCAAACACCCACTAATGATCGAGAATAGGGCATGGAGAATCTCTGCTCTAGCGGTCCGATCTGCGATCACGCTTGGACTCAACCTGAAGAACAACAGTTCCATTACATCCAACATTTCCAAAGAAGCTCGGTACAGAGTCTGGTGGTGTCTATATTCCTTTGAACACATGCTAGGAATCATGACTGGCCGAGCCATCTATACTCTCGATGGCGGATACGCAACTCCTTTGCCCCTTCCTTTCGAAGAAGAACAACTACAAGAAGATCCCACGGCCATTGAGATATTAAACAGTCCCGCTTTACGAGATGAGCTGATCAATAACGTCATGTCGAGTACCGTGATCCGACAAGCGGGCAGCCGGGAAGATGCTCAGAAGTCCAGACCTCGAGACCAAACGTGGCTCAAAAAACTGCCTTCTAATTTTGGACTTTGCTATCTATATCATTGTGACTTGACAGTCATCACGCAAGAGATTGTCAACAAAGTCTACTCGACCAATTGCGTCAAGTTGACATGGTCAGAGATTGAGGCGCGGCTCGATGAACTTCGCGCTCGCATTGACGCCTGGCAGTCGAGCCTTCCAACGGTGCTTGACTTTACCAATGACGAGGCCGAAGATACGCCAGATCAACTTCGATGCAAATTAATCCTGGCATTTCATTACTATAGCGCGCGGATTACTCTTGGACGCCCTTGTCTTTGCCGACGGGATGCACGCCAGCAAAATTCTCAACAAACTTTCAGCCATACGATGGCTCTCATTACCATAGACTCGGCCTCACGCCTACTTGGCCTGCTCCCCGACGAACCAGACGTCCTGCAACTCTTCCGAATCTGTCCGTGGTGGTGTGTCTTACGCTATCTCATGCAGGCGACGACAGTCATCCTCCTCGAGCTGTCCTTCGGCAGCGTCCACCTCCCAGAAGACGAAGACCGGTTCGTACGATTAGCGAAAAAGTCAATACGCTGGTTCCACGCCATGTCCGATCGAAGCATCGGCTCACGACGAGCCTGGCAACTCTGTGACTCCAGTTTCCGGAAACTGGCCAGCGGCATGAAATACAACACCGACGATCTCCCCTCCCATCCACGCCCGCAAGAGCGTTTCGCCGCCGAGAATAATGTTCATTCTCATATCTCATCTTTTCACCATGGAGGAGGTCATTCCTCCCATAGCGATTATTTCACGCTCCACCCGGAAGAGATGAACCCCCTTTTACACCGTCCCGCCCCTGTACATGATGGAGATGCCTGGACGAATTACTTCAACCTCCCCACTCCCGATTTGATGTGGCCGCTTTCAGGCCCGGTTGAAATTACTGAAGACTCGTATTTTCCATATGACCCTCTCAGTGAAGAGTTTATCCGGTCTTTCTTTCCTTCTTCGGACGAGGAGAATAGGGGACCGCGATGAAGGCCCGGCTTGATGAAGATAGGAACGCAAACAGACATCCTTTTCTTGCTATTTTCGGCATATCATCTTTCATGAATCACCAGTCAATTCCATATCTCTTATACCAGCGTGCCTTACTTTCTGTTCTCGCAAACGTCATCTTAGCGCATTAGCATAGTCTTCGAATGAAGATCGCATTTGCATAGTCGTCTCTGCAGTTATTCAAGTTCAAGTGGGCAATGTCCTAATGATCCACAATTTTATCCAGCCTTCTAGACGATATGTACCAGTCCACCATGATAAATTCATTGCGATCATCATAAGTCTTGAAATAAACGAGTCCTTGCAGTTCATAGAATAGAGCCAGCCAATCACAGCGCTCGAGAGCCGAGGCTTATCTGTGCATCAAACAATGCAAACAAGACCTCGTATTGCCTGATGCTCGTACCACCGAGTTCCATGATCACGAAGCACTTCCCTCGGGAACCACCGGACGTCCATTTATCTTCTTACAACTACTGCGTCGCCCGGAGGACCTGCATTGACACTGTCACGGCCAGTGCAATTGTTCCCTTGAAACCTGTCCTGGTCCCGTGCGCATCCAATCACCGTCCCGAATATGGCTTCCCGATCATTCATGCCTCTGCGGAGGTCATTCACTCAGCTCTCGTCCCGAACTGCTCGTGCAGCTGGTCGCAATGCGGGCAGCTCTGTTCGCGGATATGCCACTGAGAACTCGTCTCGTCAGAAACAGCAATTCACCGTGTGGCGGCCATACCTGCGTCTCGCGATTGGCGTGCCGTTCATCGGTATGATCATTTACTCCATGGTAAGCAATGTACCTCCAAATGGATCGATTGCACATATGTGTATATGCTGATGAATGTGACAGGCCACCGGCGAAGTCACAGACCTCGACTCCCCATCCATCGCCGAGCTAGACGCAGCTCTGAAGCAATCCTCCGAAATCACCGAGTCCTCCCCCATGCGCCTGCGAATGGAAAAGCTCATCAAGGAGCAACAGCAGAAAATCATTGCGGAATTGGCCAGGATAGACGGGAAGGAGTTCAAGCAAGATACTTGGACCCGGCCCAATGGTGGTGGCGGTATTTCATGCGTCCTGCAAGACGGAAATGTCTTTGAAAAGGCCGGCGTCAATGTCTCCGTCGTATACGGTGAACTGCCTAGACCGGCAATTGAGAAGATGCGCGCTGATCACAAGTCCTTTGTCGGCGCGGACGTTGATTCTCTGAGCTTCTTTGCCGCGGGCCTCTCACTCGTGCTGCATCCGCATAACCCCATGGCCCCGACTGTGCATTTGAACTACCGTTACTTCGAGACCTCGGATCCCAAGGACCCCATCAATGGTGATAAGAACTGGTGGTTTGGCGGCGGTACTGATCTCACCCCGTCCTACCTCTTCCCCGAGGATGCCCAGCACTTCCACAAGACGATCAAGGATACCTGCGATCGCCACGATCCCACGTATTACCCCAAGTTCAAGGCCTGGTGCGACAAGTACTTCTACCTCCCCCACCGCGGTGAATGCCGCGGCGTCGGCGGTATCTTCTTCGACGATCTAGACGTCAATTTCCTTCAAACATCTGCCGGCTCTTCGTCCAACCCGCAGGAAACCTTGTTCTCCTTTGTCTCGGACGGTCTGGCCTCGTTCCTCCCCTCCTACGTGCCTATCATCGAGAAGCGTAAGGATATGTCGTATACCCCGGAGCAGAAGCAGTGGCAACAACTGCGTCGTGGCCGCTATGTTGAGTTTAACCTCGTTTATGACCGGGGTACCAGCTTCGGTCTGCGGACTCCTAATGCCCGTGTGGAGAGTATTTTGATGAGTTTGCCCCGCACGGCTAGCTGGGCTTATATGGATCCCGTCTCGGGTACGAGGACGGAAAGTATGCCGGTTGATGAGGAGGATCTGGGTGAGGATAAGACTAGTGAGAAAGAGATTATGGATGTGTTGAAGCACCCTCGGCAGTGGGCCTGATTTGGGCGCCATTTGTTGAGCGGTTGGTTTTGCATGGTTCGTGAATCTCGTCTCTTCTGCTGATCTAAAATTTCTATGCATTCTATCCTCGCCTCATCATGATTGGGCTTGTCTGGGAATCTATGTACATTACTCAAAAATAATATTTGCGGTATACTCCAGTTTGCCAAGTTAAGAAAGGGTTCGTTTCATATCGAGTAATGTGTATGGAGACAATGAATGTAGTTGTAAATAGATCTATGGAAGGACTCGAAACAACAAGAGAAGACCAAATGATCGCTCTTGTATAATCAGAACTACCTTCCACTCTCGACTCCTCCAGGCATAATGTATACGGCAAACATGAAAGTCACAAGAAAGGATATCAAGCACGTTTATGTCAACCACGGCCTTCCCAAAAGGAAGAAACCGCCAGGGAATATCAACAGGCAAAGGAGAAACATTCTATATGCAGTTGAAAAGCATACAATTCAAAGGATATAAGGGCGATCTAAGGGTAATAGACAAAAAAAGACAAAATAAAAGAGACGAAGAAAACGATCGAGATTAAATAGTTGACTTGACCGACCGCACATGACTTCAAGCGTAGGCTTATTGGCCAGCAACTACACTACGTTGCTTGGCCAGCCAGCCACGAGGATCGGTCATGTTTGCACCGTGTCGGTATCGAGAGGTGGTCATGTTGTTATTCTGCCATCGGCTCTGGAGGTGGTACCAAGCTGAACTTACGAGACTGAGTTCTCGGGCTTGGTCGTCGATGATCTTCTGGAGTTCCATCTGCGGAAACAGTGAGCACGTACACAGCTTGGAGGGAGGGCCGGAAGTAGATCCAGGAAAATAGGTTGGACGTACTTCACGTTCTCTCGAAATTCCGTCATCCAGATTCTCTTCGTAGTTCTTCATGCTCTCCCGGAGCGACTTGATGAGTTCATTCTGTTGTTGGATATACTGCGCAAGTGAACAGTGTCAGCACATGTATCATTAGGACTAGACCATAGATGATGGGCAATACCTCTGCACGCTGAGCCAACCGCTCTACATTCTTCTCCAAGACGCCTGCGCACTGCTTCAGGAGCTCAAAGCTCGACTTCTGCGGCACATCGCCACCCTCGCTGTTTACGATTTCAAATTCGCCCAACAACATCTGCATCTCGTTCATCACCTCCTGATCCTCGGCGCTGATCTCGTTTTGCTTGGTGTCTAGCATCTTGCGCAGCTCTTCACGCTCAGAGCACACTTCGCGCACCAGAGTCTGGCTAGCATCCACTTCGGCTTCCAAGTGGTGTACGTTCTGGGTAAGATTGTCCCATTCGCTGCGTAGTTTGGCCAGTTCAGACGAGTTGTGCTCTTCAAGTTCGCGGAGAAGATCGGACTTTTCGGTAGAGAAGAGTGAGACTGTGACCGGTGTAAGCAATCTGATTTGCGATTTGAAAGCTGCCTCGACTTACTCTGAGTTTGGGCATCCGAAAGGTCCTTCTTGGTGGTTTCTAGGGTATCTTGAATTTCTGCAATCTTCTTCAAAGACCCAGTATAATTTTCGTATAGCTTCCAATACTCGTCACTGTTTATTGATCAGTACATCTGTGAATCTCGGAATAGTACGATCGCAAGTACCTTTGAGTGGAGTTGGCACGTGCGACCTCCACGGATGTATTGAAGTTCTCAGAAAATATTTCGGGCGCCTCAGGCTAGTCAGTGTTAGCAGTTGTAGTTTTTGATTATAATTTCCAAGATGCATACAGCTGTCGATGGCGCTTTCAAAGATTCCATCTCTCGCTTCAAGTCCTCGTTCTCGGATTTCCTAGGACCAAGTCAGCAAAAATTCCAATCTGCCACCGGCTAGTGAAACATACAGCTGTGATTCTCTCATTCCAATTGCCTCAAAGTCCTTGCTCAGGGTGCCTTGCATCTTCGGGGTCTCAGAGCCCGGTGACTGGCTGCCAGGTAGACCATCCAACTCTCCCAGACGTTCGCGTAGTTCACTAATTAACGCGTCATCTCTCTCGTGCTGCTCATCGGCACTCTGGAGTCGCTCTGTCAGCGCGTGGTTATTGAACTCGAGCTGCTTCTTAAGATTTTGGATCTCATTGCACTCTTGTTCAATGCGTGGTAGCAGCTTGCGATACTCCTCCAGCTCGACTTCACGCTCTGAAGACCATCGTTGCTGTGAATCCGCTTCCTTTAACTGCTGCTGGATGTCTTTGATCTGATTCTTGAGCGTCTGGTTCTCCTTTTCAAAGTCCTGGCTGGCTTGAAGCTTCTGGCGATACTTCTCTGCTGCATTTGCCTTCCGCGCTAATTGGTCTTTCTCGGTGCGCAGCTCATCGTAGTCGTCTTGTAGTTTCTGGTATCGTTGATTCTTGACCTTCAATGATTCCACAGTCATGCGAAGACTGTCGATCTCGTCTTGAGCAGCACCCAGTTTGGCCTCTTGTGACGCGATAAGATCGTCCTGCTGGCGAGTCTTGCTCTCCAGAGCCTTTGCATTGAATCCAAGGTCACCCTTTCCAGACTTGAGGGTGACTAGACGATCCTCTGTTGAAGCCAACCGGTTCTGAAGTGTATCATTGTTCTCTTGGAGACGCGCCAAGCGATTGTGCAGGTCCTCCAACGCCTTCTCCAATTCCTTCTTCTCATGTGTCAGTCGATCATTCTCCGCGATCACCTTTCCGACGCGTTCCTCGAACTGCAGCTCCAGATCCACGGGGTGATCTGCCTTTGTGGACTCCTCCGGGAGATCATCGACCCCGTCCAGGGGCTCATGTTGACCATTATGCGCCTCCTCAATAATATCCTTCAGCCCCTCCTGAGTCGGGGTCGTGAGCGACTGGAGGGTCTGCACGTAGGTTCCGGCGTTAGGGGAGCTGATGGCGGCGATCAAGAGCAATTTCAGCAACTTGTTGGTTTCCTTGGTCGATGCTTTCTCTGCGACGGCTTCGAGATCGGGCGACGGGTCGAGACCGGAGGGAATAGTGTCATCGTTTTGGTGTCGGATGTAACTGAGCAGGAGCTTGTGAATGTGCTTCAAGTTCTGCCACTTGGCGACCCAATGGTCGGCCGGGTTCCGTTCAGGGATCTCATCGAGGAAGTATTGCGGGTCGATATCCTGGAGGATCTCCCATAGGATAATGCCGTCGGTCAATTCGTCCGTCCCTCGGAGTGTTTTGCCCAAGGAGAAGCTGTTGATCCATTCCAAGAGAACCTTGGTCACGGTGTGTTCCTGGGCCATGGCGAATGATCGTGGTTCAGTAGAATGACGGAAGGAATGAAAGAGAGAACAAGCTTAAATCCAGCATTCCCCAGACCGCGCAGGCACCGGCACAAGGACAGGCATGGACGCAGCGGAGGGAGAGGTGGCCTGGGGGAAAGTTGCGGATCCACGCGATCGCGTTTCGGGGGCGCCCCAAGTGACTAGCGGGGGGATGATCGTCCCCGTCCTTACGTAGGACGTATACTCGCTTGTTAACGTTCTTACATTAATTAGGGATTATGTTAACACTTTTCGAGAGTCCAGGATACTGAGGGAATGTAGAAAATGTCATAAGAATCATTCGACCAGTTTCCCGATTGGATATATTACAGTAGATCCTGGCAAGGTAAATAGAACCAACAGAAATGTCCCTCGGGACTAGTTGCCCAGACTCTGAGTATCAGTCAAAAAACACATATTCCCATGAGAACAAAAACTCCAGTCCCATCAAGTTCAAGCCTCCAAAAGATTGATCCCAAACACGCCAATATCCCAAAGTGTGCGCCTCATTGATTCGCATTATCATAGATGGCCGGTCTCCGACAGACGCTCGTCACACGTGCCACAGAACCAGCTGCGGTGGGAGAGAATCCGGATGTCTCCCAGATATCATTCATGTCCTTCCACTCTAGAAAGAGTGCTCCTGACCGACGTAGTCGCCATTCGCAGTCACGATTTTGTCCTCCTCGATGGTGGGCTTGTAGGCGGCGTCCTGGGTCGAGAGCGTCTGGAGCGCATTCACGGGAGCTTCGGCAGCGAATCCACTGGAAAAGACGTTAGTTATTGACCATATATCTCTCGGGAAACTGGGTCGATCATACGGGAAGAGATCTATCGAGTAAAATGGTTAGCCTCGGATGTCGCAATCATCAGAGCGAGGGAAGTACTTACGGTATTCATGGGTGATCACACCGCCCTGTTAAGTCAGTCAGTCAGTTAGAGAGGCTGGAAAGATGCAAGTTGGATATGCAAGGCCTACCGCAGCCACCAGGGAGTCCTTGGCCTGGTCAATCACCCGAGCAGGTGTACCGTTGGGGAAGGTGACGACGACGGACTTGAGGGACTTGGCAGCCAGCGCCAAGGGCAGGAGAGCCAGAAGACCAGTCAACAGGAACTTCATTGTAGCTTGTTAGTTATAGAGTAGAATGGAAATGATGGAGTAGTTGTAGATGAAGCAGTTCGTTAAGAAGAAGTGAAGATGTTGGGCCACGAGACTAAGTGACTCGCCCGAGGGTCTGCGTCATTGGATGGTCAGGTGACCTGCGGAGTGCGGATTGCGGACATCGGCCCAGCAATCCCTTCGTCAACCTGGTTGTCTTACGACATCTTCAACATCTTCAACATCTTCAACATCTTCAACCTCCCTCAAATTCCGTCTTCACTTTTCTCTTCCCTTTCTTCTTTCTTTCCTCCAGCATTGCCTGCTATTTAGCCTTTGATTTTCTTTCTTCCCTTCAGCATCTTGTGCATTGTCCGGACCCCCCGACCTCTCCCTTACCCCTCGGGTTCCTCGTTGACGTGAAGGAAAGCAGACACGGTGCTCAGGATTGCAGGGTCTTGCAGGATTGAAGGACAGGCGCGTTTGTTGTTGTCTCAAGTCTCGCAAAGATAGCTAGCAAGCATTTTACAAGTTCCGACTTCTTTTTCTCTCTCCATCTTTGATCGTCCAAGCAGGGTGGACCTGGGACCGAGGACGCAGATTAAGAAAGGAAAACACAAAAGGCAAAAGAAACAAAAGCAAACAGTCTCCTGTGATAGCAGTACAGGATCAGAAGCTACAGAATCAAAACTTCTTGCGGAAAGAGGAGGAATTGCACAAGGATCAGAAAGACCAAAAAACAAGACAAGTGCACGGCCAAGAAAAGTATCGCGAGAGGAAGAAGAGAAGACCAGTTGAAGCTATATTGAGGAATATCTCAAGGCGCCAGTGGTGGTTCACTACCATCTGAACCCTTGACAGAGCTCACTTTTCTCCAGGTGTCTTTGGAACTTTCCACTTTTCAGTCCTTATTCTTCTTTGTTCCTTCTTTTATCCCCCTCCCCTTCTAGCTGAGCTTTGAAAGCTGCAACGCTGAAACACACTCTGCCATCATGTCCGGCCTAGTCTCCGACGAGGTCGCCGAGGACTACAAGAGTTCCTTGGAGGATCTCACTGGCAATGACCGATTCCAGATCAGCAACTTGACCGTTATAGCCAAGGAGAACACCGAGCATGCCATGGCCATCTCCCGCGTGCTGGAGAATCACATTCGATCAGTAGGTGCTCATTTCGTCTCGTCCTCGTCTTCGCTCTTCGACCTCGCTGTTCGCTGTCCTCGTAGACTGGAATCTCTAACCGCCTCTTTAGACACCTCCCCAGCAGAAACTACCTGCCTTGTATGTAGTCGACTCCATCGTCAAGAATGTCGGGACCCCTTATACGCTGTTTCTGGGGCGAAACATGTATCAGACCTTTATGAATGCGTACACCTTGGTCGATACTCAGACTCGTCGCAAGTTGGACGAGATGCTGAAGACGTGGAAGGAGCCTGTCCCGGGTTCGCTGGACACGCGCCCGGTCTTCCCTCCCGAAATCACTCGGAATATCGAGAGCGCCCTCATCAAGGCCCGTACAGCCGCCTTGCAGCAGGAACAGGCCCGAGGCAGTCGCGATATTCTCAATCGCGGCCGTGGCACTGGCACGCCACCGGGCATGTCTCGACCAGCCAACAACCATCACGGCACCAACGGCCAGGCTTATAGCACACCAGTAAGATATTCCACACACGCCGTTGTGTCTGGTTATCCAGGACTCGCTAACCAAATTGCTCTCTCAGACACCACCTCAAGGTCATCGTCCAGGGAGTGAACTAGATGCTCTTAACCGAGACCTCGAGGCCTGTATTCTCTCAGCACGGAACGACTTTGCCGCTGCTCCCTTTGATCCCACGTCCCAGCAACGTCTGAAGGCACTGCTCGACCTCCAGACAATCATGCGAAACCAGCAGCTCACTCCAGAACAGCTTCGGCTAGTTCGCGATCAACTTTCAGCCTTCAGGCCGCAGGCTTCAGCAGCTCAGAACCAAGTACCAAGTGCTCCTCCTGCTGCTGTACCTGCTGTCGCTACTCCAATCCCTCCTCCGGCCCCGGTCTCTACTCCTCCAACCCAAACGACATCCCAACCCTTGCAAAACCTGTTGAACTCGAGAACCCTTGCAGAACTTATCAAGAATACTGCAATCCGCCAGCAACCTACTCCTCCACCCGCTATTCCCAATGTTATGCCTCCAATGCCCCAAATGCCCCAGATGGCTTCTGCTAGCTCCACACCACAGCCGGAAAATCCGCTGATTGCGGCTCTCCGATCGCGTGGTATTTTGCCTCCTGCATCGGCTCCTCCAGCCATGGGCTCTACGGGCCAAGGACCAACTAGAGATTCGCTGCCTTTCCTCGTTTCCGGTGGAATTAGTGGAATGCGGTCTACACCTCCCGCTCCCACTCCGCCAGTATCAATGCCAGTTTCGTCCACAGTTCCTATGAACACTGCCTCCATGAAAATGTTAGATCATCGTCATCTGTAGTTATTCTTTTCGACCATACTAACCAATCTTTGTTTAGTCCTCGCGTCGCTCTGGTGGTCTCTCTCTACGAAGCCAAGTCCAACCGGTGTGGTACTTGTGGACGCCGTTTTCCAACGACCCAGGAGGGTAAAGAGAAGAAAGCACGACACTTGGATTGGCACTTTAAGACGAACCAGCGCATGTCGGAGGCTGCTAAACGAGCTCAGACTCGGAGCTGGTACGTCGATGAAAGGGTATGTATCATCTAAACACTTCCATTCCTGTCCTCTCTACTTTACAACGTACTAACGACGGGTCTTGCAGGATTGGATCAAATCCCGCGAGGTCGATGACGACCAGCCTGTAGCCGATACAGATGCCACTACTGAAGGAGGCGCTGGTGCAGAGGGCAATGTTGCCAAGCAGGGCCTGCCCAAAGCGTGGATCCGCGCTCCCAACGATGGCACTCTCCGTAATACCCCCTGTCCCATCTGCCAGGAGAAGTTTGAGTCAACCTGGTCGGAAGACGTACAGGATTGGATCTGGCAGGATGCCGTCAAGGTTGGCAGTCGGGTCTATCATGCCAGCTGTTATGCCGAAGTCACCAAAGATGGACCTGCACCGCGTAGCTCAACTCCCCAAGCGCGTACTGGCACACCCGACTCTGTGCTGGGCAAACGCAAGGCAGAAGGGACGGATTCTCCGGGTGGGAAGACGCGCATCAAGACAGAGGCATGATGAAAATATGTAAATTAGAGACTCACTGCATAATTGAAAAATCGTGTAGCATCACGACGTTGCTTTTCCTGTTGCTTTCTGCCCCGCTCGGCGTATCTCCGTGTGGGCACATCGGCGTCTTCTCCACCGAGTCTTGTCTTGGTCATACTTAAGGGTCCTTAAATCCCCGTTTTGTTTCTGGAACGGAGTCTCACCTTGTCTTATAAGCACAATCTCGCTCCTTCTTACTGTCCATCCATCACTTCTGACTGTCCATTACTTCTCCGTATCACTATCTCATCATGGCACACACAATTCGCTGGGGTATCATGGGTATGTTTTTCATCCTTTCGACTACAAAATCAAAAAGCTAATCAATTCAATAGCCACTGGCTGGATCGCGGACAGTATGCTTGAACCCGCAACTTTCTCAGACAAGAGTCAAAAATCAATGATCTAACCGCTCCACCAGCTTTCGTCCGCGATCTCCTCCAAGATCCCAAAGCCCGCGATGCCTCCGACATCGCCCACCAAGTTGTCGCCGTTGCCTCCTCCTCCTCCAAGGACAAGGCAACGCAATTCATCTCAACCGTGGAAATCCCAGAGCCCTGCGCCGCCTACTCCAACTACGAAGACCTCGTCGCAGACCCCAACGTCGACGTAGTCTACGTTGCCACTCCGCACTCGCACCACTACCAGAACGTCATGCTGGCCCTGAACGCCGGCAAGAACGTACTCTGCGAAAAGGCGTTTACTGTTAATGCGGCGCAGACCAAGATTCTGTGTGACACGGCTCGTGAGAAGGGTCTTTTCCTGATGGAGGCGGTCTGGACTCGCTATTTCCCGTTGAGTGTGCAGGTGCGCGAGGTTATTCGCAGCGGGGAGATTGGGGAGGTGCTTAGGACGGTGGCTGATACGAGTTTCGGGGGTGATGTGGAGGAGAAATGGGGCACGACGCATCGGATGGTGAATCCCGATTTGGCGGGTGGTGCGTTGTTGGATTGTAAGTGCTGATATTATAAGGATGATGTGATCGAGAGTGAGATTAAGATTGAGATCGTTCGTGGCTAACTTCTCCTCCCCAGTGGGCATCTACTCTCTTACTTGGATCTTCCAAACCCTCTACCATACTCTCCCCAAAGACCAACGCAAACCACCAACCGTCACCTCCCAAATGACCCCCTACCACCTCACTGGCGCTGACGAATCCACCACCATCATCCTCAACTTCCCCACCAGCACGCCCACCAACGCCAAGCCCCCGCGCCGCTCCCACGGCATCGCAATGACCAACATTCGTGTCGCGGGTGACCCAGACGAACAGGGTACTTCGGGCCCGAACATTCGTATCCAGGGCACCAAGGGTGAAATCCAGGTATTTGGTCCTCCGTTCCGGCCGACCAAGTACCGCATTATTCCTGTGAAGGGTGCTGGGGAGGTGCGTGAGGTGGAGTGCCCGTTCCCTGCGGGTGGTCATGGGATGTTTTGGGAGGCGGATGAGGTTGCGAGGTGTTTGAGGGATGGGAAGTTGGAGAGTGACGGGTTGCCTTGGGAGGAGAGTATTGTTATTATGGAGGTTATGGATGAGGTTAGACGTCAGGGTGGATTGGTGTATCCGGCTAAGATTGAATCGACGGAGTATCCGTTGCAGTTGTAGAGTGGGTTTTTGTGGAGGGGAGGAGGATGGGGATAGTGAATAGTGTAGATAAATGCCATACATTATCTTTATGCTTGTGAGATACTATGTAGCAGGTTTAATGCAAGCTCTATTTGGTGTTCGAGCCATGAAGTAACTATGGTACTGGTAGATATCTGGTTTGCGAAGATGATTTACCAACTCCCAGACTACTTTGAGACTATTCCAAGTATAGAAAGTCTGGCAAGATACTGGCAAGGTACTCTCTCTACAAGTAGTGTGTAATACTCAAGTTAAGAATTGGTCATTGCTGGTGACATTGATTGGGTACTCGAACAAGTACACATACTATACATGACCTTGAGAGACAATTCTTCGTCTATATGCGAACGGTTATCACCAGTCCCTCGCTCCTCGTATGCTCCCCTTCCAACGAACCCAGGACAAAAGAAATAAGAAACAAAACAACGGGCGAGCACACGAGAGCGAACCCGACTGGCAACTCATCCACCCAGTCAGTCTCTTTGACCGACATGTCTGCGCTTTCGGAAATGGCGCCGCTTTTTAAACCACACCCCCTAGAGCACAAAGAAAATTTTCCTCCCAAGTGAGACCCCCTTTCTTACTGGGCCTTGTTGAAGACACCCAGAAGGCTCTTCCACACCTGACCAGGCTCCTGGCTGGCGTCAATGCCGCGCCAGATACCGGTCTTCTTGTAGTAGTCGCAGACGGGCGAGGTCTGAACGTGGTAAGTCTTCAGGCGCTTGGTGAGGGTCTCGGCGTTGTCGTCAGAACGCTGGATCAGAGGCTCGCCGGTGACATCGTCAACCATGTCCTTCTTGGGCGGGTTGAAGATCTTGTGGTACGAGCGGCCCGAGGCCGGATGCACCAGACGGCCGGTGATACGGGCGACAAGCAGGGCGTCGTCGATCTGCAACTCAATGGCGTGCTGGAGAGGGAGCTTGCGCGAGGCAAGCATGTCGTCCAGGCGCTCGGCCTGGGCAACGGTGCGCGGGAAACCGTCCAAGATGAAACTAGTCATTACATTTTGTGTCAGTTCAAAAGTTTCCCTTTGATGGCCTTCGGCAGCAAATGGCGATGACTAGAATGAAGCGAGCGAAATTGCCTACCCGTTCTTGCACTCAGTGTTGTTGTCCAACTCGCTCTTGATCATGTTCACCATGATCTCGTCGCTGACAAGACCACCCTGGTCCATGATCTTCTTAGCCTCCTTGCCGAGCTCGGTCTTCTTTGCGACCTGTGACCGCAGCATGTCTCCGGTAGCCTAATTGAGGAGGAGAAGATATCAGCAAACAATGCGCGCCTCATTCCACAGCTGCAGGGCCGGCTACTTACCAGGTGGCACGCGCAGAACTTGTCCTTGATGTTCGGAGCCTGGGTGCCCTTGCCTGGAGAATTCAGAAAAGATCGCATTAATACAGCTCCTTCGGTTTAATTGCAATATTCCAACACCATACCAGCACCAGGAGGTCCCATCAGAATGACGCGGATCTGTTCCGTAACCGACTTGGGCTTGCTGCCGCCGGTGAGACGGCTCTCGAGCTCGACAACCCGGGCCTCCAGCTTGCCGATGGTGTCCTTCAGACCGGAAACGACATCGTCGGTAATTGGTGCCATTGTGAAATGTATGGAGAGGGGAGAGGGCTCGAGGAGTCGTGAAGTGCAGACGGGTGGAAGGGAAAGGCTTGAGGATGGAGAGACGGAGAAATGGAAGGGAAGGAAACTTAGCGCCCGAGGTTCGGAGCAGCAACTTGCGGGCGACACGCCGGAAATGCATCTGAACCGAACTATGTATTTCTATTGAAGAATATGGGGTGTATAATGTGTTAGGTAGCGTCAATTCGTCTGAAATATTTGATTACAAGTCATTTATGGTCGTATAGCTAGATTATTGATTACTATCATACGAAAACTGGCCTACTCAACATGCCCCCAACAGACGAAGTGGCCGGAAACTGGGAAATGCGACGGGACCTAGGCACGGCTGACATAATCCACCAGCCACAATGGCGCAAGGTGTGGCGCGTGGCAGAAGCTCTCCGAGCATCATCATTCCTGTTCCCCAATTGAAAGCAACACACCTTCCAACCACGTCGATCTCTATTCTTTCAGTCCCACAACCTTTCTTTCCAGTTGATCACTGTTTTTCAAGCTCCTATATCTCACTGACTCCTCCGCCCTCCATACCGCCGCCATGCCTGCCACCACGGCGGACACGCTATCCCTCGTCAACCGCTCTGTCACGGTTGCCCCGTTAGTCCTGCTCTCCGTCGCCGATCATTACGGGCGCACAGCCAAGGGCACTCGGAAACGTGTGGTTGGTGTGCTGCTGGGTGAGAACTCGGGCAACAATGTGCGCGTATCCAACAGCTTCGCAGGTATGTTCGAGCTTTCTATTGCTGTCAACAAGCTGGTCCCGCAGGTGAGGCTGACGAGGTTTGGTTCCTCCTGCATCTAGTTCCGTTCGAGGAAGATGAGAAAGACCCGTCGGTTTGGTTCTTGGATCACAATTTCGTCGAGTCGATGAGGGACATGTTCAAGAAGATCAATGCTCGTGAGAAGCTGGTTGGCTGGTATCACTCTGGCCCGAAGCTGCGGGCTTCCGATCTCGAGATCAATGAGCTCTTCAAGAAATACACTCCCAACCCTTTGCTGGTTATTGTCGATGTACAGCCGAAGGAGGTTGGCGTGCCTACAGATGCCTACTTTGCCGTGGATGAGATTAAGGATGTAAGTTGATCTTGTTCTGGATGGGCTATAACAACATAACATGAAGCTAACCTGGGTCCTTTACGGCAGGACGGAACTACAACCTCCAGGACTTTCGTACACACACCATCGATAATCGAGGCCGAGGAGGCCGAGGAGATTGGCGTGGAGCACTTGCTCCGAGACATCAGAGACGTCGCCGTCGGCACGCTTTCCACCCGCATCACGTCACAGCTGCAGTCATTGCAAGGATTGCACCTCCGGCTGCGTGATATTGGCCAATATCTCCAGAAGGTCCTCGACCACGAACTCCCCGTCAACCACGCCATCCTGGGTAACCTCCAGGACGTCTTCAACCTCCTCCCCAACCTGTCTACCCCAACGACCACACAACGGATCAGCGGCCAGGAGACACAAATCGAGAACAGCGAACTGGCTCGGGCGATGAGTGTGAAGACCAACGATCAGTTGATGGCCATCTACATTAGCAGTCTGATCCGCGCGATCACAGCATTCCATGACCTGATCGAGAACAAGATCCAGAACCGACAGCAGCAGGAGGAGAGTGACTCGAAGCGGGAGCAGGAGATTAATGCGGCCAAGGGTGAGAAAGACGGCAAGAAGGCCAATGGCGAGCAAAAGGAGGAACAGGACAGCTCTGACAAGAGCAAGAAGAAGAGCTAAACCTTCTGTGGGATCATGTTGTTCTTTCTCTCTTCCTCTCCGTTTGGAAGAATGCAATGCCCCGCCGTTATGTTATGACCGCTTTAGAACTGCATCTGCTTGGCAGTGTATAGTACGGAATAATCAAAGATATGACCCGGTGGCTGTTGACTTTTCTCTTCACCGCCACTGTAGTTCGCGTTGGCGTCGCCCTGTCTCTCCCCGTAATCTTCGTAACGAACAGAATGCCAAATCCTTCTTCGCAAGGCCCATGCACTCGACTTGCCAATTCAGCCTGCAGCATGGCTGCTGACGAGGTGGGACGAGACCCATGGCCTGTGGCGTCGTAGAACAGTTCATCCCAAACGCCTCGCCAGCTCTTGCTCGAACCAGCGGAGCAAAACCTAGTCCCCCCTGTTCAAAAATATCCGATAGGCCAGCAATATTCCCTTTTCTTTTCTCCTGCCTTGCCCCTGGCAATAAGTTGTCTTGTCAATATCGAAATTCAACCACCCCATCCCGCACACCAGCCAGCCAACTCTTCCATCGAAATGCCCCGACCCGCATCCTCTCCACCCCCAAACAACCCCGGACACCGCGCAAACAATACACAGGCGAGAATATGCTTGCATGCCGGCGGCGAGTCCCGGTCAGTGGAACAAGTCAATGTCCCACCGAAGGGGTATACTGCAGATCTATCCCGGTCACGCAGCATTGCAGAGCTGGATGGGGGTTCTGCAGCTGAGTTGGGCTTGGAGATGGAGGTGAGACGGGAGTCTAGATCGCGGAATGCGGAGAGTGTAAAGGTGGGACAGGTGCAGTTCCAGGCTTGGAGGCGGACTTCGTAGACTTTTTGTGGTTCCTGTGTGGTGTGTGGTGATGTTGTAGTTGTGGCTGTTGTTGATGATGATGATGTTGCTCGGATAGGGTGTGCAGGGGCTGACGAAGCGGATGTTACTAGGAATAGAAACAGGTCTTCGTCAAGAGTGTTGTCGGTCGTATCATCGAGTGTAGTTTGGTCGCATCTTGTGTTTGTTCCATCGTGCCGTAGCTCTTCATTTCCCAAGGACACTGTTTGGTCCTGGGTAGGTGCTGATGATGATGGCACGGCATTGAATTTGTCCCCGCGCACCACAATCCGCTGAACCAGCTTCCGGTCCAGGATGTCCAGAGCTGGAAGGAGGTCATTGGGGAAGAGACAGTGTAATGTGAGTAGCAGCGGCTTCACTCTGGCGAGTTCAGATGCAGAGAGTCCAGATAGAGCGCTCTGCGGCGCCTTCGGCTGGTATGTGCTTTGTGTCCTGGGCGGGCCTAGTTCAGCACCGGTGGTGCTGCGCAGATCCGGTTGGAAGCTGGCTAGCTCATCTATGAGCTGATCAACAAAGCCTGCTGAGCTTGGAAGGTTGTATAGAGACGAATCGAGCTCCATGTTTTGAGTGGTTTGGACCTGGAGTGTGGCGAGAGGAAGATGCCAAGCGTGTGGGAGAACCTCTACGTGGTAGTGCTGGAAGGCTGTTTACAACCTATAATACCAACGGGAAAATGACTGGATCTCTTTTACGAATTGTTCGGTTGGTTAGAATATTTGGTCTACATTAACTCATACTGATAAAATGATGGTGCGGATTCAGACAAGCCAAAGTGGGTTTCTACTGCAAGAATATATAACTAGGGTAAACCAACCTTCTCTCTTCATCAGAGGCAGAATCATCCAATAACTCCGATGAAAGAACACAAATAACGCACGCAGAATCAAGTAAATCCCAAGTCCGACAACATTGCCAAGTCCCCTCTATATTCACTTCCGCGCAGTCTTCTTCCGGTTGGTACTGGCTTTTGTGATCCGACTATTGGGAGTTGACTCTGCCAGTTTCAGTTTCTTGTCCTTAACCAGCTTCTTGCAATTAGCTCGAGTCGAGCTCTGAACCGTGCGTTTCCGAGATGTCTCCTTCAGTTCATTCCAGAGGAACCCCTTGACATACGCCTTCAAGGTCGTTCTTCCTGTGTTGGTTGTGAACTTGATCTCCAAGGTGCCGCGCTGCTTCTCATCCAACTCGATTTCGTCCTCATTGTACTTCTGCGTAACTTGGGGACCGTTGGGAAGTGACACATCCCTCATCACGGCGTCTGGAGGGCTCACATAGAAATCCATAGGGTCGCTGGTTTCTGCTGCCCCTCCGTCTGTCTTCTTGTCGATATCCATCTTATCATAGGTCTCTGCAGGTCCTGCTCCAGCATCACTGTATTTGGTCTTGAGAAGAGATTCCTTCAAGCTAATCCCTGGGCCCCTGGTCACTAGAGGAAGCCGGCGATATGCAAAGACATACGCATTCTTCCGGATATCCTTCGAACCTGCCAGAGCCTCGAAAGACTCGTAGGTGCTTAGCTTCGTATCATCGGCGAGGGTCCAAGTTCCATCCTGACTCTTGACGGCAGCCATATAGTGGCCCGCATCCATGCTCGGTCCTTGGTGTAACAGCACAGATGAAAGTACATACTTGATGTCCTTTCTGATATCCCCAAGCTTGGGATCGAGCCACTCTTTCCGGAGAACCAACTCTTCCGAGAACTGAATTTCCGATTCAATCCTTACCGGTTCGGCTTCTCCAGATTCTGTAACTTGCTGGTCGATTCGATTGAGTTGTACCAGGAGAACCTCCGGGACCTCGGTAAGCACAAGCTCTGACTCTACAGGGTCCTTCTTGCAGGCAGTACACATTGCCTCGATCGGCTCCGTGGCAAAAGTGTTCTCAATTGCTTCTTCAAGTGTTTGGGAATCTTCATCCTCGCTGAAGTGAGCTGCCAAAAAATCGAAGCTAGAGGGGTTGGAAGTCTCGGCACCACAGCCTTTGACACCTGCACATGTTCTTTTATCGGCAGACTCGACCGCGAACATATCGTCGAGTGATTCTTTACTGCAGAATGGTAACATAAGCTTCATAAGAACCAGACCAGACCAGAATAAACGCAAAACCAAAGGGCTTTTAAAGAAGTGGTACTCACGCTGTATCTGCGATATTTTCCACCGAGAGCTGCTTGAGCAACTCGGTGATAAACTCGGCAACATCTTGTTGACCGTCATCGCCAGTGCTGTCTTCTGGCTTTTCAGCAATCCAGTCATCGAAGACTGCATCCCAGAAGTCATCCAGGGCAAGTTCAAGGTCATCTTTGCCCGCTTTCGCATTCCAAAATACGTCCAGCAGATCGTGGATCAGACACACTTTGCATCTTTTGTCGTCGTCATCCGTCTCGTCGGGACCTGCCCCATTTTGACAAAGCCCTTCAGAGTTGACATGTACCTCGGCGACCGTCTCCACCCAGTTCAGGAATACTGGGAGATGAAAGAGCATCTGTAGGGCCGCATTTCTGTAGCATGTCACTCCGTTGGAGTTTTTGAAGCCGTTGACTGTCCTTGCGGTGTTCCATTTGCTTCCCCATCGGGAACTGGGAACGAGCTGCGCCCATTAGAATTTTTCATAGAATTTCAGTGAGATTGGAGGCCTTACTGGGATAAGGGATGATGGCAACTTGGTTGATGGCATCTTGATTGAAACTGAAGCGATAAAAGCGGTCATACTTCAAAGCAATTTCCTTCCAAAACAGCTACCAACTCGGAAAGCGAAACTTGTAAAAACAGGAACTGTCAAGGGGAGGCATGAACACTCGATTTATCTTTTTTCCAAGGAAGAGTTATTCTCATTCACTGCATGATGATTTCTTTGTTCTTTGACCTTTGACCATTACGGATCTAGAGAGTTGAGAACTGGGACTGAGGACAAGACTCGAGAGTGGCTTTTCATTGTTGACAGGGATACTAGCTCAAAGAAAGAACAGGAATTTAGGCTCATTGGGGGTTGTGAGCTGGGTACAAGTCATATTTGATTGCTAATTTGAGGCGCCCTCTAGCAATGGTTCTCTTTGATAATCGCGCTTTCATAAAAATGACTGTTCCACTGCTAGTTTGCTGAAAGAAAGTCCTCAGCTAGAGACCTGAGCACTGCAGGCCGAGGCAGAACGGAGAATACCAGATAGAATGTATGAGAGTAACTGTAGCGATCTCGCTCCAGCTGAAGAGACACTGTTTCTTTGTTTCAAGTAGCTGGCTTTCGCCGACGGAATAGCGCTGCCAAGTCGAATGGAGGGATGGGATAGGATATTATGGCTTCAAAGTCCAGGCAAAGAAACACACGTCCGACATGAAAGGTTTCGAGGTCACGAGGGCTGTTTCATGGTCCAAAATCGCTCAAAGAGAGGATGCAATGGCCGAAGCCAAGGAAGGGTGAAATGCTCTTTACTGACATTTCTTTGTTCGTTCTTCTATGCGACAGAAGTATGTCGCAAGGCACTTCCTCGACTATACTACATTTTTTCTCAGACAATACTATTCCTCAAAAGATTCTACATAATCTCCATGCATATTCAGCTGTACTGCCAACTACCTCCCACTGCACAAAATGCAGCATGGCATTGATAGCATTGACTTGTTCCCCGTTCACCGGGTACCTGAAAGGCACCGAACCATGAAATCCATTCAGGCACCACCAAACCTGCCATCCAAACCTACTGTACTCTGTACATGTACTCCATCAACCTTCCGACGTGATCTGTCGCCTGTCACTTTCCCAATTCCCTAACTCGGTTTCCATTCCGCCCTCTCCTCCCCCCCCCCTTGGCAATTTCACAGCCCGTGGCAGAGGCGTTGTGGTTGTCAATTCCCGAACCGTGGGTTGGCACTCTCCCGTGAATAAAGATCAACGGACTCCGCAATGGTCCAGAAGCATGTCCCCGACAGGGACACCCTCACGGTCTAGACTCTAGACCTCTGGGTCTCCTCCAGATTCGCGGCTGTCAGGGCTTTAATTATCTCCCGTTTCGGTTCCCTTCCGATCGTTTCGATTTGGAAGGAGTCTCGACCGGGTTACTATTCCTTAGTCCATATGGGCATGATTATGTGAGGCGTCAACTGCCAGCCGTTGCGATGATCGACCGTGCTGCTACTTGAATGGGGTATGTGGCGAAACGGTCTCGCAGGTTGTTAGCGAACCAACGGTCAACAGAGAGTTAGTCATTCATGCTATACCAGTAGGTTACTCCGTAGTTACGTCCTATGTAACAGTCATCATGTGGATGGCAGATAACTAGCAAATGTACCAGCATTGCATTTACAGTAGTACCCTTCAACCCGGAGAGTAAATGGCCATCGTGACCATGAACCGGTTCTTGATTTCTTGGGGCTTGTTTCCCTGGTTCTTAGTTCTTGGATGCGTTACTTTGATTAACTTTACCGACTGCTAGGGTTATGATCGGTATCATGATCATTGTAAACTACTAACTTGCTGCTACTACTCTACAGTACTCCGTCCTTCATACAGTGCTTCGGTATGTGAGTGGTCGAACAGGCACGGAGTTATTACCCATAGGGCCACCAACTCTCCACTCCAAACAAGGCCATGGCTCCATCCGGTATATACTTACCTCTGTCTCTTCATCTATAGGCTGACTATTTATCTATCTGGGTATAAATAACACCTTTCAAGTTCAGCACCGAGTCTTGATCAGCTCATCAGTATGAAAATAGAATAAGTACTTCGACAAAGATGCGCAAGAGGAAGGGAGACAATAAGTGGGCAGGTCATTCCCCACAAGGCAGAAGGAGTGTTTCAGGTGAAGCCCCTCCCCTAAAATATCCCTCCACAAATCAATTCCCCTCCAAGTGGAGCACAGCCTGACGAAAACCACCTTTGCATGCAACCCGGCACGGATTGATAGGCTGCTCGCAACAAGTTCGATCGAAATGCGAGATCCGGCCGAGTCTTGGGATCCTGTGCCCGAGAGTGGGTGCTGGTGTGTGTGATGATGTACAGCTGTGGGCTTGCGCTTGCGCTACGGAGTCTTCCCGTTATGCTACTCGTCCTATAGGATGGGAGCAGCGTTGAGGGGTCTTAGGGCCCATCGGTGCGCATAAGTGTATCTGAATGCATGCATGCCGAGGACTGACTACTACACTCGCTACAGTACTGTACTCCATACAGTAGTTGTTAGCGGTCCGATTCTTGCCCACTACTTCCTGGTAGGGCAAAAAGTGCGTCTTTGCCGCTGCGGCTCCCTCGTTGGATACTTATTGCACGTTTTTGGAGCCCTGGTATTAGGTATGTTGTGATCTGATGTGGTGTGTGTTTCTTTTCCTTCTCCGAACGAGGCTTGTTTACCGGCATTTGGAGCGTATGTATACAGATGTACGCCAAATTGTCATAATTTATAGGTAATGATGCAATATACCGTCGTATATAGTTTGTTTTTCTGTATCTAGACTTTGGAGAAAGTTTTGCGGGAAAGTTAAAGCTGGACGAGATCCGGGCGAGCAATTGAGCCTGGAACTAAACTGGACTCTCTTTAGTCCTCCTCTGCAGTCCCTTCTAAACAAAGTCAACCTATTAAACTCCTGCACCTCATGCACAGAGTACCCCTCGGCAGAGGAAATACGATACTCAACCTTCAAGAACTGACACAATGTTTTACTTTGTTCCCCAGCTCCCTTCCGTTTCTCTTGGCCACGATAGGCTCTCCTAAGAGATCAGCACGCCTCTGTCTCTCTCTATAATTATCTTCTGTACTTCGTCTCTCCCGTACCATTGTCATTGACAGCTGCGTTCCTCGCGTCTGCCAAAGATCCACCGTTACGCACTGCCCCATGTAAACGGTTTGGGCGCCGCTTTTTTTTTTCAGCTCTGCCACTTGCATGCCTTTGATCCAAGTGGACCCTCCCCCTCCCCCGTCGTTCTCGTCGGCCCTTCCGAAAAACACTCCTTGAGTGTATGGAGTTTGGAGTACTCTTTTTGGCTTTTCCCCCTTGTTCACCTTGTGTCCTAACGGGTGGGAAGGAACTGTACCCTAGTTGAGGGATTCCCTGTTCGATTGGAATAATCACAAGGGGAAATTACAATGTAGTATATTCTAGCCGATGGCGGGATAAAATATAGTATGGAGTGTGTTTGATTGGTATTTGTAGTCTAGCTCTGTGACTCTTCGGCAAATGCTGGTGATTGGAATAGATATTAATTGGTCCGTCAGTCCTGATTACTTACAGTAGCGGCTGCGAAATTGGAGTGTCGGAGAAAACCAAAAATGTTCAAAGAAAACCGGGCACTCTTGCGGTCAAGTGGATGAGTCGGACATTAATAATTTTGGGGCGATCACTAACTACTGCGTAATGGCAAATAAATATAGAACGATGGCCCAATCGTTGACTCGACACTCTCTTAATTTCCTTGGGCCCTCGTAGGCTACACTTTCTCCCCCAGCTTGGCTCGGCTGCCTACCACTTAAGTCATAGTCCCGCGATGATCCAACGTTAGCCCGCGCTTCCCTGTCGCTTTGGCCCCACTCTCCACCGTTGAAGCGTTGTGGCCGTGCTGGGCTTGCGGTATCAGTCGTGGTCTGGCTTGTCAATTAAATGACGGTGTGAAGCTTTTGCCTCGCCCGTGGCCGTGCCACTTTGGCTTGGACAGGGTCGCATTTTCGAACTTGTTGCCTGGTTCGGGTACATAGAGGGATACATAGAGTATGTCTCTGTTTATCTTGATATAGTTACTAAGACTGTGCTGGGCTATTGCTAGTCATTGTGCATACTGTACATACAAGGCTGGTTCACTCGACGGAGGGTTCATGCCTTCCTGTCTTGCATGCTTAGCCCCCTCATTGCTGTACGACACTGAAGCGATAGACGATAGACGGGATCGTCACGGATCGGCCTCGCTTCGGACCCCAAATGGAGTCCTGAGAGCTATCAGCACCTTGTCCCATCTTTCCTTTTTGACTAATCCATCAAGTACAGTAGATACGGCCTCTTCTCCCTATCGTAGCAGGTATCGCCGTCACAATAGATGCCGAACGGCATTGGACTAAGGTCTAGCACCTTATGACCCGCACGAAGCGGATCTCGCTCCCGGATGAGGGGTTGATTCGTCAGGTGAGTGTGTAAGATCTTTTCTGGATTAAGTAGTAGCCAGGAATAGTAGCATGGAAATCTTCCTGCAACAGTAAGGGATATACGATTTGCGAAAAGGTTCACACAGCTAATATTATAATCGGCATTGAGACTTTGCTATTGTTTGTTTTAGAGGAGATATCGATAGCTATTAGCTATGTACCGGTTTCTTTGCACGGTTGACAGGTTGCATGCTGATCCGTGGCGCATGGACTGAACGGGTGTTTCAGGCAACCCGCTCGGATCGGCTCCCAGCTCTCTACCATATCGAGCGCATCCTTCAGTCATCCTTTCATAATAGTTACTAGATTCGTCGATGAAAGTCACTTCGGTAAGCTTTCTAGGGTATAGAAGAGCTACACCACTAAACGAGTCAGTCTAAAAGTGGAGAGCGGGCCGTCATAACAATATGAACCATTTCCACCATTTAATCTCCAACCATGGATAGCGCAGAAGAATTCAAGTTTACGATCCCTGGGGGCTTGCTCTGAACCAAACATCTGCGGTAGGCAAATGAGAGTGTTCGAGCCGAGTTGAAGAAATGCAAAATGCAAATAAGAAAAATGCAACTACCGCACTGGGTCTCTACTACTGTACAGTAGCTATGGCCTCCACATACTGTATCCCCAATTATTATCACCACCAACTCCACCGCCACTTTGCACAACGGTCTTTCTGGCTCCGCAGCGTTGGCCTGCATGAATGATGAATGGGTGGCTTTGCCACTTGGGGCTCGTGCCAGTTGTCCCAGCGTTCCACAGTCTTAGAGCGCGCGTCTGTCCAATCACGGAGATTTAACCCAGTTTTTGGCGGCTGCAGGTTATACGGGTCAATATATGTATTTGGGTGGTAGGCTGTGGCTATACAACTAATATACAAGTAAATGAGGTTCACGGGAAAGATATTAGATTAATATATAGTTTAATATAGTTACTTTGTATATTAGTATAATATGCTGGCGTCATCACACGGCACGAGGGTTCTTTCGCCGAAGAACTCGTTGCGACAATGCTTAATTAACTGTTACTGTACAAGATTAGGACTGAGGCTATTGTGTCTGTCGGAGGCTAAAATCCAGGGTTCACTCCAAGTTCATTGCAAATGCTTGTGCTCATCGCAAGGGGTTCACCTAGTCAAGCCCTACCGAAGTATGCACATGCTGTAGCAAGGTCTCAAGTTTGGGGGCCCAGACACCATACTACGGTTTCCATATAATGATCGACTCTTTCTACAAGCTATACAATTGCATACTACTGTACCTATCCTATTTGTCTTCACCTCAATCCCATTGTGCACAGTGCAGTACACACAGACCAGCAAAAATGCAAGACATTAAATCTCCGAAGTTCCAAACCAAACGCCCCCCCAGCCCCACCAGTCCCTTAATCTGGCGGGAACGAGTTTCTTCTTCATCTCCTCCTCCCCCTGGTCCTCGCCCCCTCTCAGTCCATCCCATCAATCACAATCTCCCATGCCCCATCGTTCCCTTCATCTCCTCCGCCGCTCTCTAAAGTGCGGTTCGGTACCATTTCCTCCTTCCGTCGGTGCTGCCATGGGCCTTCCTTTTAGCTGGGGGGGGGGGGGGGTGGGGGGGCGCAATTTTGTCTTCCTCGGTGTAAACGGGATTTCGTGTTCGCGCCTCTTTTCAAGCCATGTGGAAATCCATAATAATAACTTTTAATCAAAATGGGCCTGGGCAGGGGAAATTGGCCGTTCGGCGGTCTCGCGCGACCGGGTAAACCTGAGACCTTAGCTTAGCAGCCTGAGCTGAACAACTACCAGTCTACCACAGTAGTAGTTTAGCCTCGGTCGCGGGTGGACGAACCCTGCGCGAGACATTGGACCCGTAGCAAACCTTGTAAGCTAGGTAAACCTAAGGTAGCCCTTCATTTCTGATTCATGTTTAGGGATTGCTGAGGGCGCGTGTGATGAGCTGGGTATGTAAAATGGGATCTATCGACTTTTTGGGAGTCTTGGTAGCAGGGATGAGGTTCCCTGTTGCTGTTGATCTTGGGGGCTTGCGCGCGACCGGCAAGATGCTCAGCTCAGGTACGAGGTCGCGGTCGGAGGCTGGAATGATAGACATGAACCACGACACCTATTGTGGACCTCTGGACCGGGACCTGAACCTGAACCTGAACCTGAACCTGAACCAGTGACAGCTTGGAACCAGAAAAAGCTCTGGGTGAATCATATTCAAATCTCCGTATACGGAGTCCTGGATGAGCTGTGGATGTGTACTCCATAAGCCATATTGTAGCTGGAGATTCTAGACCCGACAGATCAATGGGTCCAATTTCGCACGGGTCTGGGCCCATTCTCTCTTTCTCGCCTTCTATCCAGTCTTCTCTGCGCCTCTATCAAGCAGCGTTATGCGAAATTGCAAGGCCGACCAGGGAACAACTGCGAACGATGGACCGCATCACGGTGAGGGTCTTACAGCGTCGAGCTTATCCCGTGGTTGAACGGGACCACCTTCTGGAAGACCGCTGTTCCAGGAGGGTAGGGCGAGCATTGTGATTCGGACCGACGGTGGTGGAATTGTCAATGGTTGAATTGGGGGGATTTGGTAGTTGTAGTCCATTAGGCCTTGTAGCGTTGATATTGTTAGTCTTGCTAGATAGTTATAGAGTCTCTCGTAGTAAGTAGTGAAATACTGGATTCGAGACGATCACGAAAGACTGGAAAGGTCCTAAAGAAGTATCTATGGAACTGAACACATGGTCAAGTCAAGTTCAGTCGGGTTCCCGGGACCCAAGGGGGAAAGGATCCACTATCGAGGCGAAAAGAAAGGAAGAAAAAGAGCAAGAAATGTCAGGAGTTTACAAGAGAGAGAGAGAGAGCAAAAGAACAGCATAAGATATCCAAGCATACGTTCAAGCAGGTTTTTGTTCTCTACGCCAAACCCCCAGTTCAAGAGCTATATTATCTATCATAATCATGTACGGTACTTTCTTAAACAACCATCAACCCAGCCCAAGGTAGATTAGCGCCCTAGGGGCAAACCAGAGATGCAGCCAGGATGGGGGTGGCAAGAGAGGGAAGGGGACCCAGGCGCAGGCCCTAAGCATTGAGAAAAATCCCCGAGTGGTTGCACGGGGATGTGAGGCTGCAAACTGTTCGGAAGCGATGCGCTCGAAAGAGGCAACGCCCATCCAGCCAGGGTGGGACGAGGCGAACACGGGCAACCCAGATCCCGGGTTTTCCTGAGCTACGTACAAGACTTGCATGCATTGTACTGGTTATTACTGGACTTGGGTTGCTAACTTGCTACGTAGGTAGCTGATTAAGAACATCGAAAGGATAGAAAACCCCTCTCTCGTTGGGCCTGTCACTCCTGTAATGGATAACTCGTGTTGATTGGGGATAGACCGGTTAGAGCCTCGGGGTACGATCCTTGTCCCTACGAGTATCATAGGTTCACAGTCAAGTGGCGATTGCGAGGGAACATGTTGAAGTGGTTTTTACAGCAGTGCTTTTTTTTTTTTTTTTTTTTAATTCTATGCATCGTATGTATATGGAATCTAGATTCGATTCTATATTCAAGTATAGAATCAAGGAAACTATCACCTTGAATCGTAGTCGGACTATGTAATCATAATAATATAATATACATTCCACCTGTACTGCCCCTTCCCTCGCAGGTTTCCCCCTCGTGATGGTCGGTGGAGCTGTTCTTGGGCTTGGGACCAGCACGACAGCAAAGCCGTTGAGCTGCGATCGGCCCCCCTCCCGGTCCAGTCCTGACTGTCTCTCTGCCCACACTTTCCTTCTCGTCCGGATTCTTTGTATACTGTGGATTTTTGTATGCTTTGAGAATACATACTTGATCTTGTATATATTATGCTATAGCATTTCTCATACTCTTTTCTATTCCGTCTTGTATCATTTTCTTTTTTTTGCCTTCCCCTCCCTCTCTCTGACTGGTTCGTTTTAGTCGCAACGGCATGGCATTAGGGCGGGTTAGCGTCTGGGCCGGAGCAGCCCGTTTCCAACGTTTGTGACTGGTCCGTGCAGGCTTTAAAGTGTCCCGTTACGCATCCTCATCTCATTTCAGGATGATGCGGGGCCCACTGAGGAGGGGGAACCATGTTCATCGGGTTTTGGAGGGGATTATTATTATTACAGTATTGTGGTTGATTATTATACAGTATTCTAGTATTTGGGAGGGGCCCCTCTTTCCTGAACTTGGTTAGTTGATGCTTGTCAATAGGTCGAATTGGGTCTCTCTCGTTTGTTTTTTTGCCTTTTTTTTTTGGCTACTGTTAGAACTACGGAGATGGTTGTTCATTATTATGGTTCTGAAAGCATGAGGATCTATCTCATCTCCCAGCTTCATCTTGGGGGCCATTCCTCTTCAGACGGAGTGCCTTGACTCCACAACCCGTGTTCGGTGGGAGGAGGGGGGAGGGAAATGAAGGGCGAAGCAATCAAGCAATGACCGCCACAGACGGGATTAGAATGGAGAGAAATGATTGTGTAGTATACTACGGAGGATACTACTACTACGGAGTAGTCGTATATAGTAGTAGTAGTATGTACAAATGGTATGATCTGTAGAAGTATAGTATACAGGCGATAGAGATAGGACCGAGTATTCGTGTGAATACAGTCAGAATCAGAGGGGAACCGAAAGGGACCCGAGAGCAGACGCGGTTTGACCGCTTGCCCGCCAGCATCTTTAATTAACAGCGCCAGCCCCGAGTGGATCGGAGATATTGCAGTCGTGCCCTCGAGGCTAGGGCAGAGAGAGGGCAACTGTGGCTTCCAGGGAAAGAAAGAGACTAACTCCAAAAAAGCCGTTGGCGTGACGGTTTGGGGTTAATTGGATTTTTGTCTTTTTCGGTTTTTCATTTTTCATTTCTGAATTTTCATTTTTCTTTCTTGAATTTCCCAATGAAGAAATTAAAATTACTTCGGAGGTAATCAGAATTCCCACTGTCCATGATGATTTCATGCTGGCAATCATCCCATCATTTCCATTTTAATTAAGTTGGATGAGCATGATTTGCTTGCATTTACTTGGACTCTTGTGATGCTCTCTCTCTCTCTCTCTCTTTCTCTCTCTCGCTTGATCGCTTTCTTCCTGGATTAAGTCAATCATCTCATTTTCATGCCCAGTCGTACATGTCCATGAATTGGGAGAGTCACTCGACGACCGTATACTCCAGTCGTTGTATCTCAACTTGATTTGGATCCTTTTTGATTATTATTCTGACTCTTATTATTCGGATTATTATTATTATATACCCTTTTCTATCTCCATCTTCCCCCGACCTTATTTCACCTTATTCCCTGGATCGCCCCCCCCCCCCCCCCCTCCCTCCTCCAAGTGGATGGACTCCATCGTGGTCTAAGACTCTCTCTCTCTCTCTTCTGGTCAACGTCGATCGTTTGGGTTTCATCTTGGTGGTTCTGGACCTTCCCTTGGGATCTGCTTCTTCTTCTGGACTTGGTATCCCACTTTCTTCCTCTTCTACCTCTTCCTCTCCTCCACTCGCTCTCTCTCTCTCTACCTTCTCTCGACTCCTCCTTTCTTCCTTCTACAAACTACTTTCCTGTCCTTTTCTGACTTCCCCCCCCCCCCTTCTCCTCTCATTCTCATCCTCCTCGTTCCTCTTCTTCTCTTCCACTCTATTCTTCACTTTTTACCCGTTTTGGCCGTTGCCCATTTCCACGGTACCCGGGTACCTTGAACCACCGTTTTCTGCCCAAGCCTCACGCTCTGCTCTGACCTCACCATTCGTTGCACGAGACCATCAAGTCCTTGGATTTTGCTGCTGTTAAGAGAAACCCTCCGACACCGCACACACTCTCACATATTTGATCCGGCTCTGATAGCTGCTGGTTGATCATCCCCAAGAATCACAAGGGCAACTCTCTACCTCTACGACTATCATCATCGCCGACCTGGAGTCATCCCGCTACGATCTATTGTTGATTGTTGATTGTTGATTGTTAACTGTCGTCATTCAACCCTGACCCTGAGAATCACAAGCTTTGGGTCCTGCATCGACTACTACTCCTCCTCTTTCTCTTCCTTCCATCTCCTTCCCCTCCCCCCCTCCCCCCCTCCAGCTGGATCTGCTCATTTTCTGGAAGGGGGCTAGTCCTGTCTATCTACTTCGATCCCGAAAAGACCCGCTGGTTTCCATCGCGCATATGATTGCGTTACAAAATCGGCCTATCTTGCCGCCCGCCAAAGTGGATATCTCACTGCTACTCAAGCCCCAAGATGAGGAAGATGCCCCCGGGAATCCTACTCCCGTCTATCCCTCTCGGATGGGCTTCTCAATCCCACCGCCAGTCCCCGCGGCGCCAATCTTGACGACGGGCCCGCCGGCCGTGGCTCCATCTTTGATCAAGTCTGCTCCTGGTCTTCCGGCAAAGCGGCTACAACCAGCTCATACCGCCGAATCACCCGCCAAGAAGCAGTCCAAGTGGTCGGCCGAGGAGGATGCGTTGATCATCGAGCTGCGGGGCAGCGGGATGAAGTGGGAGGATATCAGCAAACGGTTGCCAGGTCGCAGTGCGATCAGCTGTCGTCTTCACTATCAGAACTATCTGGAACGTCGCAGCGAGTGGGATGAAGATAAGAAGAACAAGTTGGCTCGCTTATATGAACGGTAAGCTGTGGCACCGCTGGGATCCGGTGTGGTCGGACCCTAGGCGAGAACCATCTTTATGACTAACAGCAACGAGTAGGTTTAAAGCAGAGATGTGGTCCAAGGTTGCCGAAGAAATGGCCATCCCATGGCGTGCCGCAGAGGCCATGCACTGGCAACTTGGGGAGCAAGAAATGGCCCGCCGCGCTGGCGTGGTGCCTTTCTCACTATCCAGCACCGCCATCGATCCCCCAGCCACGAGAACTCGTCGTGCCAGCACCTCTCTAGCTCGACCTCGAAAGAGCTCCACCTCACGCGCAATCCCAGGCCACTTGCCCGGCCTTCCACCACAACTACCCTCCCTCGAAGAGTTGACAGCCGGTGTCCCCGCGTACGCACCACCTGCCCCGCCTCCACCACGAGAATTCTATGGTCTTGGACGACCCCCAGACATGGGCATTCCCCCGCCTGGTCTGATGGGCCCGCATATGGGAATGCCTCCGCGAACTCTCCCCTAAGACGAGATGACGATCACGCCCGTACGGCCGTTTTATTTTCCTTTTTTGTTTTCCTTTGCCTCCTTTGATACGAATTGCATAGCGCCGGTTGGAGGTATACCGTGATTTGTTGGGAGGTCGTGAATTGTATAGAGAATTTGCGTGTCAACCTGCCGTCTCCCACCCTTCCTGTTGCGAGATTTGTTTTCCTTTTCTTTTCCTCGGCTTGGGGGAAGGGGAGAGACCGAGAGACCGAGAGAGGATTTCTTTCTCTTGATTCTTTCTCTTGGTGTCAGTTTTTGGGGTTGGGAAGAAGATATAGAGAGACAATCTCTTGTTTTTCTTGGCGCACCCATTCGACTCGACCTCTCTCTCTCCCTCTTCCAACTCCCAAATCGAATCACGCATTTCCTCACGTTTGGCACGCAGGTGATGATGGGCTTTTCTTCGAGGCTGGCTCCGCGAAGTAAACCGTCCCCATGTCATCATGAATCGTGCTTGGGCGTTGCAATCGCCCACCAATTGTCTTTCTCATACCCCGACTCCACAACCACTCCTCCAGCTTGCTCGATATCACGCTCCAGTTCCCCGCTCTCGTACAGATGATAGTAGCGGCGGAAGGTTTGATCCTCTTCACCGGATCCAGGCTTGGCTCTCCGCACCCACGGCACCATGAGATCTTGCGAATCTCCCTTGTCCCAGCCTCGACGACTATTCTTCTGCTCGAGCGCCCATGCATAGACCAGGATTCGCCCGCCTGGCTCCGTCCCTGATCTGCGCTTCATGGTTCGCAGAATCTCTGCGATGGCTTGGACCCGTCGTGCTGGGGTGGACATGTGGTGTACCACAGCGATGCAGACGGCGAAGTCGAAGGATGCATCCCGGTGCGGGAGGTGGAGGATATCGGCCACCACCGCCGAATGGGGTTGATGCTGGGCTGCTATTTTGGCCAGGTTTTCGGAGCTGTGGCCTTGTGTTAGTATGGGAGATAGCTCCAGCGGTCTTCCATGAGAGAGTGTCTGGGTGTTTGTCTGTGGATGAGAAAGACGAGGGAATGCCAGTGATATGAAATGAGAAATTAACTACACAAAAAGATCCCAAAAAAAAAAAGACAAGATATAAGAACCATATACGAATTTACGATATCTCCTCGTACATACTTTATGAAGTAAAAAACAAAAATCAAACCAGATAGAAGAAGGGATAAATGAACGTACCGATCAGAGGCTACTATGAACACATCCCGGTTCACTTGGAGATTCTTGCCATTGCCACAGCCAACATCCAGTCCAACGGATCCAGCTGGTATACTCTGGAGAAATTGCTCAACAATTGGCCATGGCTAGCGGGTGAACCACAGTCAAAGACGTCGTTAGCCATACTCTGAGCCGAGCCGACTGGCTAGCGAGGGAAGCCAATGGGGGGGATGAAATCCACCACTCGGTTAGGAGTTATGTACTCACCTTGTAGCGCGTGGCTGAAAAGTGTCCCGCAATTTGCTGGTATACCTCGTGTACATTCTGCTCCTCATATGCCTCGGCTTGGTCTTCCATGGTGCTGGCTTTCCGTCCACAGTGTTGATTCTTCCAGAAGTGCTCTGGTATATGCGATTCTTGAGTATCAGTTGTTTCTTTCGTCGTGGTGATGGCGGAAGACAAGCGAGATGATCACGTGGCTCGGACTTTTTTGCCCCTCCGCGGGGGGATCTTCTTATCCTGAGATTCTGAGTACACTTGGATACTTCGTAGTAGGATGGACATACTTGAATTGTTTTTTTAAACAGTGTTAGGTCTTTCTAAATTCAATCTTTATTTACTCATAGAGTCAGCGCTATTGATCATCCTCCCTCTAAGAACCCCGGTCCTTGCTCTTCCCCCCGCCGTATACGTAGTACCGATCAGATTAAGATCGCAAGAGATCTGAATTCTATAAATCCCCCCGCAATTATCTAACCCAAGGCTCCAAGGATACCCCCAGTAGCATTGCGGTATGTCGTTTCAGATCTGCCCAACCCTGCTGCAGGCTGCCCTGAAAGTCATTTCCATTTCCTCAGACTGTTTCCTTCTTTCCCTTTCGATGAATCCGCGCATACTGATCGCTGACTAAGCGCACCTACTTTGGATGCCCCAGCGGTGCTGTTCAGCAGCCATCGCTCGCTTCGCTCTGTCTGTGTAAGTATGCTGCTGCTTTACTCGAGAATATGGTCTTTGTGTGCTTCGGATCTCTTGTGTGTGCTTTGAGGCTGGAGGAATATCACCCAGCGCCCTCTAGGGCCATATGGGAGTTTGATATGCCAAATATCAAAGGCTAGACTGGTGCTCTCGACCTTCAATGCATGACCTCGAGGTCTTGTTGTCATGCCTCACGGACCATCTCTCTGCATTTTCATTAGCTTGTCTACCTCCCTCTATGTCGAAGAACTCCTCCGCTAACCATTCATCTAGGCACATCTCTGGCGCTAAAGGCCCAGAATCCCCCCCCCCCCCTGAGCGCATTGCATATTGCCTCAACATTAACATAGCTCTTCAAAATGGCCTTCCAACCAACTCCGACAGATGTCTCTGTCATCATCACCTCGGCTTCTATGGCTCACTCCGCCGACTCAGAGCCCAGATTCCTGACTGAGCGGCGTATTACGCCTACCTGGACAGTTGAGCAGGTCAAGAGCAAGCTCGAGACTATGACTGGTGTCCCGCCGGGGAGCCAGCGACTCCGTGTCAAGGTTCCTGGTCGACCGGATCAGTGGGCTGATAATGATGCCCAGCTTATTGGGGATTATGGGCTTGTGAAGGGGGCTGAAATTGAGGTGGGCCATTTCTTTTCGGTTTATGATGCTTTCTTGGTTCTTCGGCTTTGGGTGTCTTATGGATCTCTTCTGTTGTTTTCTCTGGAAGAGTGTCATGGTACGGTCCTGGATTTCAGTGGCATATAGCTGCGCAGGTATGGCAGCGTTTTCGGCTTACAAAAGTCTTGAAAACGGGAGCCTCCAGGCTGAAGTGGTCACCTCTAGGAGACATGAGTACCGTCTGACCTGGCATGGACTACAAGAAAATACATTATTCCATACTATCAGGCTCTTTTACAGCATACCGGCTTAAGAACCATGCTAATTGCACATCCAGGTCCACGACTCCCGCCCACAAGGCATGCGCCCAAACTTCACCGATCTCTCCTCAGTCGACAAGTACGAAATGAACCCCGAAACCTACGAGAACCTCTCCGATTCAGTCCTGGCCTGGAAAAGAAATCAGAAAATAGGCCGTTTCGATCCTAACGCACTCTCCCCTGAGGAATCCCTGCGCAAGCAGGTTCAGAAGGATCAGGCTGAGCTTGCTAGCAGAGGTATGGATATGGTTTACCCGATACTTGACGCATCATTTCTTTCAAACGGGGACGGCGCAACAGCTCTTGAATGTTGTCTAACGGTTCATACAGGAATCGCCGTTGACAAACGTGCCATCATCCTCCCCTCCTCCCCGCCACATATCCGCCGTGGAACAGTCCGCTTCGTCGGCTCAGTGCCAACAATCCCAATTACTGGTCCTGGCCGTGAGCTTGAGCAGGATGGTCCGCTTCCCGTTGAACTCCAGCCTATCTGGGTTGGTATTGAGCTGGATGAGCCGACGGGCAAGAATGATGGTAGCGTGGGTGGTCGTCGCTACTTTGAGTGTTTGGACAAGTGTGGTGCTTTTGTGAAGCCGGAGAAGGTCGAGGTGGGAGATTTCCCGCCGTTGGGCTTGGATGATGAGTTGGATGAGTTGATGGAGGAGATCTGATGGGTTGATTGAGAGTGGGAGTGTGAATGTTGGCGTTAGGCGGTGTAGATTTGGTAATGATGTTGATTTTATTTCATACAAGTTATCTAGTAAACAGGAAGCCAAGAAGCTGCCAGGTCAATTCCAGTTAAAAGGGCTCTGGATGCGCAAGTTACGTAGCCAGGGAGACTGGATTCATGTGACTTTTACTTGTGTACGTGCTGGCTTATTGCTCTCCCAAGAGAGAAATGCAATAATGGTCTTTTCTTGATATGATAGAGTCGCAGCCTTTCAAGTCATTAGGACTTACCTTGTCGAGCTCTGTTCTATCCAGTCGAAGGTCTGATATGTGTTGACAACCGTCAAGTGTAACGGAAGAAAAGCCTCCCTCGAGGTGAATGGCTATTGAAGCCGACACTAAACATGTATCTACTCAGCAAACAAGTGCCATCTAACGCACAGAGAAGAAGTGCATATTTGGTAAAGGGAAACGGTGCATTCTGTCCATCACCAACTGTCACAATCCAATAAAAAATCTGCAACTCGGAACACCGACAACCTAGGATCCATAGTAAAAGATACAACCCGCTAGAAGGAAAAGACAGATAGAAAAAAAGGATATCATAGCACATTCACCAGCTCCAGCTGGACACAAGAGTCAAAACAATGTCGGTAAAGCATAGTAGTCAAAGCACTCATTTAGCTTTTTGCTTGCCCTTGGGGCGACCTCGAGCCTTTGCGGCTGGAGGCTCGGATGGGCCGCTTTCAGCTTCAAACTCGCTCTGCGTTGTATTCTCGGATTGCATAGGGACTTCACTCCCTTCCGGAAGACAGCATTGCGTGAAGAAAAGTCGCGCATTCTTGTCATGGGAGTTCTGGAAGCTATAGTAATTGCCTGACAAACCGAGTGTGTCAGTATACAAAGAGTCATCCCTGTGATCGTGGGAGTCAACTCACCTCGTGGGATCTGGAACACTGATCCCTTGCCAGCGCTGAATTGCACACCGCAGATGTCCACTTGCACTCGGCCGTAACAGACATAGAACACCATATGCATTCTCTTCGAGTTCTTGGGCTTCTTGACACCATCTGGTGGAAGCTCAACAACACCGGAGCCAATGAATGAAGAACTGAGCAGTTTCGCAAAGCGGAATGAGGCGCCTTTGACTTCCCTCGTTTCGAATCCAGAGGGTGCATAAGCAATGTCTGCAAAAATTGGTTAGCAACGAAAGTTTATCACCATAGTAGAGACCGGGTATGAAAATCATACCTATTACTTCCTCCTCTGATGTGCTGGTTTGTGCCACGGGGTCCCACTTGGAGACGTAGCCATGAAGAACACCACTTTCCTTCTCCCAAAGATCGGCGTCATCGTCAATCTCATCTTCATCCGAGGACTCATCCTTTTGCTTCTTTGACTTGCCCTTGCGGCTACGCTTGCCCTTCTTTGGCCTTTCTGGTTCAAGTTCCTCCGTGCGAATGACCTCTTTGATCGTTGAGAGAGGATACCGTTGGCCCTCAGCGGCCTCGCCATCGCCAAACACACATCTCTCGTTGCGCCAGTACGCCAGAGGGCGAACAGATACTCGTCCCGAGCGGGTGTGAGTGGTCTCGTTGCTAGTGGGATCTTCGCGCTTGAGAATATATAGACTGCGGCCTTTCAATGGGCCTGAACGCTGGGCATAGTTCTCAACCACACGGTCCAGCTCAGGATCCAAGGGCTCACGTGAAGCCATAGTAGTCTCGGTAGCAGTAGTCTTTGGTTTCTTGGTTGGTCTGGCTTCAGAGGGCTCTTCATTGTCTGCTTGCTGAGCTTTCGTGGCGCGACCTCGTTTTCCAGACGGCTTGGCGGCAGCCTTGGTCGCCTTTGTATTCTTTGTCGCGGGTCCTTTCTTCGGCTGTTTTGAACTCGATGCAGTCGTCTTTGTTTGGCGTGACGCTGCTGGTGCTGGGGACACCTCATCTTCCAGTCCATTCAAGTCTTGTGCCGTAGCATCTGCAGGTTCCTCTTCATGTGGCATCACAGTCTCATCACCCTCGTCATAGCCGTCGCTGAAATCATCCTGCCCGACACCGAAGGTATCCGCATTCTCATCGCCTTCGCCCTCACCGTCAGAAAAATCAGCCGCTTCTGTGGCTATCAGTCGGGATTTGCCATTCTGTCGCGCGGCGTTCTTATTGTTCGACACGCCTGCATTTACCGAACGATTGGTCAAGGGAGTTGGGTCTCCTCGCGCAGAAGACAGACGTCTGCCATCCGACGGACTGGACGCTACCAGATCTTCCCTGTCGTCTGGAGAAGAGCGCAAGACAGGGGATCGACGGAGGGCTTTTGCAGGGGATCGAGATGCCTGTGGCAGAAAAGTATTGCGCGCATTATTAGCAGCGCTGAGAAAATCCATAGGTCCCGGCGCATTGCCTAGTCGCATAGAAGAATGGCCATGTCAGTCACCAATTGGTAGTGAATCAGAGGGCACACTGCTTTGGCAAGCCTACCGTCTTCAATGGACATCTCAGAGCTCGCAGTCTCGTCGTCCACATGGGAGAACCCATTTAGTTTCGCGGGCGATTTCTCAGGAGATGAGAATAGACCGTCTACTTCCTCCATTCCGTACTCGTCGCGCTGTCTTTCCTCCATCGTGAGACCTGTCCGCCTAAGCGCATAAATTTCATCAGCATACTGTAACCCTTTCATGAAAGCGCCAGTATCAACGGAAGCGCGACTTACCTTCCCTGAGTTCCCACATTGGAGAAGTCGAGGTCGCGGGGCTTCGTGGAACCACGCGCCATATTGAATAAAAGTTAAGTGACGGAGTCTGAGCCGAATAGAGTGTACTGTAGGAATTTCGAAAGCGTAAGATGTAGAAGAGCTGGTCAAAGCAGCGCGGGTGGAGGAGGAGGGGAGAGAGGAATGATGCAGTGGAATTTGGGGGAGAAACGCGCGCCCGCCGCTAAGCCCGAACGGTCGACGCGTCGACATACTTCTGGGACGCTCTTCCCTTGTCAGTCCTGCAGTGCTCTCGTTCTAGACTCGCTCACTCGTTTCAATTCTGCATTGCTCAATCATTATGGGCAAGCACACCATCGTCGACGCAGCTGAAGATGCCATGTCCTTTATTCCTCCCAGTATAGACACTGCCCATCTACTCTCGGGAGACTCGTACGCCTACTACACGCCTTGTCCAGCTGGAATTACACCTTACGACAAGTCCTCTACAACTCCACAGACGACAGAGCCTACACCATGTGTCCTCGGCGTTGACGAAGCTGGCCGTGGTCCAGTCCTGGGTCCCATGGTCTACGGTGCCTTTTATTTGCCTCTTGAGCTACACCATTCCCTACTGGCGCAAGAACACAGCTTCGACGACAGCAAAGTCCTCACGCCTGCCGTACGCGCCAATTTGATGCGCTTGATCAATACGCCTGGCGAGAATCTATACGAGTCCTGTGGATATGCAATCAAGGTGCTGTCTGCGCGTGATATCGGCGCCGGAATGATGAAACCAGGCACCGCAGTCTACAACCTCAATGCGCAAGCCATGGACGCCACAATTGAGATTATTCGCGGCGTACTTCAAGATCGTGCTGTCAATGTACAAGAGATCTATATCGATACTATCGGCAACCCTGCTACATACCAGGCCAAACTTGAGCGGATTTTCCCATCTATTAAAATCACCGTGGCAAAAAAGGCGGACTCGCTGTATCCCTGTGTGAGTGCGGCCAGTGTGGCTGCCAAAGTGACGCGTGATGTTGCGTTGGAAGTCTTGTACGAGTCCGTCCTCAAGGCGCAACAGCTTGAAGACGGTTCCACGCCCCCTGAAAGTTGGGGCAGTGGCTACCCTTCGGATTCCAAGTGTGTCGGGTGGCTCCGACGGAACATGGATCCTGTTTTTGGCTGGGGCAGCGAATGTCGCTTCAGCTGGGGTACTGCGAAGGAAATGCTCGAGCAGAAGGGCGGAGCCCGAGTGGATTGGCCTGCAGATGACGATGAGGGGAATGGCATGCTAAGTGATTTTCTCCTGGCATCTGGGCCCGGAAAAGGGTCGAGCAAGGATGGGTTGCGGGACTGGTTCGGACAACGACAAGCAGAGATTATATGATGCGATGCATCGGGTTGGCATGGGATTAAAGGCGTAATGAAGCTATATAACAATGATGATACCCGATCAGGCATATCTAAGGCAATAAAATACAATCTGAACAAAAGAAGGGCGTCCAATCACGCGAAGTGTCGTTGGTAATCGGGTCATGGAAGTTGGGTAGTAAAAAGCTGGGTATCATGAGGAGAAAGTGAAGGGATAGTCCGGACACGAAAAAATCACAGAGTGGCAGTCGAGAAGTAGTAGTTGTCCCAAAGGTATTCGTAGTCCTCGATAACACTTCCCACTAAGTCCAGGAGTGGCTTGCCTTTCATCTTGCCAGTCACACTTTGCAACCATGATCTGTATCTCGTTAGCTTTAAATTCAGAAGAGGTCGTGCTTGTTGCTGGGATACGTACTTTGTGATATTCTCGTAGAAGGCGCCTCGCAACAGCCACCAGCCCATAGACCATCCACGCTTCCTCAGTTCCTCGCGCTCAAGTCCAGTCAGTCCACGGAGGCCACCAGCAACTCGCTCCCGGAAATCGCGCTTGGCAAGCTGGCGGCAACCATATTCCATGCCGAATCCAATCAGCCAGGGCCGCCAGCTGCGCCGGTCTCCGCTCCATCGCTGCATGGCAAGCGCATAAACCACTGGTCGTAGGATATACAAGACTTCCGCCAACTGACCCTGTCCAGTGACACGGTGCAGCAATGTCTTGGGGGGCTTGATGTCATCCGCAGTGAGAACTTTCGAGATCAGGTAGTTCGACACGTCGTTAACGTCCGGGAGAGAGGGCAAGGATAGACCCGTGCGAGGCATAGTCCAGCTGATGTCTGTAGAACGCTCGCTCGTGGGAGTCTCCATGCCATTCCAGTCGCTCTGGTCCTCCTCTCCCTGTGTCGACCGCGGGTCCACCTCCCGCTCCGGCAGCGGAGGACTGACCAACGGTCTCGAGTTGGTCAGTCGAAGCAAGAGCAGGCGGCAGATAGCCTTGGCAAATTCAAGGAAGACAACGACATGCCATCGAGTCTTCTGTCCACGTCGGCGCGCCGTCATCTCCCAGAGAAGTTCTGTGTACTGTAGCATCTGCAGCGCCGCGGCAACTCGATGATAGAGCGAGGAGCGCGAGGTCCAGTATTTAGTGTATCGGGCATGGGGAGTAGGTGGCGGCCGAGGGACCGTCGGGGGCAGTCGAGAAATGACTCGCGACACGAGGGAATCGTGATACAGCGATAAAAGTTGGACTCCAGAGTGCACTGCAGGAGTTGGTTAGCTGACATGCGCCCCTCGTCGCCACGGGATATCTAGGTATTTCCGACTAACCACATTCTGAAGGTATTTCTGATTCACGATATCTTCCTACATAGGGTGAAACATAATGATTAGCGATCGACCACTTGAAAATATCCCGAAGTCTATCTTACCTGGGATGATGTAGGTCAATGACCTCAGAGCTGACTCGACCGAACCAACTGAGCTGGAGTTCTTGGCGACAAAGTCCTCGTAGAGTGACAGCCACTTGGATGGCTGGAGCACCACCGGAGGGATGGGATTCTGGATGTTGCGAACGGTCTCCATGGTCCTGCACGATGCGAATGTGGAGAGTTCACGAAGTCCGGGGGAGATGTTGGCGGCAATAAGGGAGGTCACGAGGTCCTGCCAAGCCCCTCGGGGCCGAGGTTGATGCTTGCGGCTAACGGAGGACTCCGTAAACACTAACCTCACAAGTCAACAATAGAGTGAACAGTATCACTTACTTATACTAGCACTACGAGCTTATTTGGTTATGACAGGCTTCAACAATAGTTGCCGCTGCTTGTTTACCATACATCCTGCATCCTCATATCTTCCAAGTCAGGGCCAAACAGCACGTTCTTTCATGTGCTTCACATAATTCTATTCACTTTCGTACAGATCATCTTATTATACAACTCACATCAACCACTCATCAGCCCAATTCCAAAGACCTCCTGGTCGCATTGCCTCTCGGTATCGCTCCTCGACCTTCTCTCGCTCTAATCTCTGAGCGGCTTCTCGGTCCGCCTCAATCTCTTGGGTAGACGGCATCTCAGTTCGCCAGAATCCTGGGGGACTCCGAGCTCGCTGGTGAGTATGTCGATGCCTTCCATACTGGTTGGCAAGGGCTCGTGCTCGAGCTTCCACAAGTAGACTCTCGCGATCCTTGTCACTCAGTCCGTCGAGCAGATGTCGGTCTTCGCCGACGTACTCTTCGAGGATTCGCTGGTTTTCCTCCTCTTGCTCTGTGGAGGCGTTTGTTCCTTGAACTCCCATGCGAGCCATTGCGCGAAATCGGTCACCACAGCAACTGGGACGTGTACACCCTGACAGGCACTTCCGGTCATCCTTCTTACGGACAACTGTGTCGTAAGCGTAGTCAAGGCCTTGATTCCTGGCTGGATTGATCTTGAAATGGTCCAGGTTCAGACGATGCAGAGGTCGAGATCGGTAGGGCTCTTCCTCGGGTCGTACATCCAGGCCGGTTTGAGACGGCTGTTCGACTTGGTCTGCTTGTGGGCGTGGAGATGCAGACTTGGCAGTCCTACTCATTTGGCGTATGTTTGAATTTCCACCTCCGCTCTGGCCGCGATCCAAAAGTTCTCTAGGAGAACGAAGGGGCGATTTGGATGGTAGTGATCCTTCTAGGAGACCTTGTAGGCGATCTCGGGTAACTTTCCCATCTGCTTTAGCCCTGGGCGTCTCATTATGGATGGCCGCGGCGCTCTTGGCGCGCTTCTTTCGAGAGTGATCCTGGCTGTCACCAGATTCACCATCCTCAGCCATGAAAAGGGCGCGGATACTCGAATCTCGCGGCTTTGTCAATTCGGGTCTCTTTGGCCAGCGTCTAATTGAGCGGACATTCCCGTCGACTGGCTGCAGGACATTTTGATGGTGGGTTTCACGATCTGGAATGGCGCTCTGCGTGCTAGGAGCCGATCCTTCGCCTCCATCTTCCCAATGAACCTCTCGGTAAGCGGGCCGTTTCGTAGGTGTTGGCACAGTACTACCAATCTCATCCAAATCTTGGGTACTCGGGAAATGTGGACCAGAGCCGGGGAGTACTGTCTGGTGCATTGGGCTTGATGACATGGTCTCGGCCTTGACAAGTACTGGTCGTTCGGGGGCACCTTGCCTTGGCTCTTCTTGAGCAGATGGAAGGACCCGCTTTCTCTTTTTCGTCTCCAGGTTAGGTAGCGGATATAGTACGTCTGAGCCGGACTCCGAAGAGAGCAGATAAGCAGTAGTAGAGGTGTTTTGAGTAGCTGTCGTCACAGGCTGGTTGGGATTGGCGATTTGTTGACTGCTTTCTTCAATCTTAATCGAGGGATTTGCATCTGTCCGGCTTTCCACGCTCAGAGTAGGCGGGTCAGTATTGGAGACAGGTGCTGAAGCTTGAGAGTTGCCTGATATCGAGTGTAAATTACCCCTGATGAATGGCGTTTGTGACTTTGTATTATTTTTTGCAGCCATCGCATCTGTTTCTGGCACCCTCTGGAAGCTGACAGGACCTTTGTCGGAAAGGATTGTGAATGAGTCCTTGTTCAGTTGTTTGTCCCAAAGCTGCAACTTCTTTTTATGCTGAAGCAGTTTTGATTTGAGACCACTCCAGCCCCGGCTAAATGCCTGTAGATCGGTATAAAGTGTCGTGTATTTGTCTTCGAGAATGTCACGTAGCTGGTCTGCCTCCAGTAGATCGGTCCTCCAAATGTTCTTGGGTGCAAACTCTCTTTCGAGATTGTTTATCTCGGCTGGCAATTCGAGATCCTTTGGGTCAGCATTGTGGGTACTCAGCTCGTCCCGCAGTGCGGACAGTTCACGCTGAAGCTCTTCGATCCTTTGTTCAGCGGCATGCTGAGCCTCGAGGGCAACTGATGCGTTTCTCTCAGCTTCCTTGACACGTGCCTCTCGGGCAACAAGTTGGGACTCGAGTTCTTTTTGAGCATTGCTAAAAGAGACCTCACATGCCTCTAGTATAGAGGTGTGCAGGTCCTTCAGAATCTCCATTTGGGGTTCGTAGGAAAGCACTTGACCCAGAGGATCGGTGAAACGCGATGTCGATCAACACGCGTCTGACCGGCAGTATATATACCGCCTTTACTGACCGCCCTTTTAGTGCTTATCGGCAACTGATAAGGGGCCATCTGACGAAGCAACCGCCAGCTTTCAGTCATTGTGTATCACTGTTTTCGCTTCCGCCGCAGACCATGTCCATTACGTGCGACTAGGGGCTTCCCAGCAGCATGTCCAAGCGCCGGAGAGATGATGCACAGCTTGACCTGCCCCCAACCAAGAGGTATCGTGATGCTGTGACCTCCCCGCTTGACCGGCTGTCTTCCCTCAGCGACGAATTACTGCTTCATATCTTGTCATTTCTTCCGATCTCATCATTGAATGTGTGCCAGCGGTAAGAGATCACCATTCGAGTATTTATCTCTATGTATTATACTGACTTTTAGAGTTAGGTTGTCCCATCGGTTCCACACTCTCGCCGGTGATTCTGAACTATGGAAAAGACAGTATTATTCGCAGTGGGTTCGCCCGCGAGCTCGTCGCTTGGCCAATGTGACTCGCTCTTCACTGCCGCCCAAGGTAGAATACTCGCCGAAAGTCTCAACATGGCTAGATCACAGCCACTTGGCCGAGGAAGGAAAGGCTACGAATTGGAAAGGACAATATCGTCTTCGGCATAACTGGTCCACGGGAGTGTGTCGAGTGACCGAGGTTGAATTTCCTCAGCCCCCTGCACCTCCCGTCTTAGTGAAGCTTTGTGCGGGAGTTGTCTTCACTGTTGACACCGCGCATGGGCTTCGAGCTTGGTGTGCAAAGGATCCCGCATACTGCTTGGCAAAGGTCCCCTTTTCAAATCGATCAGACAAGGCTACTGTCTGTCCAACGGCGTTGGCGGTAAGCCAGTCAGATGAAGAACAGGAAATTGTGGTTGGGTTTGATGATGGTCACTTCAATCGCTATGTCTTCAACATTGAAACGTCTCGATTGCGGCTCCGGTCTGGCCATGTCGGATTCAAGGATGGTGCCATCACCGCCATGGCTCTATCCTCACCATATCTCTTGATTGTCTCCCAAAACAAGAGCCTGTCGTTGTACAATCTCCGAGTGTCCTCTCAAGTCTCTGGAAAGACCGATGAGACCACAGAACTACGGAAATTGGCTTCCCTCAATGCAGCCAATATGGTGGCGCCGATGACTCTTTCTCTCCGTACATCTGGGTCAGAGATTGTTGCTACAATTGTGTACAGTTTCTTTCACATTGGTTGTGGATGGTCCTTGGGCATTCAAGAACTACGATTCAACCAAAACGGCCAGCAGGTGGAATCCCGGCTTGCCAGTACGGTTGATTCTCAGTATGGGATTGTGCCACTGCGAGGCCGGGCATCCTCACGCATACGACGACGACATTCTACGGGGGCCGACACAAGTGATGGCCATATTGCCGCAGCCCCCGTAGCACCTTCGATTGTCCATCCACACCCGCCGACCTCCATGTCCTACTCTCATCCCTATCTGCTGACCTCGCACGCGGACAATACCCTGACTATGTATCTAGTCGTGTCGGACTCTCACCGTCTCTTTGTCCGCGGGGGTCAGCGGCTTTGGGGACACACGTCGTCGGTCTCTGCTGTGCAAGTGACCAACCGAGGGAAGGCGGTCTCTGTGAGTTCTCGCGGTGATGAGATTCGCATTTGGGAACTTGAACCCGCGGTGCGCTCTCTCGGCAGCCGGCAGTTGTTGCAAGAGGAAAGCAGCATTCAAGTCAACCCGGAGAACAAAGATCGAGATGAATCCGAGTTGGAGTCTGCACCTCGAAGTCTCCGGGGGGATTTGAGCGATTCGGGTGTTGATACCGATGCGCCCGGGGATGTGTCCCTCATGCACGGATGTGTTGGATTCGATGAAGAGCGAGTCCTCCTGCTCCGCGAAAAGACCGTTGGCACGCAGCTATTGGAATGCTACGATTTCACGTAGCGTTCATGGAAAGTCCTCTTCGATGTAGTCTAGAGGCCTTTAGCCTTGGGCGGGTACCCCATCCAACTTTGGACGATGCGTCGACGAATCCGATCGAGTCCCAAAGATGGCCAAGTCTCTCCGGCAGCTATTGGGTCCGCATCACGGCATCCTGGCTGGAACGGGGGCGCTAACGCAGGGGCAACGACCCCGGTCGCGCAAACCCCGTAGCACAAGGTCCTTGCCCCGCGAACAGTTGGGGACCCTGGCGGAACTCTTGTCCAGCTATAAATCTCCTATCGCCCCGATTTTTCTTTTACTGCCAGGTTGTGTTCCTGAACCTCCTGGTCTCGGGATATCTGGAACCGCATTCCAACCTTGCATCGCTGACTTGGAGGCTGGTCTCACTGCAGACCACGTTGACCACCAAGTATGACGGGCTTCCTTTCCATACCACAGAGCCATACGGGGAGTCTTGCAGCTCAACCAAAGATGGAGATGCAGCCAAGACCCCAAAGGGCTTCCTTGCCTGGGTCGCCTTTTAGGAACCGGATCCTTAGCGGATACGCTGTGGGTTAAGGCGACCGATGGATTTTGTTTGATCGTTGGGTCTAGCCCTAACCAGGGGCTTCTTTCAGAAGATGCATTGAGATGGAGATGTTATATTTGGCGTGACGAAAGATGTATTGTTGAAGTATGGATGTATGATGAGAGAGAGACGCGCAGAATGCAGAGTGAAACATGCCACCGCGAGGGCGCATACCCTTTTTCCGCGACTCATGTCTTTCGGGGATTTCCAAGTCCCAAAGAACAGCACAGATCTCAACGGAGTCTCAAGACAATCTCAAGAAGATCTAAAGGAGAGAAAATGGATGAACTGAGGAATGCCTGGGCCTGTTGGAAAGCGAACGAGGCTAACGAGAGTGCTGCCTGAGTTCTGAGGGAGAAATCTTCCCGCCCGTGCCCATTTCCCTTTTCCCTTTTCCCCCGCACTACAAATTATTTCCTCGCCTGTCCGCTTCTTGAGAAAAAAAAAACCCTCCCCCCTCATCACCCCTCCTCCTCATCTCTCCATATCATACCTTTGAACTTCATTTTCAACGAATCTATACACACAACCCAATCTAGCCAAAATGGACCCCCGTTCTCGTGCTTGCTACAACTGTACGTTCTTCGTCCCTCGTGGCTCAACTCGCCTATGACACGCACACTGGTGCGCGGCTCTCAAGGGACGGTCTTTCGATCGCCACTTGAGCTCATGCGCTCCCAGCGGTGAACTGCGTTTTGATTCTACCGGTATAATTGCGCTAAGCGATGCATTTTTGCATGCTATGCCGTTTATATCCCCCCGTTATCATCCATTGGCCGCGATTTTTATTTTTTGGGGACTGACATTTTTTTTTCTTCTCCGTTAGGCGGTGACGCCTCCCACCAGGTAAAGATGCCGTGTCCTCTCCTCTACGCCTGCACTGGATCTCCAGAGACCTGAGGACTCGTTGAGAGCCCTCGGTGTCATTGGAAGAATCTTGCTTTTTCTTCTCCTCTGGAGATTCCTCTGGAGAAGAATGTGAACTTTGAAACTTACACGATGTGATGCTTAGGCCAAGGACTGCCCCAAGAAGGGAACCCCCACTTGGTAAGTCCCTGATTTGGTGCTTCCCCGCCAACACGTCTCTTGAATCGCCGACTAATCTGTCATGTTTGATACAGCTACAACTGCGGTGGTGAGGGCCACGTCAGTAAGTAACATCGAACGAGAACCTCTTCGCCGCTCGCCGCGGCCAACGACTGGAATTCCAAGTCCCAAAAACTAACCCCCTTCACCCCTCCAGACCGCGAGTGCCCCGAGCCTCCCAAGGAGCGTACCTGCTACCGCTGCGGCCAGACCGGCCACCTGTCTCGCGAGTGCCCCCAGGGCGGCGGTGCCAGCTATGGCGGCGGCGCCGCTGGTGGCGGCGGCGGCCAGGAGTGCTACAAGTGCGGCCAGGTCGGCCACATTGCCCGTAACTGCTCCCAGGGTGGTGGTAGCTACGGTGGTGGTGGCTACTCCTCCTACGGCCAGGGCTCTGGCCGTCCTCAGACTTGCTACTCCTGCGGTGGCTTCGGCCACATGGCCCGCGACTGCACCCAGGGCCAGAAGTGCTACAACTGTTAGTAGCCCTCCCTCTTGCTCTCTCTGATCTTGCACTATCTGCACCTGTCCCTCTCTGCATGCTTCGATGCTCCCCTTGCCATCTATATCTTTCGACTCAAGACCAACCCTGAATTTCCTCAAAACTAACCTCTGCTCCTCTTACAGGTGGTGAGGTCGGCCACGTCTCCCGCGACTGCAGCACCGAGGCTCGCGGTGAGCGTGTTTGCTACAAGTGCAAGCAGCCCGGCCACGTCCAGGCCGCCTGCCCCAACTAAAACCCTCCTCCGAATGTCTTTGCTGGAACGTGCAACGTCTTTTTCTTCTTTCGTCCTGTCCTCCTCGGGATTTAGGAGTGCCGGAACAAAAAACGGATGATTTCCTCTTCTTTTATCTCTCTTCCTCCCACCTTTTTTTCTGCATGCGCCACGATTTGAGATGTCTATTTCCCCCCTCGGGTTTTTTTGACTTTGTATTATCACTCACGGCTTGAATCACGACCATGGGTCTTTCTTTTTTCCTTTGCATTTCTGGTGGGCTTGAATTGTCTTACCTGTGCCCTTGTTTTTTTTCCTGTCTGGATCTGGATTTTTGTAAATCTGGATCTTGGATCTTGAAAATTTTTTTTTTCTCTCTTGACTTTCCGTGTCTACCGGGTTTTCCTCGCGTGGAGAGTGAAGTTGAAGGGGCTGCAGTGGGGTTGATTTGGTCTTGCAAATAAAAATTGGTATGCATGGAATTTTGATCTTCTTTGGGCGCGTTACGGGAGATACTGAGATGCATGGCTACGACTCTCGAAAATGTTTTCTGTAATGTTGTAGGATTGTAGGATGTAGCCACTGAAATGTGGACCGTGTGCTTCGGATATGTACATGTGATTCGATTTTGAATTTACTACAACGAGATGATGTACTCCAGTGCTTTTCCGTGGGCAAGCAGAGCACGATCATTAAGAACTGCAGCTACACATCATGGCTCTCTTGTACTTGGGCACATCACCGCAGAATCGCTCTTCTTCCGCCTTGTTCAGGCCCCATTCCTCATTGAATGGGTTCAGACTCATCTGCATCACTCGTCCCAGGATGTCCCGGTCACCTTTCTTCTCAACCTTCTCAATGACTTCGTCCAGAATCCAGCCTCTAGGAATAAACTGTAGTTTAAACAAGATAGATTAGTACTCGTCTTCGTGGAATCAAAATGGAAAAGACGGTAAGCGGTAGTCTTGGGAGGGGATCTCACGTTAGGATTGACAGCCTTCATAGCGGCTTGTCTCTCGCTGTCACCATCGCTTCCCCAGTCCTCGATCACACGAGCCCGCCAGCTATCCAGCCATTTGGCAATGCGAGCTCGGGCCGACTCCTCGGTATACCCAATAGCCCCGAATCCCTCGGCATGGAAGAACACCGATGCTGCAGCCACCCGCTGCTCCTCGGTTTCCAGCTCGGACAGAGACAGGTTAGACAGCCGACGGAAGAAATGGTTGAAATCCAATTCCAGCGCTTCAAGAGTATCCAGCATCTCTGAGAAGAGTGTCTGGAAATCAGACTCTTGTTGTGTCTTCAGACCCAGACGCTGGGACATTAGTCGCTTGTATTCGTTCAGGAATACTGCCTTGAATTCCTCGCCCGTTCGTTCAATCACCGTCTCGGCACGCTTGATGAGTTCTGCTTCCATCTCCTCGCTTACCCCGTCCTTGACGAATGTCTCGTCATCGACTTTGTTGCCGGCGCCGAGGAGTTCACCCAATGATTCGCCGAGCCGGACGAGATTCCACCAGATAATGCTGGGCTGGTTTTTGTACGCGTAGCGTAACATGTGGTCATCGTGGTTGGGCGTGTACTGCGGGTCAAAGTTATCCATAAACGCGAATGGGCCGAAGTCGAGAGAGAGTCCGTAAATAGACGTATTGTCCGTGTTGAGCACGCCGTTCATGAACCCGTACGCCTGCCAAGCTGCCACGGTCTTTGCATTCCGCCGCGCAATCTCCCGGTACAGTCGTGTGAATCGGTTCTCGTCTACACCTTGTTTGGTCGGGACCTCGTCGCGGGGGATGCCGCGAGGTGGATCGTCCATCTCAGCGGTGGTTTGCCCCTCGCCTACCGAGATCGCGGCGGGCAGGGTCTCCCATCCGCCAAAGACGTCTTCAGCGATGTATGTGGAGAGTTGGCGGATGATGTCACGTTCACCACGGACGCGGAGGAGATCGAATGTGCCGATTCGCAGCCAACTCTCGGCGAATCGGGCGACAATGGCGCCGGGCTCGAGGCGCTCGCGTAGCACTTTGGTGTTTGGCAGTAGCGTGAGGGATAGTGCGCGGGTGGTGGGCACCCCCAATGCATTGAGAGCTATATAGATGTTTCAGCAAATGGCCTATATAGCCGGGATGCGGAATGTCTATAGAACGTGGTTGCAAAATACCTTCAGAGACGATGTATTCTCGAATGCTGGATCGAAGAACTGCCTTGCCATCGGCGAACCGCGAATAGGGCGTCTTTCCCGCGCCCTTCAGTTGCAGCTCATATCGCTTCTTGGTTTGGGGATTCGTGGTTTCGAAGAGACTGATTGCTCGCTGTGAAGGAATTAGCCAATTTCGTCTATTATGAGGGTGCTTGTTGATCCAAAAAGAAGAAAGCTTACACCGTCTCCCAATTGCCCCGCCCATGTGCCACTGGTCATTGTTAGTGTTTTTTTCCCCCCACGGAGTTGGAGTAGGGGGAATAAGATAGATCCGGGGACTTCTTACAATTGCCACCCTGTTCATAGATATATGATGATTAGTACTTCAATGACAGATTTCTTTTGATGGTTACAGTCCCAGTCCAAGGGAGGGAAAACGAACCACCATAGCACTGCGCCCACGGGTAAACACCCCCGTTCTCCTCGGTCCAGGCAAATTCATTGCCCGCAACCAATGCCTGGAACGACGGGGTCTGCTCCTCGCCAGGCTTGAGGCCCAAATCTGCCATGGCCCTCGGACTCACTCCGAGCAACTCGGGCTTCTCGACGGGCTCGGGTCGGACATAGGTAAACAGTGCACCTTTCACCATGCGGGGGCCCAGCGTCTGACGCGCGGCCTGGTGGGAGGCCTCGGGGGTCTCGAATGCCTGGTCTGCCGGCAGTTTGGAGGTGAAGACATTGGACTTGGGCAAGTCTGCCAGGGACATGGTCCCGGCCGTAGGGCCGGGGCTCTCGTTGCCGTTGCGGACGGTGGAGAGATGGGACGACATTTGGCCCAGTCGGTTCCCAATGGTCGGATGGAGTGATGGTGCGGCTGTCATGTACAGAGATCGTCCGGTGCAGGCGCGAAGCATACGAGCCGGGATTGCGGGCATAGAGAGTCAGATTGGCGGATCTCTCGTGGTGTATTGTATGTGCAGTGACTTTGACTGCGCTTTGAGGTATGAATGATGATCAACTGCGTCTCGTCAGCACGGTCCGGATGACATCATGCGAATTATTAATCGCGACTTGTCTGGGCCCCAGCTCGAGGCCACTGCACTGAACCGTTTGTTTTGGAGACTGGATTGGGGTAACTAACTAACTAGTTAAGTTAACGATTATGATCCGAGTCTTATGTCAGGGGAGGGGTAAGAACTGCTTATTCTGGTTTAGTTTCTTTTCCTATTCTGACTGTCATTCCAATGTCACGGTTATCTGGTGGGCTTCTCTTTGCCGGAACTGACCCGCTTCCGCACCAGTCCCTGGAAATAGGAATATTATTCGTAGCGTAATCATAATCAATGGATCTGGAAAGGAACTAGTTCCTGAGAGTCTAATCTCCTGATTCAAGTTCTGGGAACCTTAAGTATGTCCCACTTCCCCTCTGGAATACTTCCTCATTATCCTGCTCTACTCTGTACATAGAACCATGGCCACCTCTTACTCTATCCCGTCGACCAAGCTCAACGATGGTTCCTCGATTCCTATGGTAGGTAATATTCGAGTATTCATATTTCATATTTCATATCTGCTTTGATATACCGATCATCATGCTATGCCTATGTTACATGAACATGCTGACCTATTACCCTTCCACCATCCCACCAGATCGGATATGGGACCGGCACAGCATGGTTCAAGAAGACCGACTCCGATCTGAATCGCGACCTGGTCAACTCGGTCAAGAGTGCCGTGAACTTGGGATATTATCACCTCGACGGAGCCGAAGTCTACCGGACCGAGGAAGAGCTCGGCCAGGCCATTGCGGAGTGCGACTTGCCCCGAGACCAGCTCTTTGTCACCACCAAGGTGAACCAGAACATGCCCGATATTCCTGCCGCACTGGAGACCAGTCTGAAGAAGCTCAAGCTGGATTATGTCGACTTGTATGTTCCTGTTCTTTCGTGGATGCTTGTATAGTGCACCTCGGGACGTCTCCCAACTAACCATGTTTTTTTTCCAGGTTCCTGATCCATCAACCCTTCTTTGCTCAGACTAAGGAGCAATTGCAATCCGCCTGGGCTGCCATGGAACAGGTCAAGGCCTCGGGTAAGGCCCGGTCCATTGGAGTGTCCAACTTCCTGCAGAGCCATCTCGAGACGGTCCTAGAAACCGCCATGGTCATTCCCTCTGTGAACCAGATCGAGTACCACCCGTACCTGCAGCATGGGAATCTGGTGCCCTGGCAGGCGAGCAAGGGCATCAAGACCGCCAGCTATGGTGGCCTCACCCCCGTCACTCGCGCTGCCGGTGGCCCACTGGACTCGGTGCTATCGGGTCTCGCCACCAAATATGCGGTCAACCCGGCAGAGATCTTGTTGCGCTGGTGCTTGGACCAAGATGTGGTATCGATCACCACCAGTGGCAAGGAAACCCGCCTGGCCAGTTATTTGCGGGTGTTGACCTTTACGCTGACCCCGAGTGAGGTAAAGGACATCTCGGAGATAGGCCAGCAGCACCACTACCGGGCCTTTTGGCAGGACGAGTTTGCGGAGGATGATCGGTCATGAGAGGAGAGGGGAAGGGAGGTTGTGGGATATATGTGAGAAACATACATATATATATACATTTACATGTACATATATTGGTTTCTATCGGGTATGTATGTGGTAGATCACGTATTTATACAAGGGTCAGTTTTAGTGTCCATGAGAGAATCGATCCACAGCGTACATTGAAAGATTCAGGTCATACTTTACCTTTGGATCTGCTCTACAGTAGCCATTGTCTCTAGTACTGGCTAGTAGAGAGTGATCAAGACCAGTTTAGGAGCACAATGATGTGTGTGTAGTTGTATGCCCCTACAATCACATAGTGATGCAGCTGTGATCTCAATCACCACCACGAGAAATACGCCTGTTGCATAGCTATGGATAGTTCAATCTAGACGTATACCATTGATATCATCTATAATTACTGTATCAAGACGATATTTATGACTGTTGTTGCTTGTTGGAGTTGTAGTGGTAGTCCTGTAGATCACCAGTCCAGTGCCAAGCCCAACCAGCCGAGACCCTCTTCCTTAGACTGAGACCTCCACCAGCTCGCAACCCTGTTCATTTCCTCCTCGGCCCTTTTCAAAACGCATCTCGTGCTGGACAGTCTCTCCTACTCATCGTTCCTTAGTTTCAGCTTATCACCTTCAAAGACCAAATCGCCTCGACGATGCCTTAGAGACCGTCTGGCGGTGCTCGCTGATCTGCTCCGTCTCGACTCGCTCTCTTCCCTCTCGCGCGCGCCCTCCGCCTCGATGTGTTTGGACCCGCACCCGATTCCTCTTCTGACTTCCGGCGCATACTTCCAGCGTTCATCACGACTCCGCCATTCACGGCCGTCGACGTATTCTACGGAGTCAACTTCACTTGGACATATTTCCTCTCCTCTGGCCCGTGCGCGCGCATTCTGATCCATGGTTCACGAATCCCTTCATATCCCCCGCGGACTGCGATGTCGGTGAACGATCAGCCCCCCTCCGCGGATACTTCACTCTCCCACACGAGCCAAGCCTGGGCATCCGACCTGGACATTCTCAACCACCGATTGAAACGCCTCTCCGACAACGTGCTCCCCCTCCATCCCTACCTCCTCACCCTCCCGACGAATGCGCCGTTCCGTCTCGGGTCCCGCTCCGCCAACAGCAATTGGGCCGTGGGACATGACCGTCCCTTCAGCCCCGACGAGCAGCAACTTCAGTATATGACCTTTCTGACACACCACGACACCGATTCATTGCTGGCAGCAGTGGGTGATTGGTCCGACGAGTCGGGTCGCATGATGCTTGATCACCCTCCGGGCCCGAGGACAACCACCGAGCACCAGCCCCGAGACACCGTGGCCAAGAAGAAGATTAGCTTGAACGACTACAAGAACCAGAAGACAAGTGGAGCTGCCCCATCACCTTCACCTGCAATTCATGATCAGAGAGGCCGGGATCGTTCCAACTCGGACCGGCACGACAACACACCACGCGCTCCCAACCCTGACCCTGTTAAGAAGCTCGAGAAACACGAGAAGCCCCAACCACAGCTTCAAAATCCCCCGAAACCACCTCCAGACCTGCCTCCGGCCAAACCAGCCAAGAAGCGGCCTCCAACAACGGATACTGAGCAAGGGAATTCACACGCGACCAAGAATTCCAACATGCATTCCTCCAAGAAACCGCGATTATCGCCTGAAAAAGAGTCGCGCAAGGAATCCACCCTCGCTAAAACACTCCCAATTCTTCTCTCTCCCACACTCCCCCTTCACCCGGTCCAGATCGTACCTCAGGACCTCGACTGCCGCGGTTATTGTCTCCGACTCTTCCCCCGGAGATTGAAAAGGAGCTCGCGCAGCTCAAGGAAAGTTCTCCCGGCCAAAGCTCCCCGAGGCGTGACAATGCAACAGTAAAACCAAAGCGAGACGATACAGGTCGCTCGCGAACGCCCACATCCGCCAATAGTGGCAGTAATTCAAGTCTACAAAACAGCCGCGCCGGCGCCTCGGCAAAGGATTCCCACTCCTCCCGGCTAAGTTTGATCGTGAAACTGCGCTACGGAAAGGTGAACCGAAAACGAGTTGACGGCCTGCTCAAACTTTCTGGTAAAAAGAAAGCCCACCGTGCGGATTCACCGTCGGGTCAAGACACGGATCTGGACGAAGCTCCCCTTGTTGAACGGAGAAAGGACCCGGGACCTAAACGTGGAAATCCGCCATCAGATCGAGTCAAGCCCAAAACCAAGCATGAGGCCGCTGAAACGACGCCTGGCCCCAGCGGTAACAATGCTCGCCTGAAGGAACCGAGACCATCGGTTGAGAAACCTCATCTACCTACTCCCGACAGAGTCAAGACGACCTCGTTGACACCCGTCAAAGATCTCAAGGGCTATGGAAACCGCCGAAACGATCTTGCAGATGGCGAAGGCAAAACACCCGTCAACCCAGCGACGAAACGGCTTTCGGTTGATCCAGGCAGCAAAGGATCACCCTCCCAGCCAGATCGTTCCCGCAATCACGAGCGACGAGATCAGGAGCGGAGGGCCTGGCAGGATGACTTTAAGAATCATACCAAGATGGGTCGAGACTTGAAACATGCCGCCGATCGATATAACAACGGACCCTCCATTACGGATGAAAAGCTCGCCGCTGTGACTGCTATCGAAGCCACCATGTGCTTTGTACTTGCCTTTGTGGCGGACGATCAAGCGAAAGTCCTTTCTCGGCAGGGTGGAGACTCATCTGCCTGGCGCTCTATTATACCGTATTGGCGCGCTGTCAAGAAAAACACCGCCTCTTTCCCCGTCTTGCATAGTTTGTGCCAGCTCCTGGGTGCAGTTTCTTACGACACCATTCATGCTTTGGATCTCGAACGTCTCGCCGTTACACCTCTCCCTGGAGAACATACGCCAGTACCCACTCCAGGCAGCGATGGCAATACCGTGCTGGCAGACGAGAATAAGAAAAGTCTCAAGGAATTTGCGGAGCTGAAAAGCCGCCTTCTAGAATACTACAAGGAGTCGCAGAAGTTGTGGCTCGATGGTTCTCGCGGTTTATCTGAGGATGTCTTGAGCCGAGACTTTCCTACCACCTGGTCCCGACGCTCCCATCATTATGCTGAGCGAGGCAAGGCATCTTTCAAGCCAGGTGACTATTCTGGTGATTATTTTCTTCCTTTGGGAGCGGCCACCCCACCCATCGAAGTGGTGCGCTTCGGCTTGTCTCTCTTGAAGGAATGGTGCAAGCAAGAAGGCGTGGAGTGGCAAGGCCGGCTAGGCCTTTGAAGCTTTTGATTTTTTTTTTTTTTTTTGATTATCCAGCGATATTCCCAACTGTCTATCTTGCACTTCTTTTTCACTTTCACATTGTTGTTCTCTATTTCCTGTGTTGAGGAGGAGGCCAGCTCCCAAGTAATTCGGCGTCTCGGGGTGTGCATTTTGAGTGATTCTTTTCTCCCCATGATACCAATAAGCCCTGAATCTTTTCCCTTTTTCAGTTGTAGTTATTTGAGAGGTTGAAATATATCACGGCCAATACCGATCTCTAATCAGTGCTTCTTTTTTTCTTGGAGCTAGGGGGTGGTATACACAGAATTACCAAAGTTAGTTGATTCTATATAATATAGCCATTTTATTGTAATAGACTACCGTTTAGAATCCAGATTGCAATGTCATATCCGCTCAAAAGGACAGAAAAAAAAAGCAACAGGGATAAGAAGAAAACAACCCATAAAGAAAAAAAAAGATCGTAATCATCAAGAAAGGTTATACTTCCCCGTACTCGCGTCGGAGGTCAGAATTTGAATCTCCAAACAACCACCCAGCCTCGCGGCAATACCGAGCTTCTCGGCCATATACGCCGACCTCGTTTGCCCAGCAGATCACGACAGCATCTACGATGTCTGCAATGACACTCTCCATGGCGCCTAATATGCTCCAGCCAATCGATGCTGCAATGAGGCCGACCACATAGGCATACATACTGCCTCGAATGGTACCGCTTGTGTTCAGACTTCGAGCCGTGGTGACCCAACCGCCGAAACCAAGAGCCAGAGACATCATGAAGCGTGTAGCATGGAGGATCAATTTAGAAAGTCGGTAGGACAGGAGGGAAGCGGATCCCCCTGGTGAGCGAGAATAGGCGCCGGGGTGGAGAGATGTCGAAGCTGCTGAGGGTGCGAGGAGGGTCATTTGACTCAGGCCTCGTGCGGAAGCTCCCAGCGGCTGCGAATGGATCGCGCCATATGTTAGGGAGAGCGGGTTTGTGAGATACGCGATGGGTGTGGGGATGATGGTGTATGCAAAGAGACTGATGATTGAGGATAATCGGCTAGGTAGGAGGAGGATCGGTAGACGAATGAGCAGCCCTAGCAGGCGTGAAAGACTAATCGTGCCGAATAATGTAGTGGTGGCATGGACAATAGCTGCCTGGACAATCTGCCTCGAAGTAGGCGCCGGGCTTGCGAGACGATGAAAGTACCATTGGCTGACAGTGGCCGCAGTGACGGCACGCTGGATCCCAGCAATCACTCCAATCGACCATAGATAAACCAGCACGAAGTAGACACCCAGCCACCAACTGCTCAAATCAATGATAAAGGATCTCGACCCTGAAAGGTGGCCGCCAAGGAACACACGAGTGAACATGAGCATCCAGATCCACGTCCAGGAGACGACGCAGGCAAGGATGACTAGGCCGAGGGCTAGTAGCTCTGGGTTTGCAGCCAGGATGCGACATGCAAATTCGAGCACACCAATCGCCTTACCGATTGCTCGACGCCCTCGCAGGACATTATATATCCATAGACTCGCCATCACGAAAGGGACAAAAGAACCCCAGCGCATGACTCTGTCTTGGGAGCTTGTCCCATTCCATGCACCCTTGAAGCTCGAGATGAAAGGGTACAAGGAGAAAGAGTATAGAATGATGGGTACCGCAACGACGACCATGTAGACCAGAATGCGCACGTATGATCGTAATAGGGCCAGCCAAAGCAGGGAGACGAAAACCGATACGAGAGTATAGATCCCCAGCAGAAAGTAAGACCCATGGACGGTGAAGTAAATGGTGTCCCCCCATTGTGACTTGTCACCGGATGACGGGGTTGAGGTATGCAGCCAGACCAGAAAAGCAGTGGCAAATAGCCCCGCAAGAGCGATCAAAAATAGTTGACCCCAAAAGGCATCGTGCATGGTCGTCTCGGAAGTCAGAGGAGAGATCGATGCGGGAAGGGAACTTGTAGAGCTTGACCTTCGCGGAGCTTCCGAGGAGAACAATGGCTGAGTCTGCTCTGCAGGACTGCCAGATATATTGAAACCGAACGAGTCATCCTTGGCCGAAGGACGTTCTCGAAACCGTTGAATGGGCGGTTCATCGCCGGCCATCTCAGATGGCATACCGTCGGCATCATCTATGCCACCTCGGAAGGAATCTTCCAGCCCTACGTCGACCAGATTCCCTCTGGCTCTACTGCTTTCAGGGCCGACATGGGGCTCAGGCGCTTGCTCCACGCCTTCCTCCACCGTCTCGATTCGGGATTGGCGGGGAGCAGGTACGCTCTTCTCACCGCGCCAGGAGCTCTTGATTCCTTTGCCATTGCCAGGACGCTCATCGTATCGAGAATGACCTTCGTTCAAATCCACAGAGCGATTCGAATCCTCGTCGTTCTCTGAGGACTCCCTCAGGTTGCTATCGCCAAAATGCCGCCTTGAACGCTGCAACGCATAGAAATCCGCAATCTCGCGCTCCCGCTCGGTCTCGTCATCTTCTTCCCGAAATTCGTCGGTCGCGCTGTAAAACAAAGGAGCCGGTTGAGCCGATACCCGGGAGGCAAATGGGAAATTTGAGATCTGGGAGGCACCCGGTCGATACGGGTCACCGCTTCTTAAGAAAGAGCGCGAAGACGGGTGTCGTGTGCTGCCTTGGCGTGGGTTTGGAGGAGCACGACCGGTTCTTTGGAGCTCGTCAGGGCGAGATGCGACTCGCGACTGTGACTGAGCGAGGAAGCGTGAGGCATCTGTTGGCAGGAACGAACTCCAGTCAGCAAGGCACCCAGCCAGATACATGGTTGGTATACACCCTATACATACATTCCGAGAACATGGCCCACTCTCGGGAGATCAACTAGATATGAAAGGATGAGTGGGAAGGATCTCAGGGTTCTCGAAGGCTGAGACGCAGAGAAGAAGTAGAAGAAGTGATCCCCGGTCTTGAAGCTACTCCGATCTTGCAAGCCGGGCAGGACGAGGGGGGATTAAAAGGTTGAAGGTTGACATGACCGGTCATTCAGGTGATGCAAGCGTCATCCGAGCAGGTCAGGCCCCGATAGCTGACTCAGCGGCCGATAAGGTGGCCCTCCCGATAACCATTCCCACTCCTGACGCTGCGCGCACGACAGGTTACCGCATCCACGTTTGGCAACACTCTTCTCCATGTCACAGCCATGGGATTATATCGCTAAGCTTGTCTGCATCGGTGACTCGGGTACCGGCAAGTCCAGCGTGAGTCTGATGTATCGGATCCTCTTGCAAGCGCGTGCTAACTAAGCTGTGTATAGCTCACTATTCGCCTCTGCGAAGGTCGCTTCTCCCCTACTCACGATGTCACCATCGGCGTTGAGTTCGGATCGAGGATTGTCCCGGTTGGACCTCCAGCATCGCAGGAGCTGGGATTAGATGAGATTCCACGCAGCGCAGCTCATGTACCCGGCGAGAACCCTGCGGAGGAATCGACTACCTCCGGCGGCCTCCCCACACCTCCCCGAAAGCCACAAGAAACTCCCAGCCAGAAACGAATGAAGCTTTCTCTTTGGGATACTGCTGGCCAAGAGACATACAAGTCAATTACTCGCTCATACTTCCGAGGCGCTTCCGGTGCCCTCCTCGTCTTCGACATCTCCCGACGATCGACCTTCATATCTTGTACACAGTGGCTCCAAGATCTCCGTCAGATTGCTGAGGAGGGGATTGTGGTTATCCTGGTTGGAAATAAGACAGACTTGGCCGGGCAGGATTCGGGCTCCAACCAAAGACAGGTCACCCGGGAGGAGGCCGAGGAATGGTGCCGCTTGAATAATATCGTTCGCTACGTTGAGACCAGTGCCAAGTCGGGAGATGGTGTGGAACGGGCTTTCTTGGAAGTTGCGGAACGTATCTACCGCAACATTGAAGCGGGCAAATACGATCTTAATGACCGGCGCAGTGGAGTCAAAGGATTTGGTGCCTCGGGGGGCGCTCATACAGGGGTTCCAAGAACAGTCACCCTGGGGATGGATGATGCGATGCGCAAAGGCAGTGGTTGGACTGGAAATTGCTGCTAGAGCCGAACGGGACGAGATTTAATGCAGGCTTAACTGCCCCCCGGCGCAAGTACTTTGCGCTAGAAAGCTTCACTAATTGCAAGAGAATGTACATATGACATATGATCCAGTCAAAGAGATCAATTATACTATCTTTACAAAGGCATAATCCATCAAGATAAGCAAAGTCCTCGCCATAAATGAAAGTTCTAGCCTCTTTTTGGCCCACGTAGTTTCTCACTCCAGAAAAAAAAAAGACATCAAGTACACAATACAATAGCAAAGGGCCCAAACCCCCTATGCCAACTATGGAGAGCAATGAAAAGCAACTCGTATTTTTTGCCCCCGGGGTTTTGCAGTCTGTTCACGGCTAATCTCATCAGTTTGAGATCTTCCAACCGGGCAGCCAGCGCAGATGGGCCCACTGTTGGTTGGAGCCTTCCATGCCGAAGACGATGGCCCGGAAGTGAATGAACAGACCGATGACGATGGCATATAGAACAGCATACACCACTGCGGCAACCTTGGCATTGATTCTGCGGGTAACCCAATCAACGCAGAAACCAAAGGTGATAATGGCAAAGTAGAGAGCTGGGTAGTAGTGGTGCACGTAAGTCACGCGCGCCATGATGATGAACGGAAGATAATGCAGGACCCAACCAATGGCAGGGTACACGCCAGAATAGTGGATGTGGTCAATCTCCTGCTGGCTCAGCTCTTTGTATCCTCGTTGCCAGCGTAGCAGGTACCAGATGAACAGGAGACCGAAGCCAACAAGACCGCCAGTGCTTCCCCAGTAGACGATAGGGTTGCCGAGGAGGTAATACTTCACAACGTTGTCATCCCAGGAGCACATGCGCAGACCGACATTGAGAATCGGCCATTGCCAGAAATGCGAGGCCAGGTCATCCTGCTTATCCGGGTCGGGGACCAGGGCATTGTTCGAGGTCATCATGGCAACGTTCAAGTGGATGAAGTCCTTCAGGAACGGCGACTTGTAGGAACCAGGGTCACCAGGGGGTACTGTGAACACATATTGTTAGTCGAGATTCTACCTCGTTTGGGCCATATGACTGGACTTACGGCGCTCATTAGTGTGTGACTCGACGTTCCAGTGAGTGTACACATCGCCGGGCTTGTTTTCCTTGACACAGGTGGTTTCAATTTGCTTGAAACCCCATTGTGGCAGGTTGACATTACCAGCGCGAAGGTAGCAGCCCATGGATGGGTGGCGCAGACGGAATGCAGTAGTCAACGTCCGGATCTTGGAACGGTCTCGGGATGCCGCGTCGTTCACCACTTCGACCTTCCAGTGATCCTTGTCATCGCCGATGGTGATGTTGCCGTAGCAAGAAACCTCGTAGTGAGACTTGGAAACTGGAGCAGCGACAGCGTGGGAATGCAAATTACGACCAGTCTGGCCATGAATGAGACGGATGGTGTCACCATCACCGATGAACTTCAGATCGCCGTCGGCATCATACTCTGGCTCATCCCGGCTGGGATAAATGAACCAGTCGTTGTTGGCATCCTTGTGGTGATAACAGGTAACCTGCTGCTGGTTCGATCCCTCGGGGTATGTTTGGACGTGGGAGTGCAACAGACCACCGCCATAACCCATGTTCTTGATGGTGACTCGGGATCCGTGGACAATCTCAAGAGGGCTGTCTCTGCCCACCTCCGTGCCACGCAGGTTCGCCTGGAAAAGAGAGCTCATCTGCGCATCGCCGGGACCACTGTTGGACAGGACGGTGAAATGCAGGTAGAACGAAAACATGTATACCAGAACGGGAATGACAATCAGGCCTCCCACACGAGCAAAAAGATGCTTCGCCAGCAGAGTCTGGGAATAAATCATTAGCTTCGTCTTTTTTGCCTATCAATCATCGTCGATGGAATTCTCACCGGTGGCATCTTCACGTCTCCAAACTTGTTCCAGAGATCCTCCGCAGTGTAGAGACCCACGACTGCAGTGGCGAAGAATCCAACCCACTTCACACTGCAGACACAGCCAATGCTGAATCCAGTCAGGCAAAGCCAGAGCCACCACTCCGGCGAGAAGCTGGCACGCTGCAGGCGGTGGAATCGGGCCCAACACATCATCGTGGTGAAGGTGAAGCAGAGCAACATGGAGTCCAGAAGGATGAAGCGGGAAATAGTGGCGTAGGAGTTCTCGCACAGCACCATCAAACTGATCAACCAGACTGTGGCCCGACGGAAGTTCAGCTCGCGGGCGGTATAGTAAGCAAGAGGAACGCACACGACGCCGAACATCGCATTGAAGGCTCGCATGAAAGTGTAGTTAACCTCCTCTGGATACTTCTCGCCGGACTTGAATTCGAAGGATCCATTGTAGCCTGCGAGGTAGCCTGAGAGACCGACCAGCATCTTTCCGAGAGGTGGGTGAACATCGAAGTAGAACTCGCGCTTCAGGTAGTGGGAGCCGAACTTTCCGAAGCTAGATACCGAATTAGCCATTGGCACTGGTCGAGCGCGCGATCTCACGCAAAAAGAGTGGCTGTTCATACTGCGCTTCATCCCAGGTGACGATATTGGAACGGCCGATGCGGTAAAGTCGTGTGAACAAAGAGAGGGCCGTCAGGAGGATCGGGGCAATAATCGGTTCCCAACCAGCGAGAACATGTAGGAAAGAGGGGGACTGTATGGAAAGCGTGTATTAGCGCGGTCTAGACCTATCCTATACGGTGATATCTCTACCTGGCCCGGCTTGGTCTTTTTCACATCGTGATGGACCGTCAAGGTTGGTGTGGAGGCTTTTCCGGTGTCAGGAACATTTCGCCGACGCAGATCGGCGTCGTGCTTGGCGCCCGTGCTGGTGGCAGTATCCATTTTGGCCAATTAGCCAAAAGGCCTGGAATTACAAATGAAAGTGTGGTGGTGACTAGGAATGAGGATGTGGTCGGTCGATGGACGGAGGACGGAGGTCGGAGGTCGGAGGTCAATAGATACCAGCGTGGTCGGATTCGTAACGAGAGTGGAGGGTAGCAACAAGGCTTTCAAAGAATCATAGCGACTCCAAAGGTCGCAAAGAGAAAAACAGCTTGGTCGCTGGAAGTGAGAATTGAAAAAAGTCGAAGAAAAGAATAGGGAAGTGGTAAAGAGAAGGAGAATGGGGCTGAGGAAGAAGGCGAGCTGGCCAGAAGGATAAACAAGGTCCACTTCCGCTTTAGCCCCCCTCCAAGGCCTGAGGCCGTTTCCGGGCTGTGGTTTCTGCGAACGAAGTCAGTCAAACGGACTAGTTATCCAAGAATAAGGGGCTACTTTACGAAAATTCAAAAAAATTATGAGAAGATATTGAAAGGTTGTCTAGAGAAGATATAGGTAGGTATTCTGCACTGTGTGTGCTTCTAGCGATTCATAATCGTCCCACTCATAGTTACTTGGCGATAAATCTCATGACAAGAATACCTCGTATTGATCAAGGAGGACATCCCACACTAGTGCAAAAGATCACTGGGTGAGACATCTAGTATCATCAATCGCCTCGTCGGCGAGTTCTGCTTGGAGACAGGCGAGTAAAAACTATAAAGACACAGCCAGCAAAAGGTCCCGAGTATGCCCGACGCAGTCCCATGCGAACAGCTCCAATGCAAGACCCCTTTCGCGGTTTCCATTCTATACGAGAAAGAGGTACTTGAAAAAAATGAAGCAAATGATGTCCAATGATACAGAATACAATATCAACATGCAGAAGGAATCGGTTCATCGAATATACAAGTCGAAGGAGGGTGCACAGCCAGTCGAAAAAGGGCTTCCAACGGAAGTGAACAAAAGACACGAGAAAAGCCAAGATGGTATAGTATATGAAAGAAGTGTCTCCGAAACAGAAAATGAAAAGCAATAAGAACAACCAAAGTGGGGGGGGAAAAAGTAACGCCATATCATTCAATCCACGCCGGGAATGGTGATTCGCTCAATGTTCCTCCTCATCGTCGCCTTGTTCCAAGCGTCTGTATTGACTCGGGTTGGTGCCAGTACTTCCTCGGCGATTACGATTCACCATGTTGGAGATCCAGCCTCCAATTCCTTCACCTCTGTGACTACCGGCCTGAGAATCAGCTCGTCCCGATTTGCCTAGGCCGTCACCGCCGATCGAGGGCGGATCAATGTCCAGCCCGGGAATGGCACTTTCGGCTCCCAATTGGCCATAAGGTCGGCGAATGTCAAGCGAGGGAACGGGCGAGCCTCCACCCATTAACGATCCCCGCTCGCCATCGGTGACTGGAGTGGGCATGGCAGTAGTCGCATCGCCGAACAAGACGTTCATATCTTCCAGGCGAACGCCACTGGTCTCGGGGTACAAGAAGTATACTGTTGGCCAACATGTGAGTAAAGAAGAAACCAAAGAAGAACGGGAACATGAAGACCAGGGGGGGGATACATACCGACGACGAAACTGCAAGCGCAGAAGAAAGCATGAAGTAAATAAAGTCTCCATCCAATCGCTCCCTGTAAAATAGGGGTCAATTCTCCCACCAGCCAGTTGAATGCCCAATTGCTGGCAGTGCTGAGACTGGCACCCTTGGCGCGAATGCTCAAGGGCAAAATCTCCGGAGGGTAAAGCCACGGGATCGGACCCCAGGACGCCCCAAAGGCGGCATTATAAATCATCACAAAGATGACGGTTAAAGTCGGAGTCGCTTCAATCTCAATGTGAATAAAGTACGAAATCAAAGAGAGGGAAATGAGCATGGCCACCGCTCCGGAGAGCAAAATGGGCCGACGGCCCCAGCCATCAACCAGATACCATGGAGGCACGGTCGAGAGCAGGTACGAAATACCGTTAATGCCGGTCATCAAAACGGCATCCCGACCCGCCCATCCGGCCGATTCAAAGACCAAAGGCGCGTAATACGATATTACGTTGATCCCATTGAGCTGGGCCAAAGCTTGCGCGGACATGGCAATCAGCACTCGCTTCCAATAACGCCTGAACATATCGCTGTACGATCGCTCTCCTTCCTGTCGCTGCATGAGGACATTCATCTTGATTTCGCGGTACTCTTGACGAGCCTTGTCATTGTGAATATCACCCTCACCATAGAGGTTCGCGATGACGACTATGCCTTCTTCGTCGTGATCATTGTCGAGAAGCCACCTGTGAAAAGGAAAAATTGAGGTAGTTAGAATCATCATCAGTTTGACATTCCGTGGAGGGAGGTCTCTCAATCCGTCTTCTTACCGAGGAGATTCGCAGATAATCAAGCTCCCAACTCCGAGCAAGGCTCCCATGACGCACTGGCACAGCAGGGGCAGACGCCATGAGATGTCCGACTCGATGAAGCTGCAAAAGTAGTCCACCCAGACACTGGTGGCATATCCGGCAATGTTTCCCGTGAATTCAATGCAAGCCAACTTTCCACGGTTATGCGGAGGCTATACCACAAATTATCAGTACTGGGATTCACGAGCAAATCGAAGGGTGAGGTCTTTCCATACCGAAATCTCAGATTGATAAACGGGCACGATCGTTGACAAGGCACCAACACCGAGACCAGCCACGATACGGCCCACCATCATCATGGGCATACTGATCGCAAAGGTCTGTAAGGCACCACCGACGAAGAACACGACCGAGCCATAGAGAATCGTCCGCCGCCGACCGATTACATCGCCGATACGACCAACTAGAAGAGAGGAAATGAATGCGCCAATCTCCAAGATAGCCACCACGGTTCCGATGGTGGCCGGAGAGGGTTGGTCGAAGTAATCTCGGAAAAACGATCCACTGATTCCGGGTTAGTGGAGATCCTATCTATATCGCTATCGCGTTCGGAGGGGAGGGATACGGACATGATAATTCCGGACATGACTCCTTGGTCATAGCCAAAGAGGAAGACGCCTAGTGATACAAAAACACTCGTAAAGTACCTACGGCGAGCGGAGGGAGGGGACCAGTCAGCCAACGTTCTATTTGGTCCTTTCTCCCACGGCCTGTCGTTTTTCTGGTCGAGGGGAGAGAGTGACCAGAGCTCTCGATTGACTTACAACAACGGCTTGCCCACCAACCCATGTAGTGGGGCATTTTGCCCATTGCGAGGGGACATGATGGAGGCTAGAATACGCTCGGTTCTGGAGATACGTCGGGGCGGGGGATTCGGGATTCGGATGTGGTCCTTTTCGAGATCGACCGACGGGCGGGAATAGTCGAGATCGGGAGGGTAATGGACTCGCTTGGGGGGTTTCCTTCGACCTCGTCGAGTCCGTTGCTCCTGGTCGAGCGACTTGCGGAGGCGGATCTGGAGCGGATCCTCGACCTCGGCGAGCTGTTCGGCAAGGTCGCCGGTGTCTGACCAGATAGAGAAGTCTGACTCGCCCGAGCGAGTCGACGACAGCGAGGACCGACGACTTCCCTTCTCGCTGGCGGATTCCAGGACTGTGAACTGGGCGTGGGAGTCGGGGAGGCTGCGGAGGGGTATGGCGCGTGGGGAGGTTGACGAAGGAATGGCGGCGGTGGGCGGGCTGATATTCCAGCCCTTTCGGAACCCTTTTTTTTTTCTTTCCCTTTTTTTAATTTGGCTATTTTAGAAAGACGTCTCCTGGTCCCAGCGAGGAGATCGCAAGGACTGAGACCGTCCAGGGCAAATGGATGGAAGATCGCCAACGAAACAGGACCGACCAGCTGGACTAGGCTGAAGAGAGGTAACGAGACCAGCGAGAACCGCGAAACCAGCAGGACCAAGCTGGGGGACCTGCCGTTGACCCCCTTTCGGCGTGGAAAGTCTTACTAGCGACGCCACGCAGGACGGAGCGGTCACAATAGGCAGTTCGTCGCTAGTTGCACCGCGCGATCGACGCAGGATGACGGCACGTCCACGATGGAGAGGGACAAAGAGTGAGGAGATGGGGGAAAAAAAGTGGGAACGCGAGAGAGAGAGAGGTCAGGCGAGTGGCTGATGCGAAAGGGGGGAGGGAAGTTAGGAATAATCTCGGAGACACGAATAGAGACGCTGCAGGGTCCCTTGTCGAGTCGTAAGAGAACAGTAGTGAACAGTAGGAAGATGAGCTCGACTGGGGGGGGATGAAAGTGGAGAAGGTAGAATTGAATTGGGAAGAAGATAGTTGGCAGCTATGAGAAGAGGATGCTCATGAACATGTCCAACTAGCGAGAGAATATCGAATAATGGATAAGGGGAAGAGAAGCAGGAGAAGAGACAAAGATGAGAGAGGCCGAGCCCGGATTCAGCCCAGGCGATCGATAAGGGAGAGTAGTAGGAGTACGGAGTACATCCTACCACATAGTGAGTGGTACGCCTGGAAAGTACTCCGTCCCGTAGTAAGAATACGGGGCAACTTGTCTTATTCCGTCGACGTCGTTGTCCAAGCCCCAAGGATCCACAGTGGAGCCCTCTCCACGCCAGCCAAAACCACGAACCCACGGTTGATGACGATGCTCTATACAGTACTTGGATGCACCACACTCCCATAGTGTCCTGGACTCAAGGCGAACAACTTCGTATATTACCAGGTACACAATTCTGGTCATTGGTTATATTAGCAATGATGACAGTTCTATCAGTGACGATTCTCCCAAAATATATAGCGTGCCCATCTATGTTTTTATGGTACAGACTATATTAGCAGCCCGCCAGGAAGCAAAGCGAACGAAAAGCATTTACTGATGGCGACTCTTGGGCGGCTCATCAAAGGTACAGAATATAGTAATGAAATAGGTAATATGGCAGTGCCATCCCACTTGTAAATAGAATGATTTTCACTCAGAGAGAAGATCTGCTGGTCCGAAAGAAGATATACATCCTCCAGACTGGACCGTTCTATGGAGGCGGACCGACATGACCTCGAGATCTTGGACGAGATTATCCATTCTACTGATAGAACAATGCCCTTGCATGGCTGCTGGCTCGACATTTGACGCATGCCGTGGTGGCGCTTGAGCCGCGCCCGTGCTTAATGCATGACCGCTCGGAATGACTGATTCGGGAATTCAGCCTCGATGTATGACCGAGCCAAGATAAAGAAATAGGGTATCATCTGCTGCTGCCAAGTGGAGAAGCCAAGTCTATGGAAATTCTAATATACAAGATGCAAGATGCAAGATGCAAGATGCAAGATACAAGATCGCAGGACTGCCATGAGCCGGCAGCCAAAAAGGAGACAAGGGCATTTGATCGATCAGAGATCGAAAGCCAATAAATGGAGACAAAATTCCATGCAAGACCTTAGTTGAGGAGAATATCGTATCCATCCTTCTGGATGTGCACTGTGTCCGCCAAGCTCGCATATCGCCGACGCACCAACTCGAAGATCACCAGGCCCGCACTGGTGCTGGGCACTTGACGAAGCGCACTCCCCGCAAACCCGCGGAAGAGCCACAGCCTCCACCCCCCGGCCCGCGTGGCCTTGCGTCGGCACCGTTTCCAGGTCTCCTGATAGGCATGGTAGTATAACCGCAGCATCTGCCGCCGTGAGGGGTCCAGGCTCGCCTGGTGGTCGAGATACTCGAGTCGGCCAAGGTGCAAGTCCTGAATCCGGCTGAGCGGGTGCTGAATGGTTTGCTGGGCCACCGAAGCCAGCACACCAGCCATCATGAGAAAGCATGGCTCCAAGGCATAGTGTGGTTTGATGAGTGGCACCCCACGGTCACTGGACCCGGAAGACAGGAGCTGATCAACCGTCTCCGCACGCAGTGCTCCGTAGTACCAGGTAATGAATGAGTAGTACGATTGCGACTTGATATATTCAAACGTGGAGAAGAACACGGCATAGCCCAGCGAGTCTCGCAAGAAGGAGAGACTCCATCCCGCAAAGACTCCTCGAAGTCCAATCTGTTTCAGTTTATGATGACCATAATGCCACATACTTCGATACTGGCCGTCCAGCATATCGCTAGTTTGAAGTCGAACCTGTAGTGCATCAAGAGGAGCGGCGATAATCGATTGCATAGTTCCAGCAGCAAATCCAGCGGTGAAGGTGGCCGCCGGAGGAGCGGGAGGCCAGACTCGCTTGACGCCTTGCGAAACAGGGTCATGTAGGGCTCCGAGAACTTGTAGATAAGAAGTGTATAGAACTGCACCGACTCTGTAAGAATGGGAGGGATTCATTAGTCAGAATTTGATATCCTCAGACAAAGAGGGAGGAGGAGACGCGGAAAAAAAGGCCCTCGTCATGCTCACCCCGCATTCGCCAACAAAGGCGGCAAGACTTGATTTGGAATAAACCGCCAGCCATAGGTCCTGACAGCATGGAGCAAGAGACCAGGAGTTGTAGTATGAATGGACCATTTGCCTTCTGCAACACGAGGGTTCACAGCTCTTGCAAATGCCTAATTTCAAACGATCCGTCGAGAGGCCTGGGTTAGTGTATCGAACTCGGCACCGGGAGGGGAGAGGACTTGTATATACCATATAACTAATCTCATATTAGCAAGGTGCAATATATTCTCAATCACAGAAGACCACCTACTCAACACGAGTGCGAAAGAAGGCCTTGATCGGGGCCCGAAAGTAGAATGCTACCATTTGCGCACTGAGAGCGCGGACGCCCGCGGCGGAAGCTCCAGTCGCGGCATCATTGCGAGGTTTTCGTCGAGAAGCCCCCGGATTACCGAGATTGGGCTCCAGAAATATGGGGTTCATCGCAGATCTGAATGCTTCGAGGGTATCACTCCCAGCATAATATCTGGAATGGCTCTCGTTCGGGTTGTTTTGCACTCGGAGGGGTTCTCGAATCCCGGGTTCGAATCACAAACGGAGGTTGTCAAAGCAAATGACCAAAGCAGAACCCAAGTAGTAACATATTGACGAGCCACAGTAGTACAAGAGAGGTTTGCAACTGGCCTCTAGCCGAGAGGGGGCACAAAAGGGAACTGTGTAGAAGTAGAGTGGTGAAGAAAAGTGCCAGATGATTGAGGCTGCCCGGCCAAAGCATCAACCCCAAAAAAGAACAAAAAGCACGCTAACCCCAAAGAGGCAAAACTGGGCACGGGAAGCCGCAGGGAACTCAAAACGCGCTTTTCGCGTCCGCCTCTCTCTCTCCTCCTCTTCCTCCAAGGGCTTCTTTGACATCACCACATTGATCACCCCTTCCCTTCCATCTTCTTCCCCTCATTCAAGGTTCATCTTACTTTTCCATCGATTCTCTTGGTTTATGCGACCTTAATCCTACACTCACCTCCAAACTCTTCTTTTGCGCCCGGCCTCTCACTGTTGCCAGCAAGCTTAGCTTGCAATAGGCGATCAAGATGGCCGACAAGATCGCGATTGACAAGAACACTTTCTTCAACCATCTGTCCAACTTCTATGCATCATGGAAGTCCGACAAGCGCTCCGGAAATGCTCTCTTCGGTGGCGCCGGATCCATCGTCATCCTCATGGGCAAGACCAAGAGCGATGAGAGCTCTTTTCAAAAGAACAATGCTATGCATGTATGTCATCTGGTTTTGATCGAGTTTTTATCTCTATAACCACGCCGAGAGGCAAAACTTTCACCTCCTGGATGCTCACTAGTTGGTACCTTAGTTCTGGCTTCTTGGCTACGAGTTCCCCGCTACCCTCTTCGTCCTGACAACCGAGGCGATCTATGTCGTCACAACGGTCAAGAAAGGTACTTCTGAACCGATTCCATCACTACTCAAGGGCACTAGGCTGATATGGAGGCGATGTAGCTGAGCTTCTCGAGCCTCTGAAGGGTGGAAAGATCCCAGTCGAGCTTCTGGTGACGACCAAGGATCCCGAATCGAAAACAAAGGCGTTCGAGAAATGTCTTGATGTTATCAAAGGTGCCGGTGTAAGTTGACTAAATCTGTTTGTTTCAAACTGGATTTTCGCGGGTGGCTAACCATAGCTACACAACCACAGAAGAAAGTCGGTACTCTACCCAAAGACACAACGACCGGTCCCTTCGCCGACGATTGGAAGCGCGCATTCTCGGAGATCTCGAAGGACGTGGAGGAAGTGGACATCACCCCGGCGCTGTCCAGCGCCTTTGCGATCAAGGATCCAGAAGAACTGGTAAGCTTTGGCCTTGTTTCCTAGTCCTGGTAGGGTGAGCTTACTGACAGGGTGTTCAGGTTTCTATTCGCAATGCATCCAGAGCATGCAGTGGCTTGATGTCGGGGTACTTTGTGGAGGAGATGTCACGCCTGCTCGACGAGGAAAAGCAAATCACTCACAAGGCTCTCGCTGCAAAGGTGGACGCCAAAATCGATGATTCCAAATTTTTCAACAAGCTGGCGCGCTTGCCATCCGAATTCGACGCCGAGCAAATCGACTGGGCTTACGGACCGGTTGTGCAGAGTGGAGGGGCCTATGATTTGAAGTTGACAGCAACCTCTGATGGCAACAATCTGAAGCCAGGCATCATCCTGTCCAGCTTTGGAATCCGCTACAAGACATACAACTCGCTCATCGGTCGTACCTACCTGGTAGATCCTAGCAAGTCTCAGGAAGCCAACTATGCGTTCTTGCTCAACCTCCACGATGCGGTGATGAAAGAGATCCGTGATGGTGTGGTGGCCAAGGATCTCTACAACAAGGCGCTCAGCCTGGTCCGCTCGAAGAAGCCCGAGCTTGAGAACCACTTGACCAAGAACATTGGTGCTGGTATCGGTATCGAACTTCGGGACGCGAATATGATTCTCAATGCCAAGAACACCCGAGTTCTGAAGAATGGCATGACGTTGGCAATCAGCATTGGCCTGACGGATGTGAAGGATACTGATTCCAAGTCGAAAGGGAATCATGTCTATTCCATGGTGATTACAGATACCATTCGTGTTGGCGAGAGCGGGCCTCACATTTTCACAAAAGACGCCGGCATCGACATGGATTCTGTCTCTTTCTACTTCGGAGATGAGGAAGAGCCCGAAAAGCCCGTGAAGGAGAAGAAAGAAGCGAAATCCAGCGCGATTGCAAGCCGAAATGTCACACGGACTAAACTGCGTGCTGAGCGGCCTACCCAGATTAACGAGGGTGCTGAAGCGCGCCGTCGTGAGCACCAGAAAGAGCTCGCCGGTAAGAAGACAAAGGAGGGTCTGGAAAGGTTTACAGGCACCACTGGAGATGACAACGGTGTCGCCCAAAAGAAGTTCAAGCGATTCGAGTCCTACAAGCGTGATAACCAGCTGCCTCCTAAGGTCAAGGACTTGACTGTCTACGTTGATCACAAGGCCTCGACTGTCATCGTTCCTATCATGGGCAGGCCAGTACCCTTCCACATCAATACCATCAAGAATGCGAGCAAGAGTGACGAGGGCGAGTATGCGTATCTTCGAATCAACTTCCTCTCTCCGGGCCAGGGTGTGGGTCGAAAGGATGATCAGCCATTTGAAGACCCATCTGCTCATTTCGTCCGCAACTTGACCCTACGATCCAAGAACAACGATAGACTGGCGCAAGTTGCACAGGATATCACTGAGCTCCGCAAGACCGCTTTGAGACGGGAGCAAGAAAAGAAGGAACTGGAAGACGTGGTCGAGCAAGACAAGCTCGTCGAAATCAGAAGTATGTCACCGTTCCCTCAGTGTGGAGAGGCCCGGTTTGGCTTGGATATTAACAGACGGTTTTAGATCGACGCCCCGTGAAGCTGCCCGACGTCTACCTGCGGCCTCCTTTGGATGGAAAGCGTGTGCCTGGAGAAGTCGAGATTCACCAGAATGGTCTCCGCTACCTGTCGCCTTTCCGCAGTGAGCATGTCGACGTTCTTTTCAGCAACGTTAAGCATCTCTTCTTCCAACCCTGTGCACATGAGTTGATTGTCCTTATCCATGTGCACCTCAAGACGCCTATCATGATTGGAAAAAGAAAGACTCGGGATGTCCAGTTCTACCGCGAGGCCACCGAGATGCAGTTTGACGAAACTGGCAACCGCCGGCGGAAGCACCGGTATGGCGATGAAGAGGAGTTTGAGGCTGAGCAGGAAGAAAGACGTCGCCGGGCTGCGCTTGACCGTGAGTTCAAGGCATTTGCCGAGAAGATTGCAGATGCTGGCAAGGACGAGGGTGTGGATGTCGATATTCCCTTCCGAGAGATTGGCTTCACCGGTGTCCCCAACCGTTCCAACGTCTTGATCCAGCCGACTACGGATGCTCTTGTGCAGCTTACTGAGCCGCCATTCATGGTCATTACGCTGAATGAGATTGAGATTGCCCACTTGGAGAGAGTGCAGGTACGATAACTTTCCTCTTTTGCTGTCCATTTATCCACGGTTGCTAATCTATCAATAGTTCGGTCTGAAAAACTTCGATCTTGTCTTTGTGTTCAAAGACTTCCACCGAGCTCCTGTCCACGTCAACACAATCCCCGTTGAGGCGCTGGAGGGCGTCAAGGATTGGCTTGACTCTGTTGACGTCGCCTACACTGAAGGTCCACTGAACCTGAACTGGACCACAATAATGAAGACAGTCGTGAGTGATCCGTACGGCTTCTTTGCTGACGGTGGTTGGTCTTTCTTGGCCGCCGAATCGGACTCGGAGGGCTCAGAGGAGGAGGAAGAGTCGGCCTTTGAGCTTTCCGACTCAGAGCTGGCCGCTGATGAGAGCTCTGAGGAGGACAGTGAGTTTGATGAAGACGCCAGCGCTGATGGAAGTGAAGAGGATTTCAGTGGCGACGAGGAGAGTGGTGAGGATTGGGACGAGCTGGAGAAAAAAGCAAAGCGCCAGGACAAGGAGGTTAGACTGGACGAGGATGACCGTGGTACCAAGCGCAAGCGCTAAATTGGAAAGTTCGTAGATGATGGCAATGGGCGGCTTTTCTGGTTTCAGTCGATTCCAATATGACTTGGATGTTTCTTGCGCTTTCTTCAGGCCTAGGCCTTTCTGTCTTTTTAATATGCGTTTTAACAACATTCGACGGGTTGGGATCAACTACGAGGGCATCTGCCATTTACAGAATCAAGCTCAGCTTTGTAATTTTATCCAAGTGAATAATCGTTGAGCCGTCATACGTTCTGCATTACAATTAACTTTTGTAGATTTTCGATTTATTACTCCATCAACCGGTCCTGACGCTTCTTTCTGGCAAATCATTACTTACTCAAGCACCAAGAATGAAAACCAGGGGTGATAAACGATTCTTGTAGATGATCGTCGATACCAAGCGAGAGACAAGTCCAATTAGCTATTTTCCTGCACGCATCGATGCCCACATGTTTCGCATCCGCTCGTTCTGGCCAGGGGTAAACCTCTCGTAGCAGACGTCAGATGAGTAGTCCATAAAATTGTGGATGGGGTCCAGCCCCGGCGAATTAGGACATGAGTCTTTCCGAGCAGGGCAACCACCCGTAGGGGTGGACTGTAGAGGTGTATCGGCGATGTAGTCTCCTGGATTGTCCGCAGAGCAGGACTCTCCCTGGAAGGTATGCAAAAGGCCGTTCCAGTGTCCGATCTCGTGAATCGCGGTTCCTCCTCGGTTGTAAAGATCCAATGAGCCTCCTGACATCGCACTTGCGAGGACGTTGCAGCCATCTTTGACATAGTCCGCACGGGGACTGCTGGCATTCACGCTTGGATCCGGGAGAGTGCAGAAGCCTAGTACGCTGGAGGAGAGATCACTCGACTGAGAGGCTCCACGGTGACTTGCACGCCCGGCTTGGTCTGGGGAAGCCTGGAGGTCGGTTTGGAAGTAAACGTTCAGAGTTCGGTAGGTCCCCTTCCGAAGAGCTTCCTTCATGCCCTGGTCATCTCCATTGCGAGCCCAAACGTCGTTCACATGACGGGTAACACCTTGCAATCGATATTGAATACCAGCATCCTGATACGCATCCTGTAAAATGGAGAGCTACGCTCGCGTATCAGCATCGTTCCATGGCACGCAATGAATTATCTAGACGTGAGCGAATTCAAGGGGGAACTAACCTGGGAGTCGACCATGTCATCGGAAACCTGGTCTTGGTCTGCTTTTCTGGTGATGATATGGAACCAGGTCTCGATCTCGATAGGGCCGTTGCGGGATTCTGACCCAGCGTCATGTGGTTGGGTCTCATCGGTTTTGACTCGCTCGAGAGCGCTCAAGAAAGACGTGTCCGGGTCTTCGGTGGCACAGATGCCGCGGTGTTCAAATACTACGGGGCTGCATTGTGCCTGCAGGAAATAGAAAGTTGTGACAAGAACCACGAACGGAGCGAAAGAGTGACAGACCATGATGATGTTGGTGTTGGATGCCCCGATGTCGCGATTCCTCCGCCACAAACCACAGGAAGAAGATAAGACTTTCCCTCTACCGAGAGACCAACCACTATATGACCAGGCTGACTGAGAGCTCCATCGATCCGGTCCGATGCTGTGAGTCTGGAGAATGCTGCGCATGAATGGAATGCATGTCCCATGCAAGGGGTCCGAGTAACCGTACCCGAGAGATCGACAGCTGCATATCAGGCGGAGCGGAGAAAACGTGCACTTCATTGGCATCCAACAAGGTTGGCCAATTCCTCGGCCAGAAAGATGAGGTCATCCAAGGGTGATGAAAAGAAGAAAGAATGCTCGTTGTTGTGACAAATGGTAGATACATAGAAACTCCTTGTTAAAACACCCGACCCGGAACAATCCATTTATTTCACAATATAGGTAGCGGCCCATGGAGTATTGGAAACCAAAAAAAGAAAAGGGGAAAGTAGGATAGCGAAGAAACTGACACAGGTGAAAACCGCCCAAGGGGGGAAAGACGAAGGAAAGAGAAGTTGAAGGAGAGAATGAAGCCTTAAGGCGCACTTGGGCGCATTCGGTCATCCCGCCCTGAAGCCATAGCAGTTGTTGGCTGGTTGGTCGCATCCCATGTCAGATAGGTGTGATCACCCAGTTTTCTAGAAGATAATTAGCAATTGTCGACATTTTGAAGATCTTCGGCAGCAAGGCCATCATTCACCAAGCTCTACATACCTAGGTCGGATCAAGTAGGCCACCGTGAACAAGGCGCCCAGGAGTACACAAACTCCGCCAACAACCACGTAAGCAATTCCCATGAAGGGATTCTTACCACCGATGACAGTACGGGTAGAGAGCAAAATCGACTTGGTTCCATCGTACTCGGTGACGGGGAATTCTATTTCATGGTGAGCAATGTTTCATCTCTAGTCAAAAATTGAGCGGTCGGGGACTTGAATCATTTCACGTACGATCGACGATATCCAGGCGGTAGTCTCCCGGCTGCATGGCAGTATCATCGTTCCTGCGGGAGAGTTTGCTAAAGGATGGCAACCCCGCAGTCCGCATCCAAACCATGAAATCCTCATTTTCATGAAGGTTAGGAATACCGGTCTTCTCGTAGGAACCGTTGTAATACTTCCAGTTTGGTGGGGGAACCACTTCCCATGGCTTATACTGGGTCTGCTTGATCAGTGCTTTGTCACTATCCCAGGCGATTCCATTCTTAGTCATGGTATAATTGGTCGAGGTTTTCGCTGTCAGCACCGGGTTCCCGATTGAGTCGTTGAACATGGAGTTGGCGATCAGGCCACATGGGTAATACGCTTTTCCAGTGGCAGAGTCGGTCGCCAGAGGAGAACACACGCTACCCGAGATTGTGCCGTTCGGAACCGCAGTGCCTTTCAATTGATCCAAGTCCAAAGACTGGACATAGCGACGATGATTTTGATAAAAGTTGGTGAGACGATAGTATAGGTAGACTGGAGGGCCCATCGACTCGGGAATGGTGAAATAGAGTGAGCATACGGTGGTGTCATCGGTGCCATTAGACCGTTGCCAATAGTATTTGCTGGACGCAGTCGAAGCTTTGAATGTTGCGGACACGCGGTTTGAGATGTCTGCCGGGGTATTCTCCGGCGCACTACTTTTGCAGTCTGTGTAGTCGATGACAAGCTCTTGGACCTAGGGGACCAAACGGTGTCAGATGCGTGTGAAGGACGAATCGCAAGGTAAGACCGCTACATACCTGGGAGCTTGCCCAGATCAGGACGCCACCGATGGGCGCGAAGAGAACGCCAACGATGAAGAACAAAGGTAGAACACTTTTGGGGGTCAAGATCGGTCTAAGCGGAAGGCAACGGTCAGTCCCGGTTGGCGGCGGATGATCCGGAATCAAAGAATAAGCTCACTGCCAGGCTTTCAATCGTTGTTGTCGAAAAGCGGTATCTAGAAACACGTCAAGTCAGTCGAGGGAACTGGGAAGAGGAACGGAATCGAGGCTCAGGGCGAAAGGGGACGCGTACTGGCGGGTCTTCGGGACTTGGGCTTCTTGTCACCATCGGCAGCGCGAGCGCGCTCCTGCTCGTCGATGGACTCGGCACGGGGAACCTCGGCCTGCGACATGGCGACAGGTATCGCGCGGGAGTTGGAACTGGGGGAGATGGAGCGATGGAACGAGGAGTTGATGAAGCGATGCAGTTGGATGGAAGGACAAGAGTGAGGGAGACGTCAGAAAAAGGTGGCGCCGGGGCGGAGCCAGATCACTGGATTTGCCTGGGAATTACTGGATTGGCAAGTATTAGGCAGCCCCACTAACACCGCCCGGGCGAACCATACGGGTTTAATGGTCCAGGCCAACCTTACGAGAATCAACTGCAGGGATCAAGGATATTTATAGTTACTTGGTTTTCTAAAATCGCTATGTAACCTACAACAGGGGGTAGGGGAGGTGAATTAACGAAAGCGCACTTGTTATACAAGGCAAGAGGGTAATTAGCTATCCAAGTCGGAGGAATTTTCCTGTATACACTAACTACATTTGCAACTACAGATCCAGACTAGTAGATGTGTCAAAACACATAGAACTCATTTGCAACGGGTATTTCATTCAAAAGAGTCGTATCTGGTCAGGGTATCATATCATCTCGTAATGCTCTCCTCTTGAAAAGAGTCATTCGACGGGATGGGAACAAGAACACAATGGTGGAAAGCAAAGACACACAACAGCAACGATGGAATCTCCAAATCAATAACACCACAAGTTGACCCGAGGCCTGCCATTCTAGAGAGAAGGAGAACCGGAACGCCAAAATCAAGAGCCGAGGTTAAAGCCGAACGCACAGGAAAAGCGATGCATGAATACCGAGAGCAACGCACGATGCGCATAGAGACAAAGATGCGTGGAAAAGAAAGAACAAAGTAACAAATATCCTGTACTGAGAGGAATGAATGTGTCGTCATGCATAGTGGACATGAAATAAAAAAAAAAAAAAACAGTCATGATGAGAAAGACCAATACGGAAGCAAGGTCCATGGGTATAGACACCAGAATCTCTGGATACCTGAGGGAGGTAGGGTGTGTCTTGAATCGAATAGCAAGACAGAAAGTCGTTTGGTGATTAATTGTTCATATGAATCAGCCCGGTAACGCAATGATCAGTTACCCGAGCATGTAGCCATGTCTGTAGTAGTTCGAGATCATGTTGAAACCACAAAATGAGGAGAAAGATTGATCACGCTTGTACACGTCAGTTTCACTGGTGTCCTGGTTGGGTGGGTGAGGATCCCAAGGAGAGAAGATAGAGAGAAGATGTTTCCTGTGTCTGCGAGTGGAGAAATAAAGTCAAGCCAGGTTAAGGGATGTCACGATCCATGGTCAGCGGGCAGATAAGATTCCCGTTCCGTCGAGAAGGAAAAGGGGAATGAGAAATCATCTCAGATGACGAAAGTATTCTGGCTTGAACCATCCCACTCGGTCGTAGGCGGTCCAGAGTTTGCTAGCTTTATTGACGTCAATCTTGCAGGCCTGCTGCGCATCGGTCTTGCGGAACTCCTTGCCCACACCGAGAGCACGCACGCGCGCTTCGAAGATCCGGCGCTTGCTGCAGAGGTAGGTCGCACAAGACAGCCGGAGTGTCGAGGCCAGATTGAGCTCGGCAGGACTGAGCAGGTGCCGATCCGGGTCATTGCTCAAATCCAACATTTGCCCCTTCCAGTCTGCCTTGAGTGCCTTGGCGTTCCCGCCCAACGTCTCCAGGGGAGGGGAGTAGTCTGGAAGGGCTTGGAAATCGGTGTCATCGCGATTCGTGCCTAGGGCACGGGGCCTGGACGCCGAGGTGGGAGAAGTATCAAAGGAATCCAGGGTCTGCTGTTTGGGGGTAGACTTGGGGGTACGCTTGACGCGGGTTCGGGGCATACGTGGGGTCCCTCCGGCTACTTTCTTCATGGGGGCTGGGGCAATCTTCTTCAGCTTGGCCTCCAGCTCACCCGGTGGACGGTAGCGGTTCATCAGGACCAGCTGCCGCTCCAGTGTTTCCCGTTCCTCACGAGCCCAGGCTGCTGGGTTGCGATTGTACTGTGTGGAGACAATGGGCACGCACGACAGCGCCAGAAGGTATTCATCACGAGTCGGCTTGTTCCGCTTGTTGTCAAACCTGGCCATGTGCGAATTGATATGCTGCTCCACCAGGGCCTCCGCGGCCGGAGGAGGGATCGGCCCAAAGAGGGGAGGCTCCTCGCGCGCCACGGAATCGTGGCGAGGAAACAGGACGGGATCTCGCGAGGCATTCCCCTCGACATCCCGCTCAATCTGGTCGGCCGTGTGGGATCGTCGCTTCTTGGCGCCCGTGTACGGGGTCACTGGTGGCGAGGGCAGATCCATCTCGGACTGTGTTCGCTTGCGATCAGCTGAGATGGGGGGTAGCTTCATCAGGTCTCCCAGGGAGGAGGAGGAGGAGGAGGTGGTGGTGGTGGTGTCGGGTTTAGCAAAGGGGGAAGGGGGGTTGGAAGCTCTCCAGAGGCTTCGCTTCGGGGGGTGACATGAGGCTAGAAACGGGGAGGCGATTCATGATGGAGGAGGAGGAGGAGGAGTAAGCAGGGTGTTGGCTCGACTGCTGCGGAGGGTGCAATTGCAGTGGCGGCTTTACACCAGAAGATGAGAACATTCCAAGATTTGGAAATTCTGCTGGAAGGAGAAAGAACGGATGGATTTGGGAAATGGAACGATTCAATTTGGTTTCTTTGTTTGATCTGGAAGGGTTCTGTATTTTGCAGTTGCAATTGTCCAGGGAAGACTGGACTGAATTGCGGTTTGCTCACGCGGGAAGGAACAAGATCAGGGCAGAGAGAGGCGAGAAAGAGAGGAGGAGGAAGAGGCAGAGGAAGAGAAGGCGAAGCCGTTCTGATAAAATCTCTGGTCTTTGGATGTACCCGAAATATGACGAGGGTGGAAGTCAATGGAAGTGCATGTCCAACACCCAGGTGATTTGTCAGGCAGCAGTGGCGATAACCGGGGTTAAGTGAACAATTGGCCGGGATGAGTCAACAAGGAGTCCAGGGTCCAGGCTATCGGGGGGGGAGGGAGGGGGGGCGAAAAAGGACCAGAGGCAAGTTCTCTGGGTGGGATGGGAGCCTACTTTAAGTGGAAAGGGAAACTGGGAAAAGAGAGAAAGAGGGAAAGAGGGAAAGAAGAGAAAGAAAAGACAAAACCGAAAAGGCAACGAGGTTGATAAAAGATGGGAAAGATGGTAAGATGGTATGGTAAGATATAACGGGATCATGAACGATGGATAGGCCAGACGAGGTCAGATGAGAGGGTAATCTGACCAGACGGGTAACGTACACGTATGGTATGGTATTGTTCAGCCATGGACCGCCCGACGGCAACCTGGGTTAGGCAGACAGACAAGCAGGCGCCAATCACTCGAGTTGCCCCCCTTTGAGGGTCATCCCCTCATCCCCACCAGATGGCAAGTCATCAGATCCAGAAGCAGGATTCGGAGGAACTCCCAATAATCATCATCCCAACCCCAGGAATGCGAATACGGCGTAAATCCGGGGACTCAATTCGCAGGAGGTGATTCATGGTACACTACAGGAGTAGTACTCTTGACACCCAACTCCGAAGGCTGCCAATCCCGTTTCCCTTGTGCGCAGGGAGCGCAAGTGACCGGTTACCATCGTATGCAACAGCAGAAAGACGGCCGTATCGAACGGAGGGTATGGAGAGAGGGGACCTCGGAAATCGTCGGCGTGACTCAATGGCAGAGGGTCAGTGAGTCAATCGGGATCATTCAGGTCATTCGACCGCAGAAAAAAGGGGGGGGAAAGCCAGCCAATCAGGGTTGTCAATGCCACGAGACCCGATCAATTCGCCAATCAGAGGACAGGGCGATTATTGAACCTCCAATTGTGGGAAGCAGACGAAAGACGAGGGGGGCTGTGAAAAGGTGACCAACTGCGGGGGGATGAGGCAGAGAGAGTCATCTGCTGGCTCGTCGTCAACTCACTCCTCCTGCGGCTGACAGGATTCTCATGTACGGTACTATACTGTATCATTGGTATTTTACGGTAACTGTTCTGAACTAAAGTTAGTTGATGAGTTAGTATGCATTGACATTGACATTGACCTTGACATTGATAATCACTATCTCCCCCTCGATAAGCGCCCGTTGATTAGGTTTGCAGCGATCATTCGATATCATCTGCGTTTTCGTTGATTCTGGACGCGGAGGATGATGGATATAGCATTGCACAGAGCGCAGCTACAGTATCATTAATCTTACTCAACTCCGGAGTACTGTCCCTGCTTCCTAGTTTGTACGAGAAAAACGCCCCAGGCTCGTGATCATCCAATTCTCAACCCAAACCCCCCTCCTTCGCCCTTTTCTCCGAAAATCGACCATTGCGACATGTCCCGTATCTGCCTACTGCTTCCATTCCTCAATCCCTCAATTGTGTCGCCAATTCGATCCGCCAACCCCCTCCATCGGAACCAATTGACCCCTTCAATGCCTCTTATCTGCCGTGTCGTTACCCCTCTCCCCCAATCCCCCCAATCCCGCCCTCGAGCCTCTTTCAGCCCTCAGGTGACGAAGATGACACGGATCGGCCAAGGCCCCAGCCACGGGCAGGCTGGTGGCGCTCATTGGGCCCCCTTCAGGGGCGCATGACAACATCCCATGCACGCAATCACCTAACAGGCCATAGCCATAGCCATACACTGGTAATCATATAACAATAATCTAACAGGGAGTTACAGAATTCTTCTCTCCCTCGAATCGACATCAGAGCCCAGCGAATCAGAGCCATCATGGGGTCCCGATTGTACACTCCCCTCGACTATACTCGTAGACCCCACTCCTCCCAGTGGCCGTGCCTAATGATCCGCCCGGGTAGCGTGATCTCGTCGATCCTCCATGATTATTCCTCACGACCCTAACTACGTCTGTTACTTGAGATGAAGGTCAAGATTCATCTCATGATCGGACGGTCCGAGGCTGACAACGAGAAGTCATTGTCCACCAGTTGTCGCCCATGCCCTCGTGAACTGGTGGAACCTAATGACCATGCTGACCTAATCGCCTTGGAACCTCCCTTCTCGCTCTTATCGGTGATAACGAAGAGATTCAGGACCGCCAACCGAGGGCAGTTTGTCATCGTGTCTTTCCTGTCCGGTAGTTGCAATTGTCGTCATGACGGGACTGCTTCAACGTTCTGAGCAGGTTACTCTCGACTTGCTCGCACTAGGTCCTGTGTCTGGCGACGAACCGGGTTTCTCTAGCTCCGTCTCAATTACTATCGATAACGGATGATGGAAGGAATTCGTGGTATCGATTAGCGTTCGATCTTATCGATCCAGCTCGTCGCCGATCAGTTCCTCGAAACATTGCCATCCAGCTGCTGGTCAATGGACGGTCCGGTATTCGTCGCAAGCTCTTGAGAATAAACAATTGCTTTGGACCACAAAGGAGGGGAAATGCTAGGTATGACCCAGGCTGCCGCGGTTTCCAGCCTTTCCCCATTTTCCAATTCGCGCCTACGAGGCTGTGACGTCGTCCCTGGCCGGGCTTCGTGGCTCCGTCGCAGCCTAGGCGCTGAGTCAGGCATACCCAGGCTTTTTTTCAGCCTCCAAATCCTCTGTCGGAGCGTACTCGATACTAGTCTAGGTCAAGCATGGTGTTCTCTACTCAAACCCCAGCGTCCAGTGGAACCCAAAAAAAATATGCAACAATATACACAGCGAGTACTCATAGCATATAGACCTCAGAGCCTGAACAATGATGCTCAACCTCGTCGGAGTCATCGAGAAGAAGCGTCACTTCTTGTAGGTACTTCCTTTTTGGAGTAGCTAAACTGCCCTAGCCACGCCTCGGACTACGCCTTGAGATATGTGCGCGCGTAGTTACATTCTCCTTCTTCTTGTCTATAGCTAGATTTTCGTCGTAACAAATGCATGTTTTGAGTTCAATGGACCACAGTATGTAGGTTCTAATTGATAGCGGATTGAAGTTTGAGATCATCTTGATTGGGAAACCCCAAATTACGAGCTTGAGAGGACTCTCTCGCGAGTCTACTTTGTGACAGTATCTTAAAACCTACTAAGGCAAGGATCCCATTACCGAGAACCTGGTTCCCGACTTGTCCCTTAACCCGCATACATGTTTGCAAATTAACATGCACGTCTCTCTACAACGCCATCTAGTTGTACCTTTGATATCCCTCTGGTTGTGTTGATGAGTTCTTCGGAGGCCTCAGCATCCAGCATGGTTTAGATAATCTCATCTCATGCTTGTTTAGGTACACGATAATCGGGTCGAGGTTTCAATGCGTATTCTTCCTTCTAAAAATTGTACCCCTGTCACTTTATGAAGAGGAGTGTTCCCATTCTTATTGATTGCACCGCCACTTGCACACCTTGACTCAGATCATAGCGGACAGCATCCGCCTGATTCAGATCTTCCTCTAGATATCGAAGCTTTGGGCAGCCGTTCATATCCCTCACATTGATATCAAGTAATCCGAGAAATTGGTCTGATTGGTCTCTTATGGGTGGACTGATACCCCGCGCAGCTGAAATTGCTTCGCTTCTGCAAAAACATTCCATCTGCCCTGTTGTGTGCCCGTATATTCGCCCTTGGTTCCAGTATAGTATTAGGGATCCCCACCAAGTGCCCTAGTCCCCCGGTGCCCTAGTCCCCCGAGGACAGATGTATAGCGCTCTATTAGTTTTCCAGGAGCATTCATCAAGTGCATTAGGAAGCTAGTTGGGTCAGCATTGTCCTTTTGTAGTCTGCCCTATGTCCCGGGCTGTTACAGATAGCAGAACGGAAGACTATAACGCCGTGCTGGTCCTATGCTTAGACAGTGTCTAGTGGTAACGTCGTCTCCATTTATCCGTGAAGAACAGGATGTTCTCAGAGCGGATGTTCTTGTGCAGCCAGCCTGCGGTGTGTACGGTCAAGAGCGTCCTGCAAATTTCCAGTGTCAATCTCAATCTTGGTGTGACACTTGGAAGCCTCGCCTTAGAGTTGCGAATTAGTTCTTGAAGGGATCGTGGCGGGATCGAGGTGTCCGCCCCAGGTGGATACTCGTACAAGAAGACAAACTCCTCCATGTCTTTCAGAAATCCGAGGCATCACAAGGTCAGAAAACTCGGACTTTTGGGCAGAGAAAGTAGATTTGCTAGATTCTCGGATCGCAGTCAGAGCTTTGACTTGAGCCGCCCGTGGGCCAGCTTGACCTCGCATAGAACGGGCTTTCGTCACTCTGCGATAAATGATCCACTGGTGCCTTGCCTATTTTCAGGCCGTCTGAGAAGGTTTCTGTACAAGGGGCGAAGAGTTTCGTGGTTGAATGACTGGGCCCCGGGGGGGGGGGGGGGGAATCGCTGCTATCATCAGGAAGCTGCTCGCGCATCACTTTCAAGCCAACCGTAGCGGAGAGGATCGGCTCTCCAGGGAAGTCTATCGTCTTCTGACTTAGACTATCCTGAGCCCCTTTAAGGCGTCAATATTGTGGCTCATGTCCACGACCGCCGTTAATGTGCGGCCAACCTGTTGGGCGAGCTCCCTCAAGCGAATGGGCTCGAGTAGATTCCAAAGCGCATCCACGATCTGCCTCAAGTCTCGAACAAGATCCTGAAACTTTGACTTCTCTATCACCACCCACTGAAGACGCTTAGGCAACCCAGTTTTCCGCTGAATCAATCTGGCGTGTGCCAGAATTTCCGTTCGTCGCTCATCGGAGACTGCTCTGGCTAGAACGTCCAGAGCCTGCGACCCTCCTCCGATGTAATTGTCTGGGGCTTGACTGGTAACCGTAGCAGGCTGAAGGTCAAGTGAGTATCACTCCTTCAGCTTGACACAACCCAATCTGTCTCTCAGCTGTACCATCAACTCATCTGCGAGCGCTTGGTTGATCAGAGGCAGCATCTTGCCGTCTGGTGAGGTCAGGCCTACTTTATCTACCCATTGAACAAACCGATACTCCTCCACGTTGATCATGGTTCGAAGAAAGGAGGCATCGCTGCCAAATTTCTGCGTGCTCGACGGTAGCACGAAACCTTTCACGCAGCCTGCAAATACTTGAAAGGATAGCGATGCCACCGAAAGGGCAATCCCGGCTGCTGAAACGGCATGATGGTCCTCCCCTAACACCAAGATTTCTAAAGTGCTATCCTGGGTTTGAAGGTGGTTGAGCTCTAGAAATCTTGATTGACGGGCTTTCAGCGTGAGGCGTAACGGGAAGATTTCGATTGATTCGAAATGGATCCTTGAAGCGAAGGGGTGGTATAGCCTCGTCCCTTGTCTACTCTTGTTTATTTGACATCCACCGATTTAATCCCCTTTACTCCCCGCTCCGATGGTTTATTTGGACTCTTCCAAGGTAGTCGCATGCGAGGGTGCCCTCATCCACTATGTTGTCGAGTCCAATATGCTAATAAGTCAGCCTCATCTTGGTGGTGCCTCGTACTCTCACGCCCCAAACACGCCACGGGCGCTTAGAGGACTAATAACAGTGATGGGTATGGTTGAGTGATCCGCTTCTGCAAAGGCCCGAAAAGCTCAAATCTGATAAATACAAGGAACGAATAGTCCGACGAAAGACTCGGATCCAAGAATGGCATCAAGTTCACTCTCGGAGCGATCTTTCATATCGATACCTCCATTGTTACAGGCCACACGCGAATAAACACAGCCCCCAACGCAGACTCCCCAGCCGCCAGTTGAACCTTGGCTGGAGGAAATCTTCGTCCCTCACGTTTATGACATTGTCAGCGTCTTCGGTCCGGCGAATTTCCATGGCCCATCACAGATCCCTCCGCTATACTTGGAGCCCCTCGCTGTAGACCAATCGATCACGATTGGCCATAGAGCCTCATTCACTACCTTTAAGAGAGCCATCCCAGCCCCTCCAGAAAGGTCAATAACCAGCTCCTTGAATGGGCTATCACTAAGTACACCCAACCCTAGGGAGTCCCGACCCCGACATGTCGTTTACAGGATTGCACGCGTCGCCTTCATGGAGGAAGGTACCCCTACACCGCAGACACATCATGCAATGAAGGCAGCAATAATGGAACTGTACTCCTAAGGCATCCGCTTTTCCAAGACCATCCCAACATTGTCAAGTTGCTCAGTCTCGCCTAGGGTGCAAATCACTTCAATCCCTCCCATCGATTACTGGTCTTAGTGGTTGAACTCGCCGATCGAGGCAATCTGGCGCAAATTCAGGGAACGACAGATCTGGCTCCTCTCATCAGAAGCCGTCTCGCTACGGACATTAGCGAAGGCCTCAGTATACTTCACCGCTGTAGAATTATTCACGGGGACATCGAATCAGAGAAGGAATATATAGCGAAACTCTCGGATTTTGGTTTCTCTATGGTTAGAGAAGCAGCGAACACAGATGTTTATGTCGGTAGAACGAGACCCTAGAAAGCCCCAGAGGCAAAGTCTCCAGGGTCTAGAAATTTGCTCCAGGCTAGAAATGTTTACTCCTACTATCTGCTGTTGTGGCGTTTAGCAACTGATGGCCAGGATCCCTTCAGCTTCTACGCTCCGGGGAGAAGCATATCTCGAAGAGCTTGATGACATCAAGCAGAAGGATTAGCCGGCGCAAAATATTTCGCTGGAGAAGTGGTTTATACCTTATATCTCGGCGAAGGGCAAATATTGTCGAGCAGGATCGTCGACGGATTCGCTCATTTCAGCAAGATCTAACCTTCGAGCGGTTAGAGCCACACTAGGATCGGATCAACCCGCTGCCAGCTTTTCTATAATAGCCTGGGTGGATATCATGCAATATCTAGAACCCTGTTTTCGATATCCTCAAGCTTTACAGATTCTACATGCCCTTCTAAAATGGACACAGCGTGATATTTTCTACGGGCGGATACCAGCCACTTAGATAAATATCTCAGCGTCGATCCTACCCAGCGAAATTTACATAAAGCCCTCGACGCCCTTATAGGTCATAGTCGGCCACAGCTAGGGTATGTATATCCCCCTAGTCAGTATATGCTAGAAACCTGCTTAGGCATCCTTACTTGATAATAGACCGGGGGCGAATGAACGAGAGATCTTTCTGCGCATGGGTTACGATATAAGTATTCCGCATTCGTCCAACGCATTTAAGGGTGGCTAAAGATCTCATTTCCATACAGCATCATATTCTATCCTAGCAACAGATGAGAGAGCTTAAACCGGCAGTCCAATCCTTTGTGTTTAACTGCTTTCGTGGCAAAGTTAAGGAAACATTATCTCGGCGGCAGATTAATACGCCTGATTGTTTTGTTCTCGCCTCCTACTATATCAATAGCCATAGCACCAATATCAACGTCTAAGTGGCCAAACGCCTTATCCAACTATGTTCAAATACCAACTACAAACACCCCCCTTCGCGCGTATATGCATACCGTATCTTGAAGTCTCTCAATGCAGATTATACTCCAAGCGGTACCATGGTTTCCAACCGGACCGAAATAGCAATGGATGCTTCACGAATGGCTGCTCTTGATCTCAAGGAGGTAGCGCCTGACAAATATGCCAAGGCTGAGTCTCTCATCCGTGATGCACTTGCCAGTATTAGAACGAACTTTTTCCATGACAGGCAGATGCTGGGCGGTTTCATGTATTAGCAATGGAAACGCACATTTAAGAATCAAGAACTTCTTGTTCATAACCTGAAGGAGTTTAACCGGATCAGTGATTACAGAGCGAACAAGCCGGGAGACCGCATATTATATCTGGTAGCTAGTGCCGGCCGAGTAGAGGCCATCGAAACCCTTTTGGAAATATTCCTAGCTCTCATCCTTGGTCAGCTCAATGATAAAGGAGAGACGCCACTGTCGTATGCCTATCAAGCTGGACAGGTAGCGACTGTTCTCAGACTAGTCGAACTCGGAGTAAACGCTTCTACTATCGCCCCGAATAGAGAATCGTGTCTGTATTGGCTAGTTTCTTTCAATGGCGATGATATTGAAGTAGTCGGGGGGCGCTTATTGAAGGAGGCGCTGACCTTAGGGTATTTACCCGTGAGACGATCGCGTACTCCGTATTCTAGGCTACAGTTGAGGTCGATCTTCAAGTTCCGGGTACGCGTCTCAACTAGGCCGTTCATCACAACCAGGCGCGCATTATCCAGTTCCTCTTGAGCAGGGCATCAGATTCGTGGATTTATCTCAACCGTGCGACTAATCTCGTTGGGCCCTCACCACTGGAATATGCCGCTAACTATCACCATTTCGAATTCCTGGAGTTGATGTTGGAAGCACTGGACCAAGCAAAAATCACCTATATACTCGAGCCCATTTTCCGAGCCGGCATACACTCTGCAGACACATTCTTGATGATCCTTCGACATAGTGCAAGATACAACGAGCGACTGCGAACGTTTTTGGTTTTCCGTCTGTGAAAATCAAAAAATATCGTCTTCATGTCGGGCACACATTTACTATATTCCGCCGTCAGCGAGGGCCATGACGAAGTTGTCGAGTCTCTTTTATCTAAGGAAGTCAGTGACCTAGTCGAATCGTTCAATATCAAACCCACAACTAGCCAGTCCCGTCCTGACACGTATGGCCCAGGCGATATCAATCGGCCGGCGCGAGAAGACCAGCGTACACCAGTGTTGGAGGCAATCAGGTGGAATCGAAAGTCCATCGTCGAACTTCTAGTCGCGAATGGTGCCGATCTGAAGACAGTGGCCAAGAACCCTTTTAGCGATGAAATGAATTGGACAGATTTTCATATCCTCGCGACTACCGGGCACAATACGGACTATTCAGAGCTGGTGTCGTTCCTTATCGATGAGGGCCTACCTCTCGGTAACCCTAGCGGTACCGAGAGCTCACATCATCTGCCAGAGACTCCCTTCCTAGTCGCGGTCCAACATAACGCTTTCAGTTTAGCTTCTACATTTCTTGAATACCGCGCAGATCTCTCGCCTCGATTATTAGTTCCGGGTTGCTTTCTTTGGAATATCCCACCACAGTCCTTGGGCATATCGCTGCCGCTTCGTCGCAGCATACGATCTCACGTGTGAGGTATATGCTCGAGCATAAAAGCGCCGTAGAATTTATCGTGGAGCCCAGTCGGCAATTGAGCGTGCTTCATCGCGCCGCTTGGGCGCATAAAAGCGTAATGTATCGAGTGCCAGCTGACTCGTGGACTACCTATCCCGAGAAGAGTACGACAAGGTCGTCAACCGGGATATCATACACGAACTTTTGCAGAGGTGGGGAGATGCAGAAAGGCATGTGAATGTCCTCTGCCGGATTCATAGGAGAACCGCACTTCATTTGGCCGTCGAGGCAGGAAACTAGAGAAGGGAGCGGATTTGTCCGCCCGTGATGATCTGGGACTTACCGCCGTTGATCTGGCAGCGGAATTACTGAATGAGTCTTGTGACCAGCACTCTGAAGACCGGGACATATATGCTGCTATGATTACCTTGCTTATGGCAGATTGAGAGATGTATTTAACGAAGGTTGACTTGACTGTTAAGGTTTAGCATACTATCTAGAGCCCTAGATAGGAAACTTTTATCTCTCTTACTTAATCTGATGAACGAGATTACCCTCATTTTAAGAGGAATAAAAGCAAGGTCTCGTAACTAGACACTAGATGTCAATATCAACTTAATATCAACTCAAGCCTGATCATCAGCGGTCTAGACTACATACCAATAAGATAAGGTTACCTAACTTAACTGGGCTCGGCGGATACTTAGTAAGCATGTATGAAAATCTAGGAAAAACTAACTATCTCTTAGCAAAATCGATTTCTTCGTATTTCATTCTTCTTCATTCTTTTTAAGATAGATCGAACTTGGATTTCTCTGCTGTTCTAGGTTTCCTGTGCGTAGGGTAGCTAATGCCCTTATCTCCACAGAAGGGAAGCTATAATAACGTTTTTAAAGAGAACTGTAAGCGATGACTACATATGAAGAAGCCAGTCGAATAAGGAGGACGCACTATGCATAACCTGTTCATCTTCCTGTCATCACTTCCGGGCTGCCCATCCTTCCCTCAAAGCCCAGCCCTCTGTCTCAACCGAATCATCAGCGGCCCCTTCTCATAAACCATGTATACTCGCTGACGAGTCACCCAATCCGCCTGTCCATCCTTTAACTCAACATCGAAGTTCCACAGTAGCCGAGCTACGGCCATTCGCATTTCGGCATAGGCAAGGTATTTTCCAAGACAATCGCGAGGCCCTGCGGCAAATGGTTTGGAGGCATCCTTATTATCCGATGCGTATCGCGAATCATATAATGGATGCGTGGTGGGAAGCCAGCGTTGCGGAGCGAAGCGATCCGGGTCGGTGAAGTTACGCGGCGAGTGATTTGTGGCCCATTGGTAAACTGAAACGGAGGTCTATTAACCTAGTTAGCAATATTTCTTTCTATTCATAACCCCAAAGAACTGTAGAACTGAACCCCTTTGGGAATATATTGGCCATTCACAAAAGCACCCGGTGAGACCCTTGGAGGCGTCTCTGCCAACGGCGGGTAGATACGCAGTGCCTCCTCGAGACAGGCATGGAGAAATGGAAGGGCGGTGGTAGACTTCATGTTGATATCATCTTCGGACGAGAAAGTGGAGCGGATCTCTTCGGCGAGCCTATTATATGCCTCGGGAGATTTAGTCAAGTAGAAAGTCAGTCCCGCCAAGGCAGATGCAGTGGTATGACTGCCTGCACCGATGAGCGTGCGCGCATTGGCAAGAATCTCATCGTGGGTCATGCCCGTTCCATCCTTATTATTGCGGAGGATGTAGGTCATAAAGTCCCTCCGGGTGTCGGCTCCTAGAGCAATCCTCTTTTCTGTCTTAGCACGAGCCATCGCGTAATACTGTCGTCGTTTCTCCATGTCGTCCTTCGTCGCCATGAAGTTGACCAGAGGGCGTAGAAGGGGGTACTGCTCAAAGAATGATGTACGGGCGTTGCCCCGGATGCCGCTGAAGACCATAGCGACCAAGGGATGATAATCGGAATTTTCGAGGCAGTTGAAAGATTCTGCAAACGACAATTCCGCGATTATATCGAAGGTCAGATAATTATACCATCTAGTCATGTCAACGGGGACCCCCGCTAACATGCGTTCTCTCAGGCGTTTGATCAGGATATCGATATAGTATTTGAGGTACGACTCTTGCTCAGTCAAGGCGGCTGCTGAGAAAGCGTACGCTATGAGACGACGCTGGCGCTGATGATCCTCCTGCCGAGCAGGTAAGATGCCAATTCCATTTCTTGGACCATAAAACGTCGGTGTCTTTTCGAACTCGGGGACGTTGGAATGACGGGCGAAGACCTCGGACCATCCGATGGACCCGTCGATGGCGAGCTGGTTAGGGGATATACGAATGATCGGGCCATAGATCTCATGCATCTTAGGCATATTTTTGATGAAGGTTCCGGTAATCTTATTTTGGTATAAATAGGGAAGGTATGAGGCTGCATAAAGCTTTGGGCCTGGGAATTGGGACAGAGGGTGGAGGAAGACCCGATAAAGGACTAGGCAAAGGCGATTGAGAAGGAACTATCTGCGAATTAGAACTCCTCTAGATCTGTCTGAAAAGAAACTTATTTACCACTCCAAAAAGCAGCCAAACGGCTTGCCATGTGGTGATGATCGTCATAATGCCTTGCACAAGAAAGACGAGCCAGCTGGGACTTCCTTCTGCCTAGAAAATGAATTCATGAGACTAGCTATTGATAATGTCAAGCAGTGCAGCCAGCTTATTTTATGTCTTCCGGCACGTTTCTGATACTTGCCGAGATTGGCCGAAGTTACATACACCATAATCCTTATTAATTACCGACTTGTCATGGATGAAGCTGCCTCAGAGAACACACGAGGTGGAGCTGATCTAGGGCATTCTAGTCATGCTCATTCGACCTATAGCTTTCGGTTTCGCTGCCCGAACTAAAGAGAGATGAAGTTAACCTCCTTAAGATGAAATTTTAATATCTGCGGAAATATACCGAGATATCCGAGTGTAGAGAAAAAAATGTTATTCAACCGTGTAACTCTGAACTTCATAATTATCTATCGGACCGTAGAGTATCCGTATATGGTAGTGCTGAGAGAACTAATTGAGAAGATTGACTGGACGACTGTCATTGTGACACCTATTGAGAGAGGCTCTATACTGTGGGTACTCCAAATTGACCCGATATACTATCCCCTCGTCCGTCCGCGAGGCCCAGTTGTCGCTATTATATCAACCGATCAACGCACTAAAATATTTCGATGGGTTATTTATTCAATATAAGGGCTTTATTATCTGCTAAGTCATTGAAGCGCGATATCAACCTATTATAGCTAAATGAGGATCTACTTTAGCTATATATAAATGTAAGCTTACCAAGGTGAACACCGAATTATCTACTGAAAAAGAACTCTCTCAGTGGCTTTAGATCTAACTTCCTTACCCTAAACCTTTACGGATATACCTTCCTAGTAACTTAGACCTATGGAGCCTATATATAATCTTCACCCTCTTTATTAGTAACGAGATCTTTGAATTTATTAATTGGCCTATTACTAAATATACTAAGTAATATCGAGTAGAATAATCTAATAAGTAGGCTAGAGAGATAGTACTACTATAGAGATATCACGGCCTCCTTATTAGTTACTAGTAGGTATAGAAAACCTATATAAATAGTCTATGTAGCTCCACGTATTTACGAAGTAAGCACTAGGGATTTATGTATATACTACGTAGAATATTAGAACCTTAGCGATTTGTGAGCAAGCGATATGCTACGCAGGTAGGTAGAAGAGGAAGAAGGTTGAATAAGATTTGAATAAGATAGATTGATCTTTCTTCCTCTTGATTGAATAGGAAGGATAAGTTCAATTCGGCTTAGAATCAATAAAGATAAGATAAGAGAAAAGTAAGGTAGGACTGAAGCTTGGTTGATTGTATTGAATCGTCTTGTTCTTGCTTGATGTATTGAACATGATGATGAGATCTTAGTAGAGAAAGTAGGGCATATTTATAATCAATATTTTATGCAAACTTATCAAACTTGTTTCTTGGATATGATCAATCCAGATAGATCTAGATGCATATGATGCTATCATGCAGATAGATCTAGATGCATAGTGATTTCATGTAGTAGCCGTTTGATTTGCAGTTGCTTGATTGTACGATGTAATTCAATCGTAATGATGATGTAGATCGCATGACTATGATGCATCTGTTCATGCCTGATTATCCAATTGGATAATGATGATATAATAGCATAAAGCTTATAGAGATTCAGAACATCGTTCTGGCCATTGCCTTATGAATCTGGCTTGATATGCTACCCGATGGCTTAGGCATCTTGCCCTATATCTGACACCTTTAAAGCCTGCAAAACCGCTATATTTTGCCTTTAATAGCAAGAAAGTTTCTAATTCTAATACCTTACTATCGGGTAAGCAACCTATATTCTCTAACAAACCTATCTCTTTAGCTACTAACAACTCGATGATAGTCCCGACTCGCTTTCTCCCTCTAGCTACTAATATAGAAGATATAAGGCATTAGTATATAGTTAGGTCGCCTAACTTATTTAACTTCGAACTAGCGAGGCCCTAGGTAGCCAAAACGCTATTATTAAGTATACTTAAATCTAGCGATAGAGATACCTATCCCTCGCTAAGGGCGCTTAACTATTATTACTAAGATAACTTAGACAAAACGATATATAGCGACTATAAGATTAAGGTCTAAGCTCGGCTATATTCTAAATTATAAATCGGTTTTTAAACCTAGCTCCGTCCTCCTTCGGTATAAATTTAAGCAAAAGCAGGGAGTTAGACTGTTTAGACGTCTTCTTAAGATACTAAGTTATACGAGTCCTCTATACTCTCCTTAAACCCCTTCTATCGCGGGTCTTTCATTAGATTTAGTAATATCGTACCCTAAGGTTATATAATCGTAGATAGTAGAAGGTATTTAGTAGAGAGGAAATTAACCTTTATACCGCACGTACTTTAAATCTCTTAGTCTAGCTCGTGATAGGAATATATCTAATATATCTACTTTATTTAATGAATATTCTTCTAATACTTCGCTCTCCTCTATCTTATCCTACTTAGATATTATCCCTAAGAAGCGGAAGGAAATAAGCTCCTATATTTCTTCCCGGAAGGATTATCCTAATAACTATTTAGATAACTATAAAGAAGTAAGCTAAACTAGATTAATTTTAGATTATTCCCTAAGAATCGTGACTAAGTCTAGCTCTTCTAGACCGGTCGATCCGCTATACGTTAATATACCCGATTCGATAGATCTCGAACGAGTTAATAGGCACGAGTCTAGTAATTCTTACCCCGGAATACCTAGCGTTTAAGATAACTAGAACCCCGTTTTAGCTAATCCTAGAAAATATAAAGAAAAAGAACGCCTACCGCCTTAGACTGGAAAATAGTATACTACTAGTAATAAGCGCTACTCTTCTATCGCTATCGTTATTCCTCCGCTTAAAGCCGAAACCTATTCTATTAAATAAATATAAGAGCAAAGGTAGTAATAACTTTGATAATTCCTCGGACGAAGACTTTATAAGTAGCGCTATCTAATTAGAACTCTTGGGCGGTAAGGACTCCGAGAGGAGAAACACGGTTATCTAAGTCGGACCGCTCCCTACTATCCCGACGACATACACTTTAGTTCATCGACTAGGTATTACTAGAGCCGCGATATTATTAGGCAGGCAATTCTCACTATTAAGACCTAGGGGTCGGAGCCCACTTTCTTCTTCACTCTCGTACCCGACAACATCCCCTCGATATCATATATTACCGCGTACAGTCCTCCCCACAACTCCGAGAAAGCAGATAGAGTTTTGAACCCGCTAAAGAGCGTAAGCCGTCTAACTCGCGGGAAAAGCAAACTCTAGGAGTATTCAATGGACGAGGATAACTTGCTAGTGAAGTTGAAGGAGGAAAGGAAGTTAACATGGAAGGAAATCACCGACTATTTTCCTGGCCGCAAGTCCTTCCTCTTCACTGCAGGTTCAATATTCTACCAAACTAAAGCACCGGAGGGTCGGGGTAGGCCGACCACGGGGTCGGAGGGGCAGAAAGAAATGATAACATGCATATTTCTATAGAAACTGTCACAATCGAAACGCATCCGCCGTTATCCGGCCATACAGTCCATGGCCGACGTATATGCTTCCCAGTTTCCGACCATAAAGCCGATTCACCGAAATTCCAAGGATCGCCAGAAAGACTTCGAAAAACCCTAGCAGCCAATTCCGATGATCCCTTATTGGGCACCCCTTCCCTACTAGGCCCGCACGGCATTTCACTACGGAGAATATCGAATATCACATTATTGCCTGTAACCGCCACAGGACTCCTTCTAGAACTTGCTAGAGCGTGGTCCCCCCGAGTCCTGGGTCAGTAGGCTGGAGAGCGATCTACACGAGGATCATCCTGGGCCTAGCTTGCTAAACTTTTGGAAGGAATTATTCGACAAGAATCCTGATGGTAATGATGCCGGCGATGATGATGACAAGAATGGGGAGCTTTGGAAAAAAATGCTAGGGTGGAACAAAAGCTGCCAACGCTCGATATTAGTCGGGCCTGTCAGGCCGCTGAGAGTATGAGCGAAGTCGCGCCCTTGGATAAGGAGACGGTACTGCGGCTGTGGAACTGGGTCCAGGCTAATGTTTGAGCATTTTACAAAGATGAAGCATAGATAATGTATATTGCCTAAATCATTGTCTGCAATACAGTCCTATACTTGAAGAATATCGCGCTCAACTTCCTCGATCCCCAATCTCAAAGTCATGTAACTTGAATGATACACAGGCTATCCTGCTATGACCATCTTACAAGTACTCCTTTGCCTTCTGGGCTGTCCATTACACAAAATTCAACAAAACATAGCTTTCCGAACTTCTTTTTGTGCATCAGCTTTAGTATGTCACAGCTCTCATTCGCTGCTGCCTATCACTCTAGTCAAGTTTTCAGTCTTCTTTCAATTATGTTCTTGGCTCTCAATCTTCTCTTACTGTTCATTTTCTGTAGTCTTTCCAGGATTATGAAACCAGTTGACCGCCCTCGAGTGGTTCTGGAGAGGTCTCATTCAACATTCAAGTACCTGTGCGTTCATCCGCCAACTGAAGCTTTTTACAGAGCTTTGGAGAGCACATTTGATAATTGGATCCAATTTCAATTTTGCTTGGCTGTTTCGGGAGATCTCACATGAAGGAATGATTAATTACAAACAATTCTGGTAGGTAATGACAGATTCAGGCAATTGCCAAAATGATTAACTTCTGAAAGAACATATGGGATTCAAGAAACCCAGCCATCTGGGCGAGTAATTCAAGTCAATTGCCCGCTTCTGTTAATGCTCTTGCCACCGTAGTCTTCTTGTCATTGCGGCTGCCAAGGCAAGAAATTCAGGCTTATTAGCCGAAGTTGATAGTGATTCCACCACCACCATTCTGGTTGATGTTGGTCAGACAAGCGGCGATACCCTAAAAGGGCAGATTAGCTTCGGTGATCTAAATTAATTCCGTTAGTGGTGTATCAGAATGAACATACACCAGTGCTTGCATCGCAGCAGACGACGGTTTGACTACAGATTGCATTATTCGAATCTAGTTTGGAAAATTAGCAGCCCCTTCAAAAAGGTAGGCAACTGAAAGAGTATAGAATGAAATATTGCAATTATATCGAGGGGGTTCACTGTAAAGGAAACGAGGTCTTACCGATAGCAACGCATTTGCTGGGATCCCATGGATATTCAGAACTACAGCAGTAAGGGTCGCTACTAGATCCGCAGTGAACAGTTTGCTGATTGTTGTTAACGGTAGGAGGAGGGGGAGGAGGCGGAGGAGGATTATGGCCACCCGGGTGTCCTCCTCCGGGAGCAGCGTGAACCCCAGCAATAGCGAGGCCGCAGAAGGTAGCGAGCTTGGAAAAGTGCATATTGAATATGAAGATGTGCAATGAGAGCAGATCTCGGATTTCGCAGAGTTGCTTGGGTTAGATAGGCAGTCAGGCAAGGATATCCAATGAAAAGGCAGACTCCGACGGATTTTAACGCGAATTTATACCTGCTTCGCATTGCTTCCTCGGAATTCATTACGACTATTTGTTGTATAGCTCCTTCCCTTTGATGACTTCATCACTACATCCAGGCCTGCTAGTATGGAGTTTCCTTTTGTATGCCAAGAGATATTACTGGCCAAGTTTAGCAGCCACCGATTCAACGACAATAAAAATGCCGAACCAGGGAACTACGATTCGCAACTTACAAAGTTGAGCAAAAGACGCCCAGCAGCTGTTCCTTTATTTAGACTACAAATTTTGGTGAAACAATAAACGATAGGTAACGAGACCGTGAGGATGAGACCTGGAAGCTTGAGCCTAAAGTTGTGGAATGGCTCTACAAGGTTCAGCCCCATATTCGTGTAGCTCTAGGCTTGCGGCTGACTATGAGAGAACCTGGAAAAGCTTTGTGGCGTTTAGCTGGCAGGAAATGTTCGATATCTTGGTCAGAGTGGTCCCAGGGGAGCATTGTCAGTCTCGCTCCGCGTGACTCAATACTTGAAGCCCAGGTTGCCTAAACTGGTACCCAATGCCACCGATGATCTAGAAGCGTACGAGTAAAATAAAAAATTATTAATCACAATTCAATGCATTGAAGGATAACCCTGTATCTAGAAACCATGAAGTTCGAGCGGCAATGCAAAGCGTATCTCGTGTTATGCTTGCTGTTTGACGGCCACCTTCAGATTGAGGAATCACCTTTAGCGAGATAAATATTGTCTTTAGTAACGTGTTGTTATTGTGTTTGAGTGATTAAACCCTACGGAACGGGGTCTCTCGGCTATACTCACGCTTTATCGTGTCTATTTGTACATGTCACTCGCGTGGCACAGAAGAGTAGTATTCCCAGACGAGTATACTGACACTATATCACCGTTCCAAAAGCAGTCTCTAAGAATAACTCTGCATCTGACAGATATCAAGAAATCTATCCTTGGAAATCCCCAAACATGATTGTTGATCAGGGTGCTTTTTTGTCTTTCCACTTCCATGGTTCACGCCATTGAGCTATACAACAGGGAGGCGATTCGTCGGTTGTAGCTGCCGATAATTACAAACGTAATATACCTATTATTTCAATCCCCACATAACATAGCAGTTCAGCTCCCTGGCAGCTTATCCGACGAACATATGTACGTGTCACTCCAAACCCAAACGGAGGTACCGAAATAATCAGTTCGGGTCGAGAAACACCGAGTTGAAATCAAACTCTAATAATCTTTGGTGTGTCTATAATTGCGCTCCTGCGTTCCAGTATAGAATAGGTCTTGCTTCAAGGGTAGTAAGTAAAACGTATTTCGGACTGCGTCACTATGGGAAATGAACAGATCATGACGGAACAACATTATCAGTCACTACATTAGTAGAGTTTTCGAACACTTAAAACTAGAAGACATCAATAAGGGATGCCTTTTCCAGTTAATGCAGTTACCAGCCTTATCACCGTCCTCCTCCTTCTTCTCAAGAGCATCTGACTACATTGAGTCCCCGTTAACGAGTCTTGTGTTAAGCCTTCTCATATTGCCTCTTTACCTTGTTCCTTCAGAGCCAACGCCTGGCTTGAATCTTTGAGAATTTGAATCCGAAATACGAGACGGATACAGTCAACATGAAGTTTACCGTCTTCTCAACTTTCTGTTTACTGCTTATTCCCATGACATCCGCCCAAGTCACCCTCATTGGGCAGATTGTGTCTGGCAGTGAGCTAGTCACTATCGAATCTGTTTCTTCTTCTCTTACGCCCAACGGAGGCAAAAGCTGTCAGGTCGTGATTAATGGTCCAGAAATCACAGGAGGTACAACAGTGATCTGCAGTGACGGGGCGATTGCAGTGAACACGGCCAGCTCCGCTGCTACCATGACGCAGACGACGACTTTGCTCGGTACTTCCGTTGATGTGTCTAGTACTAGTGTGCTGGCTGGTACTAGTGCGGTATATAGTATCAAGACCTTGTCTGATACTAGTGTTGCGTCCCGTACCAGTTCTGGTACGAACTCTATCACCGTTTTGCCTCCGAGTTCAAACGCCAACCCTGTAGTAACTTCTACAATTACCGGGGGCTCTGCTGGACCTACTAGTGGGCCAAGAATTGATTTTGTTATTGTCGCAGGCTTTCTAGGTGTGGTGGGAGTGTTGTGAGTAAGTTTGCGAGGGAGTGGTCAAGGGCGTATTTCGATCCAGCAAGGATATCGTAAGGAGAAACAAGGGTACGGTGTTGTAACTATTCGCATCAGATTCTTGCGTTTGACTATACAGTAATTTTGTTCTGATCATGACGTTCGCGAGTGCTTTCCACCTTGAGCGATCAGTCAGCAGGACTGACTGCGGGGTGCGGCTGTTGTGCTGGATTAACTTTGTGGGGAGGGTAGGCTATTTTCGTCATAAGAAATGACCTGCGAGAGGAACTTAAATGTCCGGAGGGCCGTGCTCTGAGACAAGGTCTAGATTATCCGGCCCTTTATTATTGGTGAATTATGAGCACGTACGGAAGTCATTTCAAGCACCTTCCTCACGACGACTGATCCTCAACAACACTTTGATCTGTCCTAGTTGGTGAGAGGTTCGTGAATAAATCCTTCCTTTAAGATAGTGTGGGCCCATGGTATGTCACAATTGCATTCTGCAAATCTTCCTCTTCCAAACACTCATACTTTCGCTGTGTGGCTGGCTAGAACGTATGATGGGTTCGTATTCGATAAACTCCAGATCCATTATTCTAAGCCTTTTGCTAAGAAAGTCAATCGTGAGCCATCATTGTTTGCTCGCCCAAGATCACTATAGCGTCTGCTGCAGGGTCCAGCTTAGTGGGTTACATCCACAGTCGTTCTCGCCTTAACATCCCTTTTGAGTTTTGAACAGGGGTCCGTGACTCTGGAAAGTCCCCCGATTGCCTGGAATCTATCCAGCCACGCTGCATCAAGTAAAGCCACCAGCTGTTCATCGGTAACAGACCCACTACCAACGCTATACTCAATTCCCTTACATCTGGCTTTGAGGCATTAGTGGCGATTTGGCTCCGCACATGCGGCTAAGTAGAACCTGATCAATCAATTCATTGCGAACGGTCGGCCCATATGCTCAGGGCTGGCATTTAGCTATTCTTTTCTAAGTCCAAAGCCTGGCCTTGGTCTAAAACCTATAACTTCTTACTATAGTATCATAGATTACTTCAACAGAACTCAAAAGTGGTGATGTATTCGACTTGCATGGTCCGTCTGGTAGTTCTCATCTATGCCAATGGGGCCTGAAATGGCGTTTCTGTTAGGCAGAGAACAACACAGCAGTACAAGTTTGAACGGTCCCGGAACTTTTATATAGGTTTCAGTTTGGACGAGTTTTTTTTATCTTACAACTTTCTTTTGGCATCCATCAATTCTGGTTGTTTTTCAAGGCCCCATTAAGATATACTCGCTGAGGGCTTTTGATATTCTTTGTCTCCATTTGTGACGAATTTTCAACGCGCCAAATGCATTTCCACAAGATCACCTACGTTGCTGCATTTGCCAGCAGCGCCTTCGCAGGTACTCCAACTTCTACTGGAGTAACTTCCGTTGTCGGCGCCGCGCCTCAGTCAAATTATTGTGGTACTACCGGCATGTCGTACTGTTGCAATGGCGGCAATTGCAGTGCAATGGGTGAGCATTGAGTCCATTGCATTAAACTTTCAATCTCCTTTTCCGCTGTTTGAAATTGACTCTTGTTCTTTCTTATAGGAACGAACTCCATCTGTTCGACAACCGTTGTCTGTTGCAACGCGCAAGATGTACGTCAGTGGATGTACCGATAGCCTAAACTGAACTAACTCTCTTCTAGAGCATCGATATCTGCCTTGGCAGCGTCACTGGCAATGTGAATATCTATGTAGATATTAACCTGAGCGAAGTCATCAACAATAGCGGACCTTGCAATTGTCTTCCCTTTCACGGCAGGCCCGGGAATCAACCACCAGGGCACCACTAGTGGGTGTTGAGCAGGATATTACTACAGTGTCTTTGCCTTGTCGTCTGTTTTGCTTTATGTTCCTCTGCCGGCGGCCGGATTTCCGCGGAACTTTACACATTGTGCATAGTCCACATCATCATTTCAAATGTCTGCGGGCTTTGGAAAGTTCCAATTTGACTGCCTCACGAGATTTCTATATCCCTCTGGGTAAAGAATCATAAGCAAGTTAAGGGAAGAATCCCTCTATTGGAGGAGGTATCATCACCAAAGCAAGACGAAGCAGGTATATTTGAGAATGAAACAATGGGATTAGAGTCGAACCAGACTGATGCTTGGGAATTTTTATGTACAGCTTCCCAAGCCTATATATACATGACCGAAACATAAGAGAGTTCAGGGGGAATTCCCACCTAATCGTCCTCGGCTCAGGTATCCTGCTGTACCTTGTTTGTGGCGCACCGGCCGCATGATTGTTAGATACATAGTCCCTAGGTATAGGGACAACCCATGGCCGACAGATGGCTAACACATGGCTAACCCATGGCTAACCTTTGACTAACTCATAGTTAATATATGGCTATGGCCAACCTCTAGCTAACCTCTAGCTAATATACAGCCAACTCATAACCAATATATATGGTTAAATCATAGTCAATATATATCAAATGGCTCTGTTTACTTATTTTTCTTCACTCTTCTCCCCTCGCCGTTTTCCTCTCGTTATTCCCCTGTCGCCGTTCTTCCGTAGCGTTTTTGCTTGCTTATCTCTCCTTGCTTATTTCTTCTCACTCTTCTTGTGACGGTCAGCGGGATTAATGCCTGTTTCCCTAAGGCATCTATCTATGTCACCTGACTACCTTTATGTATTTAGATCTTCTTCCTGCGTTCCTTCTTCCTTCTTCATGCTTAGTTGTTTCGTGAAATGCTACTACGTTGATCTTGATTTATCGATCTCCCTTCGTACCTGAGCGTGGCACTTCTCCCCTTACTGTTGTCCTCTCATCGTCGCCCTCTCGTGCCTCTCCTCTCGCTCTTCTCTTCTCACCGTTCTTCTGCAACGGTTCTATTCGCTTTGCTCTCCTCGCTTATTTTTTCTTGCTCATCTCCCCTCACCCTTCTTCCCCCGTCGGTCTGGTCTCCTCTCGCTGGTCTCACCTTCCTCGTCTCCCTTGGCTCTTCTCACGTTACGTTCACTCTACTTCTCCTTCCCTCTTCTTATCCGCATCATCTCACCTACGCGTTCGACCAAGCTTGATTCACTGACCTCTGGCATTTACCTTGGATTATCTCGAATATCCATGGGCTCTCTGCATCTTGCACACGGGCACTAGCAAAATTTTCAAGTGAGACATCTCGAAACACACTCTCAGTCTAATGCTGAAGCGGCCATAGAGGGGACACTTCGAACAGCCTCGAAAGGCATTACCACTCTGGAAACACTCTACCACGCTATTTTACTAACTGAAAAGGTCCAAATGAAAAGGTCCAAATTTAGACAATAGTTTACAGAGTTGCTAGCCAATGTACTGCATTATAAGAGGCACATGCCGATAAATAAAAGTCCAGGATCATTCAATTTGTAATAGTGAACGGCACAACGGCACAATTGCCAAATCTCCAAAGGAAAAGCATTCGGTCATGATAGTTTTCACCTAAACATTCTCGGCATGAACAGCAGCGTGCTTCTCTTCGTCTTGGAGACGCTCCATTCCAACGAGACCACCGTGAGGCAAGGCCTTCTCTACACGAACGGGGTCAAAGATTGACTTGGATCGAATGAAGATCTCATCAATCTCTTCGAGGGTGCGGCCCTTCGTCTCGGGGAAGAAGTAATAGTGGACCACGAAAGCAAAGGCACTGATACAAGTATAGACGATGTAGTACCTCCAGCCAATGTTCTTCATGGCGTGGGGAGTAACTTCGGCAATCAAGAAGTTGAACAGCCAGTTGGAGCATGCACTGATAGCAGTGACCTTGTGACGAATGGAGAGAGGTGCGATCTCAGCCGCGTACATGAATGGGATGAGAAGATGGCCGACGGGGAACCAGAACATGGCCCAGAAGAAGAAGAAGATAGCTGCCTTGCCCGCCGCAGGGTTAGTGAGGTCCGAGTTCAGCCCGCATAGGGCCGCCTGGGCAATGGTCATTCCCAGTGCTCCTGCCATCAAGAGCTTTCGTCGTCCGAATCGGTCGATCAGTAGCACTGCAATACCAGCGGAAATGAATTGCCAAATCTGAATGCAGCCGGAGAAAATTCGTGCATCGATAGCACTGTACTTCAGCTGAGTCTCGAAGATCTGCGTTGAATAGAACGTAACAATGTTGATACCAGTCATTTGGGCCAAAACGGCGGCAGCAATGGCAAGACAAGCACGGTGGAATTGGCGTTCTGGGCTCATGTGGAAGATAGAACTGGAATCGCGTCGCTCCTCCTGGAAAGTTTCCTGGATTATCTGCATCTCCATGTTGACAACCTCTGAGTCTTCGGGCATATCTTCCAGAGCACACATGACAGCATTGGCGTCTTCGACTCGGTCTTTCTTGACCAGCCAACGTGGCGACTCGGGCAGGAACAGGACAGTTGAGGTGAAGATCAAGACAAAGAAGCCCTGGAAGGCAATCGGGAAACGGAAATTGACCTCGCTATCCTTGATGAAATAGAGGCCAAATTCGATCCAGCTAGCCAGCGTGAGACCACCGATAGCAAAGAATCCTTGGAGCAGGACCCGGCGACCACGGTTGCTGGCATCAGAACATTCAGACACCCACATGGGGATGGTCGCAGTGAGGGCACCAACACCGAGTCCTGTAAGAAGTAAACCAAATGTTAGCGCAGGCCCGTGAATTCGCTATCTCTCTAGACATGACGTCACGTACCAGTGATGATTCGAGCTACAATCAGCTGTCCCAGACTAAAGGGAGTTGCCTGCAGAATAATTCCGACCAATGCAGTACAGCCTGCCGTGAAAATGGTACGGCGACGACCGAGGATGTCTCCGAGGAAAGCGCAGGAGAAAGCACCGAGTGCACATCCAACTTCATAGATTGCTACGACCGTGCCTAATTGTCGCGAGCAAATTAGCTAGAAGCCCTGGAACTGAGATTCGGAACACTACACTGACCTTCAATATTGGACTTGCTTCATATCGGGGAATCGGTCCAGGAATGTTGGCAGAGTTACTAGACCGTTCATGACAGACTGATCATAGCCCTGCAACGCGAAGGCAGTTGCAGCGACCACACTGATCACGATATTGAGGCTTCTTCCTCTTAGACCAAAATAGACCATCTTGATCGGTCAAGACTGCAAGAAATCTTGAAAGGTATCGGCAAGGTGGGATGTGGAGGTCGTTAAGAGATGATAGGTAGGCCACCGATGGGTATTAGGATCAATTTGCGGCAAAAGTTTTCGGAGCGCCCACCCAAGCCCATTATATACTTCCCCAAACTGTGGAATCATGTTTTCTTTGATAACTCTTCTCCGTGGGTTCTTTAGACACGGGGTTGTCGCAATCATCCCCACGGGGTCTTGTTGGGGGCAAACTTACTTTGGGGGCCTCAACAAGCTTTGACAAGCTTAACAAGCTTTGGAAAACGATGTGGGCCAACAGGAAGGGCCAATTGTGGAGTGGAGCCACTTAAGTGCTTCCCACCAGCTAAGACCATCTACTGACCCAGTTAGTATGAGTAGGCTGTCATTGGACCAGCCCGCCGGTGTGGCGTCCAAACTAGAAATACCACATTCGCTATATGAGATAAACCTCCGGAACTTTCTAAGCGGGGTTAGCTGGCCCGATGCCGGTTTTTTTTGGTTACTCGTCCTAGAGCAGGCGTACACCCCGTATACTTTGTATAATTTGGGCAGTGAGTATCTAGACTCGAAGTCGGTACGGGAATCACTACGAACCGGTACGACTGACACCATTTGAAGCGAATACAAAGGATATAGGTTGAGTGAATGAACAACGGTGGATAAAGAAAATCACGACCCGTATGGTCGTATCAAGGGCAACCCGGTCGGGTCCGGGTCCGAGTGCGAGACCTACCCGAAAGCCGTAACATGAATGTAAATGCCTCCGACAACGGTAACCATCGCTCGGGACGCTACTTTCGCGTCCTTCCGTGCTGAGAGGGGCTCGGTGCCACGCCGAGGCCATAACTTATTAGATAGAACCACCGACTATCGGACTATGTCGCTTTTTCTCACCGATCGGCAATATCATGGACTATGATGGTTCTCGGGTGGCCTAGATTTGGTTGTATAACAAGGTAGGGATATGATTATTCAAACGTTGTAGTCATTTTGGGCCTACAGAGAATTTATCCCGGCCTTGGGTATGGATGGAGGAGTGGAGGAGACTTTAAACTTAGGTTAATGACAGCAGTCAAAGGAACAAAGAAATATAATGAAAAGAGAGCCAAAACCGAACTGTGACGCACGTCAACCCTCTTGGAAGTGCTACCTTTCAGAGTAGGACGCATGTCTTCGTGTATGAAGCTGGTAAGTCGTCGAAGTTAGCTATGCGATAGAATTGCCAGCGCCGGGTAATTAAGCCCTCTGCGTTGACTTTCATCCGTAGAAGGTACTTGTCGCCAGGAATTGACTTTATTAGCAGAAATCTACCTTCCTTGACTTCAGCTTCATTTGCGCAGCTCTCATGAAACATCCTTCATTCGGCGTTTCTCTAGTTTTAATGTCCGGATTTCGCTTGTTTCTCAAGCATTTGCTCGGACCTGACGTTGGATAGAGCTCTGTGTTAATGGCCGCATCGATAATTTTCTTGCCGATCAAACCTCAATTGAGCCTCCTATCACCGAGGCCTTCCCCGCAACTTCCCCGTAGATCGAAGACCCGTGTTGTCATTGCTTTGTGCCAATTGGTCCTTTGCTCCAGGACCCTGGCGAGTTGTCTCCTTTTCCCCAATTGAGCGAGGTAAGGTTCAACCAGTCCCAACCGAAGGGTCTTTGTCAATATCATCTGACCCGAGAATGGACTGCGGGGAATAGGGGTCTGGGATACCCAGCAGAGAAAGAGAGAGCTTGTCGAACTATATAAGATGTAATTGGGGATGAAGACGGGTCTCGAAAAAAAGGTATTGTTCAAAACTCTTCTCTGCTTCCTGCTCGTACCCGTCTTCAGTGCCTTCATTTTGAACGTAGACAAGATGATCTTTGATAACCGTCTTCTCTTCCTTTTGGCCTTTGCTGGCCCGAGTGCTGTGCTTGCTGATAGCTACAAACTATTGAAGAGCATCCCGTTCTCACCCAAGAACACCACCAGCGTTGATCAAAGCGTGATCTTCAATGGCACCTACTATCTCTCGGATCGAGTGAATAACGGGGTCCATGTGGTCGACTTGCAGAAAGAGAGCCAGACTACCGTTATTACCGGCTTCGTTGGACTCTTCAAGGCGAACGGTGCCAATGAGTACAATGTCTCGGGTCCCAACGGGCTGGCTGTTCTGCCAGATCGCAATGAGCTGTATGTTGGCGACGGAGGTGGTATTGTCCGGGTCGTCGACCTGTTTAAGAATGAGGTCGTAGCAAACATCTCAACCGGTGTCAGAACTCGAGCAGATGAGATGGCCTATGATTCCAAGACTGGCACTCTGGTCGTTACCTTGCCCAACGAGAAGCCTCCTAAGGTCGCTGTCATCTCGGCCAAAGATCGCATTGTTACCGGAAAGGTCACCTTCCAGAATGCATCTGGCTTGGAGCAGCCAGTTTTCAACGAGGTCTCCCGCAAGTTTTACGTCTCGGTGCCCAGCACCGGCGCTAATCCGGGCGGCGAGATCGCGGGAATTGACGTCTCAACCTTCCAAGTCACCGACGTCCTCCCATTGAAGGAATGTGTCCCTGCAGGAATTGTCTTTGGCCAGGCACAGAGCCTTTTCATCTCTTGCAGCCAGACGCAGATTGACAATTACAATGTTTCATTCAGTCAGGTGATGGACGTCTCAACTGGCAAGATCATCGCAAACATTTCTGGTGTCGCCGGTGTGGACCAAGTCGCCTACGATCCAACCAAGAACTTGTTCTTTGCTTCTGCATACCAGAACCAGGTTAGCGGCAAGAGCAACGGTGCCCCCATGCCTCAGCTCGCCGTCATCAACGCTACTAGCAACACTCTTATGCAGACGTGGGCTACCGACAGTGGTTTGGCCCATTCGGTGGCTGTGAACACCAAGACAAACCAGATCGTAGTACCCCTCGCAAAATCGGGCATCACTATCTACAACTTGACGTCCGCTAGTTCCAGCACCAGTTCTACTGGCGCCAGTTCCACCAGCACTTCGTCCTCCTCTGCTTCCGCGCACGCGTCCAACGCTGCTGCTCCCCTTGATGTCTCTATAGGCCTCGTGGCTGGAGCTCTTACATTGGTGTTCTCGCTTCTTGGATACTAGAATGTAATTCAAGAGTCGGAGGGTTTCCGGGCTTTTCGTTTTATTCTCAAATAGTCTTTGTTACTCTCAGATTGAGATCCAAGATCTAAGTTGTCAAGGTCGAGCTACTGATAATCACGATATGTTTTCTCTTGATAGTGAGCTCACATATAGCACATAACGGTTCATGTAAAACAACATTGACCGGTGAGGTAGCCTTTGACGTTCGACTTGGGACGTTATTCAGTGGCGCGTGGCGGAACCTTGAGGCGCACGAAAAGCCAAAATCGTGTGGGGTTCATGAACCTTATGCTGCATCCACTTCGGCTTCGGTGTAACCTCGGGGAATCGTTGGCATTGGGATTACGAGAGGCACCTTACGCCGAGAGAATATTCTCTGTACGACAACCCCCTTCCCCCACCTAATTTCTATGCGTGAATCTACTAATTATGAACGCGCACAGTTAGCCTTTTCAGCGAAGGTATGCCCTTCAGAAGTTAATCTGTCTCTCTCGCTTTTACGCATCAGCCGCTACAATGGCTGTCGTGCTCGTAAGGTATCTTGACCACAACCAGGGCCCAGACTGCGCATGGAACGCCTCAAGCTGAGGAATCCTGACTTGAATTTCCTGCAAAGAGAACCATCAAGGCAACAACATTGGAAAGGGTGTGGAACTCAGGAGTTCCGATTCTCGGACTGACAGCTCGGAAGTTTGCCGAGCTCTGGCTTTACCAGAGTGCAACACCGAGCGGGTGGTCGGGAGGGGAAACGCCATTAAGCCACGGTTGGTCGTACCCTCCATTTAGCTTAATTAGTATATGCAGGGACATTTTGGGGGCCGTATTTGTCCAACTAATCGTTGAGGAGCAGTGACATTGATTTCCCCCAGATCTTGACATTCGGCGTATCTGGGGACATGAAGATGGTCAGGGTAGATGCAGCGAATGTCGAGGATCAAGGCCATGCTGAATCGTCTCAATCTGCGAGTGATTGATCGTGTGGCCATCATCTGATCAGGGCCGCCTTCTGCTTCATAATAATGGGCCTGCAAGAAATGTTTCTTGCCGCTTCAACATTCCCAATTCGCTCGTTTGGTCATTTCTATTTTTCAGAACAATGAAGGACCTGTATAGACTCAGAATGTAGCATACTATGGAGCATTTCTCGTCTAGCGGGAAGAAGCCCCGTCATTTGTGCAACGTTATTCATGTTGGAAACCAAAGCTGGCTAGCGAAGATAATCAACAGATAAACGCTAATTCAGGGCTGCCTAATAAAGGAGTTGAATCAAATTTGCAATTCACCTGCGTTGATGTTTAACTGCGGCGATATATTTCTGATCATGCTTAAGGTCCACGTTTACGGTTATTGTTTCGAAAAATACTGGGTCAAGTAATACCATTGGCAACTTGTCAACAAAAGCGAGTAGTTGTGCCAAGATTGGTGGCTACGGAAGAATTTTGTGTATAATTTAATATAATATACGAGATTTTCTCAGGACTCTATTTTAAAAATAACGCCAACCGTATTTTCCGAGGCGTCAGTCTCCTGTCTGTTTCTCCCGTCCAAGCCACCTTCAAAGTCAACATGGTGGCGGAATCAGGGCTGTACAGTACCATGGTGGATTGAGCAAGGTTGCAGTTGATCTCTAAAAAGCCAATCCAGAATATACCGAAGAGCTCTTGTGTCATATTCAGCTCAATTTGTGAAAGCGCAGACTCCGCGGTCGGGTCGGTAGTCGATTTAGTCGGTTACTTATGATAAAATGGCAGTCCTACACACCCTAGCCAAAAGTTTAGGGACACCCGCGATTATGTAATTTCGACCACCTCCATCTTATATCTTCAAATATATATTTCTACATATACTACCTAGTCTACCACTATAAATCTACTACTAAAATATAGGGAATTCAATAGATTTTATCAGAAAAGCCTAATATTTAGTATACTAGCCCCTTGCATTGCGTAAGGCCTCTAAACGCCTAGGTATACTGTAAAGATATGGTCTACTTGCAGGGTAGAAAGCCTGTCAACTAGGTAGGAGAGCAAAGCACTAAGTCAGATTGTAACAGAGACTGTTTCTTGGGGGGCCCTCTTTCCCGTCCCCCCACTGATCTTATATACAGTAAACCCTACCACGAGAGGGGTAACCACGTTGGCCTGCATGAGCTGTATGCAGATCGGCGGATGACTCTCCTCCGTGGGAACAGCGGTGAGAAGGCAGGGATAGGCCACCCTGAAGGGGTGCTCCATGGTTGATCTCCATGGATGATCTCCCCGGGTGGCCTGAATCCCAAGGCCGAAAAGTGTGAATAGCCTCATGGTGGGAAATATCATAACATATACTAAGAATCAGGCTATTAATCTTGCTCTAGTCTAATATACGCTAGGCCTATTGAATATAATCGATAAAATACTGCTAATCTTCCTTAGACCTTCCTATACTAATAAGCTCTAGAAATATACCAAAAAGCTTAACCTTAAGTATCTACTATACTAGTTTAATAGGGTTTATATTAGGTGAGTATATAGGCTAATACACTACCTTAATACTATAAGTTTTAAACTAATTTTAAACCATGCCCGCTAGGTAGATTCGCGTATTATCTTGCTAGAAGATAGTCCCGGGGGGATAGTACGGAACTAGACCCTCCTTGAGTATAGTAATATAAGAATTCCTTATATAGCTACTATACGCGCTAGATTTATTACGTTCTATAATTACTAATTTAGATCGGCTACTAAGCTAGATAGCTACCTAGTATATCTATAAAATATCGCGTACGTAAGGCGTTAGGTTTATAAGATTACGCCTATACGCTTCCGACTAAAATCGCTAGACCTAACCGCTACTAGAACCGATAGATTTAGAGTATCTTTAGATAGAATATTTATCTAAAAAGATCTACTAATCCTATACACGAAATCGATGCTCTTTTAGAGCAGAACGGTAACGATTGTGTATATTAAGGATAGTTAAAGGGATTCGTTTTCTTATACAGCGTTTCCGAAGGCCTCGTCTTAAAAGAATTTACCGAACTATTATTTTTAATATAGATTTATATAGCTAGGATCGGAGCGTAATATAGCTATATATAGGGTTTCGGCGAGTAATTTAATAGACCTAACGTTTAGCGTAAGGACTAATTACTTTAGGGCGTGTCAGATATCAGGCAAGATGCCTAAGCCATCAGGCCAGCATATCAAGCCAGATTCATAAGGCCTATACCAAGGCCAGAACGATGTTCTGAATCTCTATAAGCTTTATGCTATTATATCATCATTATCCAATCGGATAATTAGGCATTAACAAACGCATCAGTCATACGATCTACATCATTATTACGATTGAATTACATCGTACAATCAAGCAATTGCACATCAAACGGCTACTGTATGAAATCATCATACATCTAGATCTATCTGCATGATATCATTACATGCATCTAGATCTATCTGCATGAGATCACTATGCATCTAGACGTATCTGGATTGATCATATGCAAGAAACAAGTTTGATAAGTTTGCATAAAATATTGATTATAAATATGCCCTACTTTCTCTACTAAGATCTGATTATCATATCAATCATCATCAAGACGATTCAATACAATCAACCAAGCTTCAGTCCTATTTCACTTTTCTCTTATCTTGATCTATTCTAAGCCGAATTGAACTTATCCTTCCTATTCAATCAAGAGGAAGAAAGATCAATCGATCTTATTCAATTATTATCAACCTTCTTCCTCTTTACCAACCTGCGCAGCAGATCACTTGCTCACAGGTTATGAGCCCGAATTGATCCTACTTCAATTCGGCTTATACCACCTTTTACTCTCTTAAAGAGAGACAAAAAGCTCCCCCGACTTCTTGTTTTCAAAAATTTATACTCGATTTTTACCGGTCGCGTCCACATCTCTATACGAAACACTAAGAAATCTCGACTTTCTTGACAAAAACAATTATTTTTCAAATATTTAATCAAGTCTCTTTAACTCAAAATGATTAATAAATATAATATCGATCCTCTTAAGGGTAAAGAAAACTATATTGCTTGGTCTATCCGAATCGAAGCTATTCTCGACTTAGAAAGATTAATTAATACTATTCGATTTGATTATACGAAGCTTCCTACTATTCAGCAAGGTTAAATACCTAATTAACACTATTAGTATCGGCTAAAAGGATTCACTACTAAATTCCTTATATTAAAGAAGCTCTTTAATAGCTAACCAGGCGATTTTGATAATATATATAACTATCTTATACAGATAAGACGTCTGCTAATCGAATTAGCTAGCCTAGGGATCGATTTCCCTAAGTAGATCGTTTTCGTATAGGTTCTTAATAATCTTGATTAATCGTATATACCGATTATCTAAAATATTATCTAATCTCTTCGCAGAGATACCGAATCGTACACGATTAAATCACTATTCGCTAATCTAATTAACGAATCTCGCAATTATATAAGCGAGCAAATTTTTGTCACAGAAAGCTATACTAATTAATCAGTAAATCATTAAAGCAAATACCAGGCTAATCGTAAGCCTAAATATCAGGTAAATCACCGTATAAATCGTTAAGCTAATCAAAATTGTCGAATTAGTAAAAAACCTTAGAAAAAACTATCAAATTCTAGAAGATACTACACGTATTGCTATATACGTAGTTATATAGTATCTAATTACTAGTATCTATATCCTTCTAGTAGGCTAGCTAATTAGAAACCCTAGCTAATTAGGCCTAAAACTAATCAAAAAAGCTAAAGATTTAATCAAT